TGACTCCTTGAAAAGGAGGAACACAGCCCGCAAAAAGCGGGCTAGTTCTTTAAACGCAACCAGTTTAAGACGTCGAGGGGGGAGCATATCAGACACGGTTCTGTAGGGGGTAGGTTGTTGGTTCATAAGGTTGCATTGATGTTTTTTTTTTATGAATTTGCTTTAGTATCCAATCTAACGCCTGGAGTAAAAATTGTTAAATTTTTATTTATTCATGTGCATTAAATTTAAACTGTAATATGTCTGAGGGTTCAAAAAATGATGTCCTTTTTTACAGGAGAAGTAATAAAAATCCATGTTTGATTTTGATACGTAAATGTCCGCGTGGCCCAATGGTTAAGGCGCTCGACTTCTAATCGAGCGATTGTGGGTTCGAATCCCGCCGTGGGTTATCTTACTTTTTTTTCCTAGTGCAATTTCAGTACCGAGCGTACATGCACCTTCATTCGATCCTTTTTAACGCGTCCATCGTCAATGCTCTTGTGGTGGTTTTGGCTAATTTGTGTGTTTGCCGATAGGAACACGCTTCATGAGAAATCACTTCAAAGCTTTGATAATATTATCCAAATAACAAATGGTGATTTTTCAGACTTTTCTGGTCCTCGAGATTACTTTTCTTTGGTGGTGTTCACGTCAACTGATCCTGCTCATGGTTGCCGCTACTGTATGGGCGATTTGCCTCGGTTGATTGGCGAAACCGCTTCACTTTGGAAAAGACAAAACCTCGATGACAAGCTGTTGTTTTTTACCGTCGTCGACTTGGCCGATGCTTCCAATTTCGAACTTATCGAGGCCATGGGAATGAAGGACGTACCACATGTTTGGCTATTTCGTCCCAGTGATCCCGATAGCATCACCCATAATAATGATAATTATGGTATGCTTCGTGAAGAACATATTGAATTCAGGCCAACGGTTTCGGGTCATCATGGTCAACTCGAATTAATGAACCGATTCCTCACTCAGTTCACGGGGAAGAGCCTTAAGGTACAACAATCGTTTGATTCCTCGAAGTTCTTGAAAGTCTTTCTAGTTACTTTCGTTCCTATAATAATCATCAAGAAGTTTGGGGCTAAGTCTTTTCCAGCAGCAAAAAGGAAACACGGCTGGTTGTTGTTTCTGCTTTTGTTTTCTTTAGTGAGTCTAAGTGGGTACCAATTTACGATGCAACGTGGTGCTCCTTTTGTTGCCTACAATGAGAACGGCGTGATAGTGATAAGCGGGGGTCAGCATTACCAATTTGGTGCAGAAATTATTATCATCACAGCCTTATATGCTGCTTTAGCCGCATCCCTTATTGCATTGATATGGCTCGGTAGCTATAAGGCAACACCTGATAGTACTTTATCCACTGAAACTGCAAAATCATTAGCGATAATCATCACAGCCATTACTGCATTTTTGTTGTATTCATTGTTGACCAGCATTATCCTCCGAAAAGACCATGCCTATCCCTACGGATTAATTAAGCTCATATGAAATTAATAGAAATATACTCGAGTTTTGTTAAATTTTGTTTTCTTCATCCTCCGCCAATTGCATATGATGACGGTGAGGACTGAATGTAATAAAGGCAAATACCAACACAGCAATACAACTGAGGGCCCCGCCCCCGTAGATCATTAGGTCGGTACGAGTAATCGCATCGTTGAGATCGTCTGCTAACCACAATTTTTGCTCCTCTAGGTCGAAGCCAAGTGTATAATGATCACTGATAGCATCAATGGAGAATACGTCACCTGGGGTCGCTTTCAATTTACATCTTCCATCGTTCCTGACGACAAAATCAGTAAGTTTCAAGTCTAACCAAGTGTTACCGACAAGAATCATGATCAGAGTTCTCGGTACGTCTAAACATTCAAAAGTTGATCCATCGAGGAGTTCCACTAAATGATCATATAAGGGGGTGGGGATAGTGACCGGCGCCTGATCGTCATAATCGATGTCAAACTCTTGCCTTGATAATATCTCTCCGTTTTCTTTTCTTATCTGCAGAACGGGATCATCCAAGGAGATGGGCAAGCCAAACGAAACGCAACCGCCGATTTCAACTGTGGTGTTGTTGTATGTTGTGGGCTTTTGAGAGAAGGTCATTTGATCAATTATACCGGCTTGTTTCCACATATGGACAACCAGAGTTTCTCTGTGACCATCAAGGTAAGCTGATAGCCCAAGTCCTAACTCTGGTAGCACACCAGCGATATGTGATGAGTTTAAACAAGTGTTGGCGAAACACACCTGGTGGTCGTCAGCAGTCTGTTGAGCACCCACTCTATCGGAATAACGTGAAAACGGCGCGGTGTACGGAAATCCATCGACAGCGTAATCAACTTGGCAAGTCAGCAGTACTTGCATAGCTATGGACGATGCACTGGCATAATTGGACGACCCTATCACCGTTAGAATGGGAAGGAGGAATAACATGAGCTGAGTGGTCGAGAATAGTGGAAATCCTCGTCTTTTGAGTGTCTTATAATGTACCATATCGCCAAATGCAGGAGTCCTTCGACAAACAAACCTGTCCAAGCGCACCCGGCATTTGAAAACCTTCTTACGCATCTAAATCGTTTACAGGCTTTCACAATGAAGATACTTTTCAGTGTATTGCTTGAAAGACTCGCCTCTTCTATCAACGGAGAGTTAATCGTTGATCGACTAAATCGAATTGTGCGATATGTCTATCTTGACACGCTCTTTTTCTGTCTCGAAGCTGCAGTTCCCTGCAGCCCGCGTACCTTACAACAATTGAGAGGGGTTGGCTTGATACTCATTTACACTTGATAAATCGGGGCGGCGTACTACGAGATCGAGATTTTGAGCATGTTTCAAGTTGTCGCGTGTTCCTAATAGGCGATGCGACTTGCTAGCTTGAGGTGTTTGTCATTCCCGATTTAATCACGCGACAACCCCTTTGAGACGCGAATGGGATATATAGCAGGCCTCACCGTGTTTCGAAAAAATATTCATCGACGGACATGTATTCGAGCCATGAGAGAAAGAATATTCGTGACTATTTTGAACGTTGTTGAACTGTAAACACGTAAATGCACTAAGCCATACATCGACAATGAAATGCTCCCAAAGTATAAACGGAATCACACTCTCTGCGACTCTTACAAACAGTTCGATTGATTAAGATTGATTGTAAAGGAAAACTGCTTATGTACAATAATTAGGTCATCACGTACTTTGGTCCGTCACCACCTTCGGGAACAGTCCAATTGATGTCCTGCGTCGGCACTTTAATGTCACACGTTTTGCAGTGGATGCAGTTTTGTGAGTTGATCTTGAAGCTCACCCCATCGGGCTTCAGCTCGTCTTCTACGTATTCGTACACGCCAGCGGGACAAAAGCGTTGCTCAATCCCCTTAAACTTGGGATATGAAATTTCCGAATGCTTGTCATAATCCATATTGGGAATACGCAAGTGGCACGGTTCATCATCATCATGATAGGTACCAGTACGTGATACCGATGTTAATATGTCAAAGGTGAGTTCTCCATCAGCTTTAGGGTAATCGATGGGTTTAAAGTTAGCCGCCGGTTGAGTAGCGGCCGCATCTGTAGTGTGATGATGCAATGTGTAAGGCTCGCTTCCTTTGGTAATGAACGTCGATAAGCCTGATTGGATCAATCCAGGGATGATACCATTAGCGAATGAGGGACGAACATTTCTCACCTCGTGCAACTCGTCGTATATCCACAGATTTTTGTAGGCAGCGTCATAAGTATTGAGAGTCACAGGACCTTCACAATCCAAACTTTCGTAGATGTTTTCTGCTGCCAACATGCCTGATTTCATTGCAGTGTGCGATCCTTTGATCTTTGGGACATTCATAAAACCAGCGCCGCAACCAACAAGTACACCACCGGGGAATGAGAGCTTAGGAACTGATTGAAGTCCACCTTCGTTTAACGCTCTCGCACCATAAGAAATGCAGGTACCTCCCTCTAACACATTTGCATAGAATGGATGTTTTTTCATCTTTTGGAATTCCTGATACGGCGACAAATACGGGTTTGCGTAGTCTAAACCAACGACAAGCCCCACACTAACCATATTGTCACCCCAGTGGTACATAAAACCACCACCATATTCGCCAGACAACGGATAGCCCATAGAATGACCAACAAAGCCTTTTTCGAAATTTTCGGGGAGAACTTCCCAAACTTCCTTGAGACCAATGCCATAAGTCTGTGGATCAACGTTATCGCGTAGGCCATACTTGGACATAACTTGCTTCGTCAACAGACCATGGCATCCCTCAGCGAGGACGATAAACTTAGCGTGGAATTCCATCCCTCGTTCAAACAGATCTTTGGGCAAGCCCGCCTTATTGATGCCCATGTCTCGGGTAGCAACACCCTTCACGGCATCAGAATCGTCGTAGATAAGCTCAGACACCGAAATGCTGGGGTATAATTCAACACCTAATTCTTCTGCTTGCTCGGCAAGGTATTTGACAACCTCATTCAAACTGACGATGTAGTTCTTTCCGGTATTTTTCATCTGTGGAGGTTCGGGTAATGGGAATGCATATTCTTGAGTAAGGTATTTCATCAGATCGCGAGTTACCTTTGTTACCAATTCTTCTGGGAGAGGTATGCCTTCATGATCCAGGTCAGGGAAGAGTTCCTTGAGTGCTCGCGGCTCAAGCACAGCTCCCGAAAGAATGTGGGAGCCAAAATCGGCGGCCTTCTCCAACACAACAACCCTTAACTCACCATCTCCTTGTTCATGATCAAGTTGTTTCAATTTAATGGCAGTTGCAAGTCCAGCTGGGCCACCCCCAACGATGCATACATCGACGTCATCGCTTTCTCTAGGACTGTGGAGAATTTCGGCATCTTCTTGTGATATTGCTTTCCATCTAACAGTAGTGGCGCCGAAATTTCGAGAGGACACCCTAAAAATAGGTCGTGTGGTTTGTAAGAGTGATCGAGCCGCAACTCTAAACATGGTATGGTTATTCACTGGCTAGATTTCACTCACCGTTCAAGGTTGTGCAGGTAGTGTGCGAATGAGAAATTACCTATAGTAAGCATGCCGAGTCAAATGAGTGCGAGTCAATCTCTTGGATCCTAGCAGAAAGCTTCCCGGTATGCAGGATAGTGGCCGTATATAACTTTGTTCCTACTTTGTTGTATTCCAGCCATTTGTTGAAATGAAAATTGAATTATCGTAGGCATATAACAACTTGCTGAATACTATTATCCGTAATTTACTCGAAAATCTCTTCTTGGCGCAATCTCTTTACACAACGTGTCATCAATAAGTAAGGCTCGAGTTCGATGAGAACCTATTAAAATGTTAAATCAAAAAGATTCATTCGGAACTGAGTACCGAATATCAGTAGACCCCGCGAGTGACCGAACTGCAATTGATTGTTTATCACTTCAAGAGCCCAGCTCGCTCATTTATCAACGACTCGCACCACGCGTTTATCATCAGAGGTGATGTCAAAAAGCGGTTCCGCAAAATGCCTCCAGGAGATAACGTCAGCCATTGCTGAATCATGGGATGGGAAATCGGATTTCTTGGGAGAGTGGCAAGACCGATCAGATGTATATGAGCCGCTTTATCATGATTACATGTCTACTACAGGCACATTGAATGAGCAGAGCCACGATCACGAAATTGCCATCGCGTTCCACGAACGAATAATTGAAGTTTTCCGTGAAGGTCTCCTGGATGTCACTGGAGATCTCAGACATTACCGAAAATGCTACGTGAAAGCGTCTCAATTTGACTCACTTCAAAAAGTTGCTTCGATTTTGGATTTCCTTTTGTACTTGTATCAAGTGAAGCTGGTGGCATTTGCCAAAAGATTGTTTTTCCTGTCGCTAATTCATCTGGTAAAATACCTAATAACGCTATGGGGATCACAGCTCGAGGTCTTTTGGGAATACATGGAATCTCGAGAGGACCTTATCATCGGCCATATATGTCAGGTCCTGGTGGTTCAAGATAGAATCGACATGCTAGAAATGTGCAACTTGATCACTGATTATTATCATGACAAGCTTGACACATCTGCTGAGACTGAGTCATTGAGAGATACACTCAAATTCAAGGTTCGCAGCTATATATCTAGAGCTCTTCTGTTTCTGGATAAAACCGGACTCAACAATTCATACAGTGGTGCTGGTCGATCATTGCCTCCGCTCACTCTGTCAGATCGATTTGTCGTTGACTTTTACACAACTCAAGAGATGATGAATGACCCACAAAAATGGATTCGTATGACACCAGGGAAACGCGTTGATATGGTGTTTGACAACATGTACCGCTTGGTCAGTCACTTATGCGATCATCCCTCCTCAGATGATCTTGACTCTGCTACAACTGCAGATCTCACCTTTATGATTCCATATTTGCCTTTTTCCATCTGGGATGTCTATGGCGATAAAAACTATAATGCTAATGCCATTTATGACTTGATAGATCGGCCTGGTTTTCGTCTTGAATTTATCACCCAGGTAGTGATCTTTATGAAGCGATTACTTGGAGATAATGAGAACTCCATGGGGTTGGACGTTAGGATTACTCCGGCGATGGAAAAACGAAGTTCGCGAACGTTAGACGTCTGCTCTAAGTTTTTGCGATCAACTTATCCACATTGTAAGAAGCTTCTTGACGAATACCTACAAAGTGAGTATACATGGTGGAGTTGGCTCCAAAACGGAAAAGACAAAACCGGAAAAGCCCTTATTCCTTGTACTGAAATGGGCGTTTTGGAGGGTTTCAGTGACATTGACAATAGCCACTTCAGCGAAAATCTTGGTAGCTCACAATCACAGCGCATATACATTACGCGTACTCTCACCAAAATTATGACAGCGACAACGACAATTGAAACATTCGTCAGCGGAAAGCATGGGATTGGGATGAGTGAAAAGGAGAACCAGGATTCTAATTCTTCTACAGCAGCTGCGAATACTACCGATAGCGATATCCTGTACGAAAAGAATACGGCTCTTTGGAAATCATTGCGAAGCTCTCGGGGTGAGAACTTCTTGCTGTTGACCAGTAAATTGGGCACTCACAATTTGTGCAATATCTCAGATAAGGTGAATTTGTATGACCTGGAGGAAGATGAGAGCGGCATTGACGAAGAAAGTCAAGGGGAGGAGAAAATAACCGAAAGAGATATTGCGTTTGGCAAAGAAGAGGAGAAGGAGGAAAAGTTTGATCACCCAGATTACACTTCTGCGGCAGCCGGCGAGGAAGATCTATTGATCACAGGCGACAACACCAGTGGAGTTGACTATAAGGAAGATTTTAGCCCCTACAATCATGGAGGAGAGTCTCGAGATGGAAAGGATGCTGAAAGTGAGAATGACAATGTTGACAACCCCCACCTAACAGAAATTGGGGATGATGCGGTGTACGAGAACGTTGAGTTATCCGCAGAATCCACTCCGAGAGTGGAAGATATGTCTAATGCTGAATCAAACATGTCATCGCTATCGCCTGTGGAATCTACAGATTCACAAAGCCTAGAGGCAGCTTTTAAACTTGATGAACAATCAGATCGGAAGCGCAGACGAGATGATGCAGATAGCGATGACGAGCCGCCTCATAAGCGCCACGCACCTGAATAGTTGATGAAACTCACACTTTTTTAGATTTGATAAACGTAGCGATTTGAAGCGTGTTATTATTTTTCTTGCAGGCTGGTTTCTGCTCGCTAAGTACAATACATGCAGTTCTCACCGAGAGACGCGTACGCCATCGCGCCCTAGACTAAGGGGACCACTCCACCTTCCTTATATCATGACTACGACTCGATACACTCGAAGCCGTACCAGGAGGGAACCCTATGATGTACTGGGTCTGTCCCCACTCAAGCATGTGACAGATCCACCCGATCTCGTTCGAGAAGTTTGTTCGTCACCCATCAGAGAAGATTCAAATGACTCCAAGAGGAAAGCTGTCACGTTTTCTAAAAAGTTGACCACTCCAATGAAATACAATAATATTGGAGAGTCGCGGAAAGTAGATTTGCTGCAACCGAAACTGATCCTTAAGTCGATCACTACTGAGCTGCCTCCACTGCTAATATCTTCAAAAAATTATGGTGATCTGAATTTCTGGAGCCCTGGTTTGGTGGTGGAGCTTCCTGCTCAGTCCAAAACTGAAGTACAGTTGCTTTTTGATGGCGCTATTCGAGTTCTCCGACAACCTCAATTTGATCGGCGTTTTGAGGTGTACGCCAGCTTGGCTACAGTGTTGAAGCACAATGTTACTCCAGATCTTGTGAGATACCTAACGAAAGAATCAACAAGCTTTAAGGGAACCCCACTCACGCTTATTACGCTGTTGATACGAAGCGACATCACGATGCTTGCGCAGGAGTGCTGGGGTCGAGATGATGTCTCCACTCGTAACGACCCTTTTCAGATTCGTACGATGAGCCAAGCCCTTCGGCTTATAACAACGTTTATGTCAGACGAGTTCCTCAATTGCTTTTTGGCGCTTGATGATGTTAGGTGGTTTTATCGGCAAGCGGCGACTCTCTTGACGAGACCACTGGTTTCTAAGGCCTTGACGTTACCCTTGCTTCAACTCTTGAAGGATTGTAAGTTTCCTCGTTCACTACGGCGCAATATTTTTGATAACAATGAAATTATTGAATTGATGCTTATGGCGCTCATAAACATGCAATGTTTTTCGAGTTCGACAATCTTAAGCGAACGAGTGATAGCGTTCTACAATTACTGTATCATGTTTGCTCCGATCATGGCGAAGAATGCGGTGCATTGGGTGGGTCCGCTTGTGCTCAGCATCATCACAACTGCAGCCCAAGTACCGAAAAGTGCCAATGTTGTGGTACAAACTTTTACGGAAATTTGCAAGGTGGGTGAAAAGCATTCCGATATCATTCGAGCGCTTCGAGATTTTCTCAATCAAGAGTTGAATGCGGAAACTGCTGAGCTCGTTGTCCAGCTGAAACTCACTAACGAAGCCATTGAAGTGGAAGGCCAATGCGGTGAAGATATAGTGTTGCAAGGTCTAGAACGGCTAATTGAGCTTGATAGAGCGAAACCGGCGCTAGATCTATGGGTTTTGTTAACTCTATGTCTGAATAAACTGCTGCCTAAATGGCGACTGATACCACACATTGCATATCAAAAGGACGTCACATGGGAATCCCTAAGATCTTGGAGAGTGTATGTTTACCTTCTTGGCGAGAAAGAAGGATGGAACGCAGATATCGTTCCCAGAAAACTCTTGGATCTAGCTGATATAGTGCGCGGTCCTTTACATTGGCAACCCACACCAGATTTGATTTATATGAATTCCATGGTCATGGATACAATTTATCACACAATTCACAAATGTATCGCGCTCATGACTATCAAATCACTACGTGGCTATTGGGACACCGTGATAGCTCCCATGATGACTGATACATTTTTTAAGCTGAATGAGCAGACAGCTCTTCACGGATATCGCATATTAGCACATTTGACTCTGACGGCACCGATCGTACCCTACTCGCAAGAAAGAATATACTCAGAAGAACCGATTCAGATACATGAGATCAACTGCTTACCACGACTTTGGATAGCAAAGCATGCCAAAAGCGTGGCCCCTTTGATTTCACAAGCATTACTATCATTAAAAGATTCAGCGAGAGGGTTGCATCTCGGATCACAATATTTACAATCAATTTCCGGAATGACAACTGCCGACGAAATTCTTTTCATTTGCGAGCTGGCGACAGTTATTAATAACATTTTGGACATCTGTGACAGCCCACCCAAGTTTATTGAGATGCTTTTTCAGCAATTTTCACCTGAAGCGATTTTGAGTAGCGCTGTTTTTGATAAACTTTTCGTCACGGAAACGTTGATTCATGGGGTATTTTCAAAAATCCACGCATGTGGCGTTTCTCGAGAAATCGCTTTCTCGTTCTTACAGCGCATAGCTGAGCATCACACCCATGCTTGGGATGTATTTCTTGATTTGGCGATGGACGAGCCTATAATCACCAATCTTGAGTTATACGAGATGCTTATTCCTTTCATCACATCATGCAAAACGTTTGCGAAGTTCATTGATTGGCTTCTGGAACAAATGCTCGATACCACAATCATGAATCCAATACATTGGCCGGAACAAATCATTAATCACGAGTATTTCTCCATGTTGGCACCTTATATTTTAGGGCGTTTGAAGGATCCCTCGAAAGCCAGCCTGACTCTTGATTTCATAAATGAATATCCCAACTCGCTACTTCCGGTTGTTAAAGAAATCTATCACATCGGCACGCTGATTTTGGATGACTCATTGAAGGACAAATTTCGTCATTCTTGGAAGTTGATTCTCAATCACAAAGCTAATGTGGTGGCAAACTCGGGTTCCGAGTACGATTGTCACATGCTCGATGATCTTCTCTGTAAGTCTGAAAGCGAGACTGGCGTCGTTCTCCAACTTGCGAAAGACGTTTTGGCACGGTTTCCGATGTATACATTCGCTCGTATGGAGCCTGATGAAGTCGCAATAGACGACAGCGAGAGCAAATTTCTGACCGAGGACGAGGGTTTTGAAGCTATCCTGGCAAACACGCCTACAGAGTCATTCTCCAGTGAGGGACGTGTGACTCGTAGTAAGTCTAGGAAAGTAAAGGGAACCACTGAGTCTACAAAGAAAAAGCGTAAAGCCGAGCGCCGGCTGAAGCGAACATCCACTGAATCGAGAGAACCTTATCGCGACAGCTTCATCGAGTCAAACACAAGCGAGGACAGGGCTACAAAACGACAGAAGGTGGCCAATTTCAAGCGGTTGTATGAAGTCCTTTCAACGTGGAGTCAAGAGGATTCCCAACAATTGACCTCCGAGCAAAAGAGTGTGTTGGAAAAGATGGCATTAGAGTTTATGCTTTCTCTTAAAAAGTAGTTACGAATGCACGAATATCATAGTTGATCAATAAATCTGATCACTGTCGCACCATGTGTTAAGAGCCCTTTCGCTATCCTTTATTAGTGTTGCCATATGCAAATAACATCAGGATGTCAGTTGTACCTTACAATTCTAGCAACCAGATCGTATTTCACAATCAGAATGAAGGCATCATTGTCATCCATGACAATCAGGAAAATACGATTCAATTGTTTTCCGCAAATAATGATGATGACGAAACGAATGCGTCTTCTTCGAATCAATCTTCGACATCGAATGCACACGAACGCTTTTCGCTGCATTGCCCCAATTGCGGATATGATTGGACTTCTGGATATAAAGCAGGCAGCTTTAGTCAAGGTTTCACCAATCCACCCCCTCGCCGCAACTCCGCTACATCCGAAGTGACCAATTTCATAAATGTGAGGTCTATTAACCCAAGAGAGTTCAACCACATCTTCAAAAGTTTGCCCCAAAGTTTTATGAATCATGAGTACTTTAAGCTTTTAGAGCAGCTACCAACATCGCTGGGAGCTTTCATACCTCGTCCTTCATCGCAGGATCATGCTCTTGAGGACGGGATCGACGCTATTCCTAGACTGACGGCTAGAAAAGATAACCAAAACAAGACAAATGCACTGTTTGTTAGCCGTCTGGACGTATTCAATCAGGGCTACTTCAAAAGATTTTTCAAGAAAGTCCCACCGTTTGAATTAGGTTCAGGTGCAAGAGCGATCGTCTACAAAGTCGTGCACGTACTCAACGATATAGCTTTGGGAACCTATGCCGTCAAAAGAATTAGTGTTGGGGGAAACTTTGAGTTGTTGGACCATGTACTCAATGAAGTTTTGATTTTGTATGAACTCTCAGTGAAAGGTGCCAATGAGAATAACCTTATTCGATACAATCATGTCTGGATTGAGATGGGTGACATCGATGATCTGCTGACATTTATAATTGGCGGTAAAGATGACGAACTGAGGCAGGTGCCATACGTGTTCATATTGCAACAGTATTGCGATGGTGGCCACCTTGAATCCATGATTCAGAAAAATTATCAAAAAGAGAACAATTTGAGTTTCAAGGAGAAACTATTACTTGAACGACAACGTCGCAGAAACGTGCGCCAGGGAAGAACCTCGAATCATAAGAATCTATGGCTCAAAGAGATTGAAATTTACAAATTCTTCAGTGATGTCATAACTGGCGTCCACTATTTACATATGCACGGTATTCTTCATCGTGACTTGAAACCGTCAAACTGCTTATTGGAAACGAAATATGAACGCCCCAACATCGGGGATTTCCCATACACTTTTGAAGAGTATAGCAATATTGTGTCAACTCTACCTAAAATTTTGGTCCTGGATTTTGGCGAGGGTCAGTTTATCGATACTATCAACATTCCTGAGCCTAATGATCACATAAAAACGGGTATGCACACCCACGAGCGACTTGGGAATACGGGAACTCTTGAATTTACCGCACCAGAGTTGTGGCTTTATGCAGACGACCCGGTGCAAGATCAAAAACGTCGATTCATTAACTCATTCTCTTACGAAAGTGACGCATATTCGTTGGGCTTAATTTTGTGCTATTTATGTCTTGGTTGTTTACCATATACACACATTTTAGGGGACAATTCCACCGACCCGGAGAAGGTACGTGAAGCGATAATGAAGTGGTATGATTGTTTAAACGAATCGAGTTTCAACGACTGGTTCTTCAATGAGGTGGAAAAACTTCAGGGCTGTCACCCAAATGCATGTTACGTTGATTTCGCTCACTTGATCTACGCTATGATTAAGGGCAGCAACGGCAAGCGAGCGTCAATTTCCGAGGTGATAGACTTTTTGGGAGAGATGAAGAATGAGAGATTCATATGTCTTGCGGATACAAAATATGATGATGAGGACGATAAGGACTATGTTCTTAGTGAGGCTGATTCTGATACTGATGCTGACAGTTTTACTTTGCAAAAAAGAGCAAAGAAAAGCAGCATTATATCTCCTCAAATGGTGTTTCTTGTTTTGCTAGGTTCACTAGAATGGTTAACCCCGCTAAAGCTTCCGAAGCTTGTTGTCATGGCTGGTATGGCCTATAACTATTATAGTTCCGAACGTTGGGCATGGCATGAAGTTGGCATCGTGCTTTTATTGGGAGGAATCACCTTATGGGCTAAGTTATTTTAATTTTGAAAGTAGATTATTTAGTTCAAACTTTCGTCAAGCTTATCTTTATGGGCATGAGCCCGGTGTTAAGGCGCGCTGAAATTCAATTCAGAATACCGAAGGACTCAGCATGTCTCTCCTAGATCGCCAGCGCAACGTGTTGGAAGAATATGACACTCTTGACTTTCAAGTATCAGAACGTATAAGACGGAATCCCAATTTGACAGATGGTTCGTCCAAAAAGCGTCCGCGGAAAGAGGAAATCATGCAACAACATGAAATGTGTCTTATGGCTGAAAGAATGACCAAACAAGCTGAAACGTTTGATGAAAGCGACCCATCCAAAACCAAACTTGAGATCGAATCAATGAAGGATCTTGAGTTCACTTTCGCCGATTTACATTCTAAGATCAAGGATACGATGAGTGAATGCCTGGGTATCCAATTTGTCGAGGATATAAATGGTTCATATGCTATGTATCTGAGTGCTACAAACTACTCAGAAAGAGGTGGAAAAGTTAAGGTACAAAGAAAGGAAATTCTATCTAAAACTTGCGCACCGTACCTTGACATTGAGTTTTTATTCTCTCCAACTGAACTATGGGGGACTATATTGGATCTATATCCATTTTATCGACAAAAACATTGTGAAAATGATGAGCGTCTGTATGTTTTCTATCTTGAAAGTCTAGTAACGAGTAAGCAATTGGATATGCACCAAGCAAGCGCTATCTTGAGCTACATTGTTGACTTTTGGAAGAGAAGTCATCCACTAATGAATGTTGATAAGAAGTTAATTGAGGTCAGAGGCGAAGTTAATCCTTCAAGTTCCGATGGGCAAATATGGTGTGGACCATGCAACAAATGGTTTAAAGAGTCAATCTATTATAATCATTTGGACGGAAAAAAGCATAAAAGGGCTGCAAAACACACAACAGATATAAAGAAACCAAATAGAACTGATGGAGAAATCATCACATGGATTCTAGAAAACCCACTTAAAAAGGAGTTTGAAGCAACGAAGAGAGCAGCAGCGCAACCCCAAACAGATCGAGAGCGTTTGCTTGAAGTATCACGTCTCGAGGGCGAAGATTCCGATTACACCGACGTCGATTCTGATAATGATGATAACGACAGTGATGATGATACTAATCTCCTCGCGAACCTTCCCACGGATGCTAATGAAAGGCCTATCCCTCACTGGTTGTATAAATTGCAGGGGTTAAACAAGAGCTTCCATTGTGAGATTTGTGGAAATGCTGCTTATCAAGGAAAAATCACATTTGAAAGGCACTTCACTCAAAGCAAACACCAATACGGACTCAAATGTCTAGGAGTACGCGAAGATCAAGTGATATTTTTCAATAGTATAACGTCAATCAAAGAAGCACAAAATCTTCTATTGAATCTCCAGCAAAAGCAAAAAGACAAATATTTTGAGGAGGAGGTGGAAGACTCGGAAGGAAATGTGATGTCGAAGTCGGACTACGACGAGCTCAAACAGCAAGGTTTATTGTGACCGAGTCACGAGTTCCATTATTTCATTGCTGGTCGTATGATTACCAAGTATGATCGCTTGATTTTTTAAATGTTACGCTTGTATTTATGCCACGAGAAAGCCACAACGTTTTCTTATTGAAATAGTCAATTGAGAAGTCCAGTTTAGCAAGACTTGCTTTTGATTAGCGAATACTCATCGGATGCGAATACAAAGGTACTAGGATTACATTACAACTCTTCTTATCTAGTCTTTTCCATGAATTGAACTTTTCACAACTGCCTCGTTTCGCTGAAAAAGTCTTTTTCCTCGTTTGGCATGTTGCATAAACTCTGATGCTAGCAGATTACATCTCATCGCGCAAAATCTGTTCATACACACTATGGGTCGTTATTCGGTGAAGAGATACAAGACTAAAAGAAGAACTAGAGATTTGGATCTCATTTATAATGATTTGCTGTCGAAGGAGCTGATCAATGCTCTCAAGAATCAAGAGCTTGACGAAACCAAGCCCGGTTTGGGTCAATATTACTGTATCCACTGTGCCAAATACTTCGAGAACCAGAATGCTTTGGATCGCCACGTCAAGGGAAAAGTTCACAAACGACGGGTTAAGGAGTTGACCCAGCGACCGTACTCGCCCTTAGAAGCTGAAGCAGCGGCCGGTGTGAACATGGAAAAGTTTATCAATCTGGTCGAGAAGTATAAACAATTGGAACAGTGGAAGCAAGAAAACAAGCCAGAAATTGATGAGATAATCAACCAGAAGAAGAACTCTCTCGATGAAATTCTTACCGGTACCATTTCTGAGAATGCTTCTCAAGAAGCTGGCTCAGATGTTAAAATGCTGAACTGAATCACGTGACCTAAGTGGAGTCACGCAATTAACACGCGATGAGCTACGCCGACGCCTATAATGAGAATAAAGGTCAAAACCCCTGAAACACTGGTGGCTCTAACTTTAGAGGACGTACCGCTCCTGCAGTTCATTGACGCAATTACGCAACTTGATGAGAAGAGGCGCCCAGTGGAGAAATTGGAGGTCGGCTTTCCGCCGAAGCCTGTTGATCTCAAGCTTGATACCGTCATCCTGGAGGTTGGAATAAAAAATGGCGATATGGTCAGGGTATCTTTTGGCTTTATTCCCGACATTCCTTATGTACAGCTTGTTCCCAATAAAAGCTTTATAATGTTGAGAAACATTCCCGACGATAACTCTTGTATGTTCTCTGCATTTCTGTTTGGAATGGGTGAGGGCTTTCTGGTCACAGTAAGTGAATTGCGTCAAATTGTCGCAGTCCATATCAATAACAATCCTAGTATATATACTGCGGTTGTCCTTGGTCGAGATCCTCGTGAATATTGTGCATGGATCACAACAAAGGATGCATGGGGAGGAGCAATTGAGCTTCAAATTCTTGCTGACTGGTTCCAAGTTTCTGTTCATTGTGTGGATGTTGAGCTGGCTAATGTAATTCTGTTTGAAGGGAAAGACGCCACAATGGAGATGTACTTGATATATAGTGGGGTGCATTACGATGCTGTGGCTGAAAACAATCAAGTAACTGATTCCAGGGAACGAGACGTTCGCCAATGGAACGTGGGATCAGTTGACGTGAGAGATGCAACCATAAGGCTTGCCAAAGAGCTTCAAAGCAAGGATTATGCTATCAATCTCACTCGATTCAGGGTTCGTTGCTTAGAGTGTTACGAGATTTTCGTTGGCGAGGGAGGAGCTCAAAAGCACGCTAATGACTCGGGACATATTAGATTTGGTGAGGTGAAGCCCCATTCCAAAGCTCCTTAAGTAGACACATTTCGATTCGATATCATCTCAAAATTCATAACAAAATCATGGGCATCATGTATGGTGAGCAATGTAACAAGGCTGAACGTGAACTTGCATGGCCTTTACTATGAGTAGTCGTAGTAGTAGTGGTTATAACAATCGTCGCGTGTTGTTAAGCGATTGTCCAGCCCTGGCTCATCGCACTGACACGACCTCTCCAAAAAAATCGTCGAGGTTGAGAATTTCACCACACCCGATGTCCAAGTCGACCGAACTTTTCTGTAAGTAACTCAAACAAAGATTGATTCAGCGCTCATACTAACTATCAGGTAAGTTACCCCGTTCGGTGGAATTGCTTCAGGACTTCACTGATATCACGCCCGATCCAAAGGCCACTGCAGAATGTCGTAAAGCCCTTTACAGTTCCGACGGCAGCCGATTTGCTTACACTCAACCGGATGCAGTGTACGTCTTCAACACCTCTGGTAAGGCCAGTCTCCATACCAAAGTAGAGGTTGCTGAGGTTATGGACATTATGTTTTCACCCAAGGGCACATACTTAGTGATGTGGCTGAAGCCTATCCTTCTCGACCGCGAGCTGGGTAAGTGGAGTGAAAATGTTTTCGTGTACAACTTGCACACGCTCCAGGTTATTTGCAAATGGTCCAAAAACCAGCAAAACGGGTGGAAGCCCCAGTTCACTGCAGATGAATCGGTATTAGTAAAAGGTCATCAGGGAAACAAAGAGATCCACTTTTACGAGATTGATGCGAATGTGACCCAAATCACTCTTTCGCAGCCGAGTCACAAATACAAAGTGAATGACCCGCAGGCAACTTACAATGCCTTTGAAGTGTCCCCAGGGAAGAACCCTGCTATTGCCATTTTCATTCCGGAACAGGGCGGTAAACCAGCGCTGGTTTGCGTCTATAACATCCCTTCATTCAAACAGCCAATCTGTCTGAAAAACTTCTTTAAGGCAGAACGGTGTCAACTTCAATGGAATACCTTAGGGACTGCTCTTCTTGCATTGGCTCTGATTGACCACGACACCACGAACCAACTGTATTACGGAGAAACAAATTTATACTTGTTAGGTATTGCTGGTTCGTATGATTCTCGGATCACCTTGGACAAGGAAGGTCCTATTCATGACATCACCTGGTCACCACTGGCACGCGAATTTGCTGTATCTTATGGGTTCATGCCATCTCTGACCACGTTCTTTGATGCTCGAGGGTCGGCGATTCACCTGATGCCCATGGCTCCTAGAAATACTATCAGATACTCACCTCACGCTCGGTATGTGTTAGTTGCAGGTTTCGGAAATTTGCAGGGCACGGTTGATATTTACGATCGTCAGAACAAATTTTCGAAATTGGTGACATTCCAGGCCCCTAACACCTCAGTTTGTGAGTGGAGTCCTTGCGGTCGGTTCATTTTGACTGCGACAACTGCCCCTCGGTTACGGGTGGACAATGGGCTTAAGGTGTGGCATGCTTCAGGTCAGCTTATTTACATGAAAGAGTATCAAGAACTTAATCAAATTGGGTGGAAACCCCAATCTATTGACTCGTTCCCCGCTCTCAGACTGCTTGAGCCAGCACCTCCAGCACATTTACTGGCTCAAGAGTGGTTGAGCAAACGCGCTGAAACCCAGCTGACCCAAACTGCACGCCCGGCAGGCGCGTATCGTCCACCGCATGCCCGGAGAACCGGCGCGCCAGCAGCGACGTCGTCTTTGTATGAGAAGGAGCAACAATCTTTGCGTAACGCAAAGGTTGGTGTCAACCCTATTAGTGGGCGCCCCCGAGTAGTACCAGGCGCGCCGATCACCGAGCCACAAGAACTGAAGCAGGCTGCTAAGAACCGCAAGAAGCGTGCTGCCAAGAAGGAGCGGGAAGCGTCTTCGGGTTCGCCTACTCCCCAAGCGACGCCTCCCCCAACACAGCAAGCGGGTCTGGTTGTTGGCGGTGTAATTTCTTTAGAAGAGAAGAAAATTCGCTCTTTGCTCAAGAAGTTGCGGGCAATTGAGGTACTTAAGATGAAGCAAGCTAATGGCGAGCCTTTGGAGGACACCCAGGTCAGCAAGATCAACAAGGAGGATGATATTAGAAATGAGCTTATATCTCTTGGTTGGAATGATGAGTAGATAAGCAAAGGCGTTGCACTGTGAACATAAAGAGTTCGAAGGGACGATCAATAAATTATCAATTAAATAATGTAGCTCGCCATGCGCAACTGCCAAGTTGCACATTCATAACATGTTGGCACTTGAGATAGAATATGCGAGCTCTCAGTACTGAAGATCTTACGGATTTGAGCACCAGTGGTTTTTGCTGAAGACTCTCGATTGACAACTAGTAGTGAACGCGATTGAAGTCTCGAAGGTATGCACTCCTAACGCTAATCGAACACTGTGTATAATACAGTATAGGCCACACAAAGCCAGTCCGGTGATAACTTAATGTTAGTGCTAGACGACGGGCGCACAAGTTGACTATATATATTTTTGATCTCGTCATTCTCACACAATTGCACATATTTTGAAGCAGAAAAGCCAACTTATAGCTGATATAACGTGAACTATAGTACCACTTGATTCGCTTTGATACAAATCTATCTTGCGCCGTTGATTCAAACTAGGATGGCTGTCGGCCACTGCCCTCAGACTCGAATCTGTACGCGTCCTCGCTTATCGATATTTTGTGCAGTCCGTAAACACGACCAAAAAAAGGCCAAATACCCCCTCAACCCCAGACCCGTTTATGAGTGACGAGAACGAGAAACCGTCGAAAGTGAACGGCAATCGCAACTCTGATCATATGACTCAAGTGTCAAATCTGGGGCTGCCTGCTCTGGTATCGCCTTCGAAACCGGAGGTCGTGCAATCCCAACCACAATTTCGACAAAGTCTTGAACTGCTTCGCCATCTGATTTTGCAGAACACCATGTCGGAGCAGGAGTCATTCGATGGCTATAGTGAGTACCAGGAAGATCCGATTTTAAACAATCACGGTTCTATTCTCGATGAACTACCCGATGATGGTAATCTTGAGCTGGTGCTTGAGAATAGCGAGGAAAGCATAGGGGAAGAACAAAACGAAGCGCTACATACCAAAACTTATTCCCAAAATATTTCTGAGAACGATGCATCCAGCCTAAGCCGGCACAATGATACTCTGAGCTCCTTAGGCATCGCCGCATCAGATCTTGCACTTTCTAATCATCCAAATCTGCTGACACGCCCGTCCGTACAAGGAGAAATGAATGACACGATTAAACAAAAGCTTCTGCCTGAGCACAAAACTCACGATCGACTGCTTTCACCGAGTCTGTCTACGCGCAGTCGCCATGCATCCATAATCAGTAATTCCCTGGCAGGCCTGGGACCAAAAATGATGCAGCCTAAGTGGCGACACCTGGAAGATTCTGTTTCTCGTGGCCGATTTATTAATCTGCTCGATGAGATTAACCTTCAGCCAAATACATTACACGCACGATCCGATTCTATCGGTTTGTGCAAGGTGACGCAGTCGCCTATTCAGCCGCTCCAAACAGATACCCCTCATGGTGAGTCGAGCAGCCGCTCTAGCAACAATGGGTTGAGAACTTCTCGCAATCATGCCTCGCCATGGAATCGCATACGTAATCAAAACGAAGACAACCGGAAGAAGGGAAAGCTCTTTACCACAAAGAATTACCTGATACCCTCAACTATTACTGAAGTTTCATCTAATCAGGTCGAACAGTTGAACAAGGAAGTGATGAGCTACAAGATTCAACTTATGGTTTGCAAAACTTTCACTCATAAATTGATTGAGAAATGCCAAGCACATGGAATTGACACAGAGAATGATGAATACTTTACTCAGCCAAAGAGTGATGTTCCCCAAAAAGCAGATTCGGAAAGAGACAATCTTGAGGTGAAATATCAGGTTCTCCAAAAGAATTACGATGAGGTCTTCAAATTGAATGAAGATTTGTACGAAAGTATCGAGATCTTTGAAGATCAAATCAAGACAATGCAACCAATTTTGACAATAAGTACACAGGTTGTTCATGATATATTGCATACCATTATACAAGATCCCAACACCGATTTGGAGTTGCGTAATGACCTTGTGAAGTGCGTTGAGGATGCGTCCATTTCTCTTGAACAGAAATTGAAAAGAATACAAACTGAGATCAAGAGGATTCTTGAAGACGACAGATTTGAAGACTTAAAAGCAGAAGAGAAAGAGAATCAGGTTCGCGTTACCGAAAGGTTAATGAAAAGCATTAGAAGTCTTCAAGAGGAAATCAACTCACACAAAATTGAACGTGGGTTGATCGAGAAAGAGCTTCTTAAAGAAGTGGAAGAACTGAAACTCATAAAGCAAAATTTCAAAGCAATCCTGCAGAAGTTTTCTATTTTGTGTCAATCCCTAAATTCGAACTCCATTTATGATAAGGATGCTATACTGATGCTGGAGCTGGATGATGATCTCGTGATCTCAGAAAAGTTGGACTTATACAAGAAAGACATCAATAAAGTTCGGAAAGAGAATGGATTAATTTCAAACCCCAGCCGATACACACAGAGTGCCGATAACGATTACAGTTTTGAGAATCGCAATCAGTACGAGCGAATTATCGATGAGCTTAACAAAGAGCTTGAGTCTGCAAAGAAATCTTGCACATCTCAAGTGGCTGAAGTGGAACACCTTAAGGCTCTACTTCGTCAACAACAAGACGAACTGTCAACCACGATTCAATCCCTCACTACTCAGCTTCGCCAGAGCCAGCACGATGTTGCCCAAATGCGACTCAGAATGAAGAGTTTTGAACAAACAAAATCCGAACTTGCAATTGCCAAACAGAAAGAGAGAAATATGAGCACGGACAATGCTCGCCTCAAAGCAAAGTTGAGTGAGCATGCAACAGACAAGGAACGATTGCAAAGAATGGTGGACGACTTGAATGAAAGAATCCAAAATGAGTTTATTTCTCATGGATCATCTCGAGGCGACGAAATGCCACGTAAATTTGAGGCATTGGTACACCAAGATATGCATATGTTCAGCAAATTATGGAAGCTGTTCGACTGTATTGCTGACGACGAGCTGTTTAAAGAGCCCACGAGACAACTCAACGCTTTTCGTGCACTCGTCAAAAAGGATCAAGTAAACAGTATGGATGTGTTGCAATTTCATCACTATATATCCGAGTATTTCAGTCGTGCTGTTGACATTCTCGTGAAGGATCACGTTAAGTTACTCTTAGAAGACCACCAGAAGGAGTTTGAGGAACAAACTGCTCAATTGCATAAGCGTATCAACGAGTTGGAATTGCAGAATGACAAACTTTCAGGTCGATATGGTGACGACGGTTCGCAGACTGATCGAGATTATAACCTGATTATGAACGGGGAGCTCCGGAAGAAATTCCACCGTGAAAGGGAGCAGAGAATCTTTGAAAATGATCAAGCCTCAAAAAGAGTGAAAGACCTTGAAGATGAAAACGCTGAATTGCGTAATGCGCTACGAGCAGCACAGAAAAGCTAAATCACTTAAATATCTAAGTCAACGTCTTCCAGTAGTGGATCCTGTCGTTGAGCATATTTGAACCCCTCCGATATGGTATCTTGAATTTCATCTGATTTATAAGGCAAGATGCCAAGCACGAAAGCAACATCATCCCATTGTTGTTTTGATTCACTTGCATTTAGCCTGTTCAACAACTTTTCAGCCAATTGTCGTTGTTGCTTCTCCTTATCGATAAATCCAACAAGATACCGCATAATTTTTTTGAACAGGTCGCGGTTGAGTTGAAGATCAGCACTGAGGCCACTGAACATGTCAATAAAAGCATTATAAATAGCATTATCCTTCGTCGAAAGCTCCGTGAAAAAGAGCCGACACATGTCCGCAATAGTTGGGTCCAGATCCATTAGACACTTCGCCATAGAACTTAATTGACCCTTGACCTTAACTTGACCAGCCAATATAAGGAACGTCACGGTCATGAGACACGTCCGTTGGACCGTGATGTCTTCATCGTTTAAGCGACGATACAAAAAGTCAGTCCGCTCGTCCACAATGTTGTTGAAGCACACCGCCATGTCGCCCAAGCCAAGAACACAATTGCAACGGATTAAAGGGTCAGTACTTTTTTCCATAATAGTAATAAAAAGCCCTAGATTTTCCTCACAAAAAATCAGCAGAATGCACATTAATTTGGATAAGCAGAGAGTTGCCAGCCTCTGAAGATCAGGGTGATTGTACACGTGGTTATTGCTGCATATTTCAACAACAAGAGGACCATATCGTGAGCATAAACTTTTCTCACCATAGAGAACTTCACGCTCCTTAACGTGAGTAACAGCATCCGTAAAGTCATCTTCAGATGTACCTCCAATCATTTCAAGTTCTTGCTGTTGCGCTTGCTCCTCGTTATGTTCACCTTGCGCCCGCGCAATGTCCAAATCGTGTTTCTTCTTTTTAAACATGGCCTCATGAGCCTCTAACAGCACCATTAGCTTGATCGCAACATCTCCGACAATGTAGAGTAGTTGAGCTAAATCCAGAGACGCTGGATCACCACCCTCGAATACGGCCTTCGTTTTCACCTTTATAATCTCTGTGCATAGTTCGTCGGCTTCGGGGCACAAAGTGAAAATAGCAGATATGGCCTCCTCAGCAACGGAAAACCATTTAGCGGTTCTATGTGATTCGAGAAGCACATTACGTAGGCCATTGATAATCTGGTCTTTGTGAGGAATCTTGTATACTTGGTCCACTGCTGCATCATTGGGTATAAGTCTTTGAAGGGCAACAGACGTATACTTCCGTAAAATGAAATCACTTTCAGATAACCCAGCTACCAAATCTTCAATGTGCTTCACAACAACTTGATTGTCAACACTTGCAATCATCCCCAATATTATAATGGAACCACTACGAACTGCTGCTCGTTGATTTTGACTCAGATAAATAGCCCAAAGAGTATCAACCACCAGGGGGGGTATATGATTCGCATCATAAAGAAGCCCAAGCAATCTTTCAAGACTGGCAAGATCCAGGGCCAGTGCGCCAAATGTGAGCTCGATCAAGTTCTTAGCCATGTATTGCGCTTGTTGTTCCATGGCAGTCGGGGGAGGCAGGAGGAATAATTGACGATAACACTCAATCAAGTGACCCACAACTGTAATAGCATTTGAATTCTCGTCAGTTGTTGCTTTCGACCACACTAAGTGCAACATACGTCTAATTCCGTCAAAACTCTCTTCAATCCCGTGAGCTTCGACCAAAACAAGAAAGTCCATCAGCTCAATGGTTTCAAGCTTACTTTTCGAAAATAGAAGTTTTGAAACTTTTTCAGTGCCAGCAACGACAAGTCGAATAAAGCAAATAGCATCATCACAAAGCTCTAGTGTGAGACGAGCTCTTACAATCTCTTCATTGAACTGGTCACTCATAGTAAATGCGCTCTCAACATCGGAATCCTTATCAACTTCCATATCATTACCACCACTCTCCCCTTGACTTGTCGAAGTTCTTGACACTTGCTCAAATGTCTCCTTAGCTTTTTCGTGTCGATCCGTCCACTCAATCAAAGACAAACGCAGACCCGGATACTTGTGATTAGACACTAGCAGATTCATTAATTTGATAGAATTTCTGCGCACGACAGTAGATTTATCATCAAGCTGATTTACTGCCAACGCTAGCCACTTGAGTCGACGTTTAGGCTGTTTCAACAGCAGATCCAGCACTTTGGTGATAGCCTGTACGGCCTTAGATCGAACTAAAAAATGGACATCATAGAGCCGCTCTTCCAATAACTGAAGCAAGCCATCGGTGGCAGGTGCAAGCAGGTTGTCCTGTTCCTCTGCATTCACATGGATCATATCAAGAACAATGTTGCCGCACAGCTCAACAACGGCGTTTCTCAAGTGCATATTGTTGTTTTCCAATAATTGCGATACAGCAGCAAGTTGGCGCAGAACCAACCGGGGCGCCAACTGAGAAAGAGATACGATTAATTCTGCGACTTGCTTCGGACCATTCGTGTCTGCAGCATCAAAGTTCGAATTTCCAATTTCAAGTAATACGTCCTCGGTCAACTTTGGATAGTTGTATGTGTTTGCAATGAGCACCAATAATTCCGCTAAATGTGGTGCCAAATGATGGAAATATTGGAGTAACTGAGTTACCAGATGACGAATAATTGCATGGTGGTTGTGGAACTGTACAGAAAGAGCAAGGATCTTGAATATGAGCTGGCGAATATTGAGCCTCTTCATGCGATCGGGGTCTTCCATCAAATTGATAGTAGGCCGAGTGAACAATTCAACAAATTGATCCCGTTCTGTTGACAGAACAAACATCTTATCAAGGTGGGATATCAGTATCACGGCTGTCACAGCTTGTAAAGCATCCTCGACTTGGTGATTATTTATTTTAACAATATGCTCATCCATATTCAGTAGCTTTTTGCGTTGTTCTTGACGAGGGAGCTCCTCCTTACTCAACCATTTGAGAACCACGTAAATAAGATAACTGAACTTCTCCACCAAAATTTTGAGGTCAATATCGTCAACATGGCCATGAGTAACAGCATTTGCCACTTGCAGAGCCACCTGCTGCACTCCCAGAGTCACCAAATACACAAGTTGTTTGCGTTGAGACCTTGGGAGTTGTGGCATCGCGTGTGCGAGCTCAAGCATATTTTCGAACAAGTCATTGTCGTAATTTAATGTTTCGGGATTTGCAAGTAATTGGATTGCTGACTCTAGCTTTGCATCAATGTCGGTCACCTCATAGTCTTTATCCAAGTCAAATCCATTGACTGCCGCGGCGAGATTGAAATCCATAATAACGCGTAGTGGTGCGCACTTATTTGTTTACAGGAATCACTAACGTCACTGAAGGTACTGCACTCAACCATTAAACCTGATGAGGTGAGAGAATCACTACCTTAAAACAAATGCGTACATCTACAATAATCATATAACTCAAACTCCAGAAGTGCCCATCAAATGTAACACGATTATCATAACTAAAGTCATTTTACAGAATTTGCTAATTCTAACCCTTATATAAGCTGGTGGCTTCGGGCAATCTATTGCCTCCTCTTAAAACCAGACTAAAATGTATCTGTGAATTTAAGGTTTATCCGATGGGCAGGTCATAAATTGGAAATCCCGAGGATTTCAACTTCAAAGATTTTCATACAAGTAGACCGATTAGATCGTGCCGTTAGATTGACATGGGGTTTTTCTCGTTACTTTTTTCATCTTTTACCTCCGCACTGAAAATTTCCCCCTCATCTCTCACATGCACGCTTTAAAGCCGTATACGGCCTGACTTTGCCTCACATGAGATTGATACATTTCTAGAAGTCACACAGGATGTCGCATTAGTTGGATTACCCTTGATGGCAGCATCGGTTCACTCATCAAGTCTGCAGATCAGCATTGATCTGGATCCCCAACTCCTTCTTGGACCTGTCGATACTGAGTCCACTCAGATTTCAGGTACACCGTTGAAGGAATCAAAATGTACAATGGTACCCAGAAAACAGCGACGTGGTCTACTAGGTCAGTTTGTCATTCTTCCCGAGTATTCGGATGCTAGAGATTACCCGAATGCGTTCAAAAGTGTGATCGTATTTATCGTTTCCCTTTCGGCCATCACCGGACCTATGGGAGTTTCGATTATGATGCCAGCTCTTGAAGACATCGTAACTGAGCTTCACACGTCCACGCGAGTTGTCAATATATCTGTGGGGACTTACGTGCTTCTGTTTGGCGTATTTCCAATGTGGTGGTCATTGTGCCTGGAAAGATATGGTCGGCGAACGGCATTTCTCATAAGTTTCTCCTTGTTCTTTGGATTTAGTTTTGGTACTGCCTTAACACCAAACATTGCGGGTCTTATTATCTTCAGAATCCTTCAAGGGGGATGCTCGGCTCTGGCACAAGCTTTGGGAGCAGGCATTATTGCTGATTTATACGTCCCACAAGAAAGAGGTAAGGCGATGGGGTATTATTTTTTAGGGCCGCTTTGTGGTCCATTTTTAGCACCCATAATAGGTGGAGCAGTGGCTCAAGGTTGGGGATGGCGAGCCACTCAATGGGTACTAGTGATTGTCTCAGGTTTCAATACATTTCTTATAATGTTCTTTCTTCCTGAGACTCTTCGCCAAGGTGAGGCTCCCCTAGCGTCGACACAACACGATAGAGAAGTACACGACGATGGAGAAGTACAAGACGATGTTGAGCCGGTGGCAGATCCTTACTTGCAAACATTATCTCGAGTTTCAACAGGGAAGTCCCTCTACTCATTACACGTTAGGAATGCCACCAGCTGTATGAGTACAAAAGGTACAACTTTTTCATGGTGGGATCCAATTTATAATATGCTTGTCAGACCTTTGCATTCTTTGGTTTTATTTAGGCATCCTCCCGTTGCACTAGTCATAGGATATTCAGGGATCATGTTTTCCGTGATATTTTTCATCAACATGACCATAACATATGAATATTCGAGATTCCCCTATAATATGCTGCCCATAATTATTGGTTTATTATACATTCCTAACTCGGTTGCTTACATCCTTGCACTGATGATCGGTGGTCGTTGGAATGACCACTTTTTGAAGAAATATGCTCGAGAACACAATGGCGAGATAAGACCCGAACTGAGAATCCTGTGGAATGTGGCAATAGCGGTTAGTATGTTTCCGCCGGCATGCTTGATATTCGGGTGGTGTCTCGACACTAAGCAACACTGGGTGGTGCCATTAGTGGGCACCACTCTCTTTGGATTCGCACTGATGATAATAATGGGAACCACAGCGACCTACTTGGTCGATTCTCTTCCTGGGAAAGGTGCCACTGGTAATGCGATGAATAACTTGGTGAGACAGTGCCTTGCCGCTGTAGCCATATTTGTTGCTGAGCCTGCTTTGGTTGGGGTCGGTCCTGGTATACTTTTTTCAATTCTTGCCGGAATTTTGTTTGCTGCCAACATATTCTTACTAATACTCAAGCGGAAAGGCGATCATTTTAGAGATACAAGTCGTTTACCTAAGCTATACGAAAAATTATAGACGTTGATATGCATTGCCAAATTAATTCTCAAGAAATTCCTTGATGTTAGCTCCACCAGCATTGACGATGGCCTTCGTCTTGGATAAGATGTCACTGTAGTTTGTAAAAGTCGTATAGGGGATGCCTTCGCGTTTAGCGTAAGTGATTAAATCCTTACCTTGTTTGGCAAACAACAAGTTTGTCTCTTTAGCCGCGGAAATGTCCGACACCCCGTCACCAGCGTAAAACATAAGGGTGGAATTCGTGTCCACCTTATGCCGTGCCAAATATTCACGAATCGATTTAGACTTATCGTGACCGAAATCGGAGTCATCCTTGTACACAATATCCCACAGACCGTCTTCCTCGATCTTGACATCATTAGATAAAATTTCAATATTATCAACTGCCTCCGGACCCACAAGTTTGGTGAGGAGAGCTTTGATGATAGGGGTCATTCCACTCAGGACGACTACCACGGGAATATTTTTCAGTGTTGCCCATTTGTAAAACTCAGGAAATCCAGGATCCAAATCAACATTGGCAAGCAAAAGGTCAATACATTCAGGCATGGGCGTCGTCACCAGATCTAACATGGCTTGAAATCCATCACGAAACAGCATTGACCCGTCAAGAATTCTGTCATTGATTTCCAAGCGTTTGGGACGACCAAATCCAATGTTCTCAGTGAGATAATCATTGGAATCTTGAAGAGTGATTGTCCCATCCCAATCGGAAAAAAAAATTGTACCTGAGTTCGTCATTGGTGTAAATAACAAGTGGCTAATTAAAGGTTAACGTGGAAAGTTATATATTAATGTAACATGATGTAATATGGTAGCGCCGTCTGGCTCACACTTGTGCTAAGCGCGTTCGTCCACGTTGGGGGTGCAGAATTCGCCGAAATTCACACGAACCGACTGCATCTTAGGGTAGATACTTGCAAAACTCAGAGCAACCGACCTTCCTCACATCTCAAATTTGAATGATGCATATTCTGGCATTACCGCACCATTAATAAAAGTCACACAGCTATTCATTCCGAAACATTGTATTCAGGAGCTGTTGATTCGCAAGTTTCGATGTGCACATGACTTAAGACGGTGGCCAAATGTGACACATTCGTGAACAATCGGTTGGTCTATCTTGATTATTAAGCAACAATCAGTCACTTTTGATTCTTGCAATAATATCACAGTTTCCATAACATTATTTACCTTGAATCTGTTATGTGAAAATGTGATTACCTGGTTAAATCGAACTCAAATAGTAAACGTTCACTGTCTAACGGATTTCCATACTTAACACGTTTCTACCCCTATCTCATCCTGATCTTCCGTCTTCATCTCGCACTATACATTAGCAAGCTTCGGGCCGCAGGCGCAGGCAAATCCACGAAATTGGTCTAGCCACACAGCAAGTTTAGTAACAACCTTGGTTGAATCAATCAGGAACACCAAGGATGTTTGAGAACTTGAAGGCTTTTATTCGTCATGGCAAGCAGGCTAAGGAGCCTGAATACCAACAACAGTACCGCCAGCAGGCTTCCGTGGTACCCGATCTGCTGACGTTATTAGCCTCTGAAGGGTTTGTACCCGTGGCTGTACCAGAGACTACACCCGATGATGCCCCGACTACCACCCATCTCTACGCTAGTCAAGCCAATGCTAGCAACCAGTCGCTTCTGGCGACACAACAATATCAGGAGCTTGCTCTGCAAATGGTTGAAGAAGAGCGGGCTCAACGCAGTTCGAAGAAGAAATACCCCAATTTGGACAATTATGAGGTAATGGAACAAATGGGAGAGGGAGCCTTTCTGATTGTTTACAAGGCCCGTCATTTGCCAAGCGATCGGTTGGTGGCAATCAAAATCTTACGCAAATTTCAAATGGATTCAGCCCAGAAGAACGCAGTCTTCAAGGAAGTGACCATTATGCGCCAACTCAATCATCCCAACATTGTTAAGTTTATTGAATTTATCGATCTGGAAAAGTACTACTATATTGTGCAAGAATTAGTTGCAGGTGGTGAAATTTTCACAGCTATTGTCAACTACACTTACCTTTCTGAGGATTTGAGCCGTCATGTTATTGTACAAGTGGCTAAGGCTATACGATACCTTCATGAAGAAGTGGGTGTGGTGCACCGCGATATTAAACCCGAAAATTTGTTATATGTTCCAATTGACTTTATACCCCTGAAACATCGCCAATTACGCCGATCCGACGATCCCAATACCAAAAAGGATGAGGGTGAATTTATTGAAGGCATCGGTGGTGGCGGTATTGGTTTGGTGAAGCTTGCCGATTTTGGTTTGTCTAAACAGATCTGGGAGCACAATACAAAGACGCCATGCGGTACGGTTGGATACACTGCTCCCGAAATTGTCAGAGACGAGCGTTATTCTCGTGAAGTCGACATGTGGGCAATTGGTTGTGTTCTCTACACCTTTTTGTGTGGATTTCCTCCATTCTATGACGAGCGCATTGAACTGTTGACCGAAAAGGTCGCTAAAGGGGAGTACACCTTTTTGAGTCCTTGGTGGGATGAGATTTCTCCCGCAGCGAAGAACTGCGTTTCCAAATTATTGACTGTTGATCCCAGCAAGCGGTATACCATTGACGAGTTTTTGCAAGACCCTTGGGTTGTGAACGGTCATAAAGTGGCTTCGACGCAACCGACTACTATGGAAGCACCTTTGCGGAAGTCCAAACTGGCACTACAAGCACAAGCGGCAGTCAATGGCGCAAAGCAAAAACATCCGATTCAACAGTTCAATCAAGCGAATTTCAACCCCGACTTGTACTCACCTGCAGCATTGGCTCTCAGAGATGCGTTCGATATATCAACGGCGGTGCATCGAATGGAGGAAGAGAAGGCTTTGCAATCCAAATTCAATAGCAACAACATGGTCTTCGATTTGGTTGAAGAGGAGGAAGACGAACATGGTGAAATTATCGTTAAGGATCCTCCCGTCAACCGCCAAGTCCAGATGCCTGCAACGAAAACCTTCGATTTAAATTTGGGGGGTGCTAGCATCTTGGGACGCAGAAAGAATAAGATGGTAACCACATAAAGATGTTCATAGAATAATGTTATGCCTAATGATTTGTAGTCCTAGCGGCGTTGGATAATTTATACGTCCAACACATTCCCAATGTCACATCTCTCCCTAGTGTTGATTTTGACGTGCACGTTACGTACTGTGTGACAAGATCTTAAGCCTCTTGTCGAAGAATTTGTCGCCAAAAGCGCGCGAAATTCGTAAAGCATATCTTAACTGCCCACTAACCCCTTCTTCCCGCGTTCTCACCATGAATCTTATGGATATGTTAAGTGGAGGTGATAGTCCTTATGATCCTCTGGTTCAGCTAATGGACGAAGGCGCTGCTGAGCCGGCTCAGCTGATGCATTTATCTCACTCTCACATATATTATCTTCCAACATTGTTGACAACACTACAAAGGGAATTGGTCGAGGTAGTGATACTGATGTTTCGAAAGGAGATCGACTCGATAAGCTTGGAGAAGCAACTGCGAACACGGATATCTAACCTTGTCGACGCGCCAGATGACGTGCCATCAACCCTGACACCTCAGTTTTCCAATTTTGATAAAATTCGGCTATTATTTGATCAATTGATGATTATCGACAAGCATCCTAGTCTTCTTGTTGACCATTTCATTCCACGTAAATTGATCTTGAGCGAGTTGAATGAACGGGTATTAACCCTTTCAACTAAGCTTCAAATGATTGATCGAGTGGTTGACGGTTTAATCGACGGTTTGAAAAGTACCAATAACTCAGGATACCACATGTTATTGGTGGCGCAGAGTGCCCGTGAAATTGAACTAGTAGAAGGTCTTATAATTGGTAAAGATTTATACTACCAAAATCTCAGCAATTCGAAGTTGTATGATGATAAGTGTCCGATACCCAGTGATCTTGGGGGAAGATTGGTCATCTACATGATTACGCTGTCGCAATTGTACAACAATTACATTCCCGAAACGATTGGTGGTGCCAAATGGGAGCATCTGCTGCTGCTGCTGCTGCCAGAACCCCGTTCATATCGTCGCCGTCAAGCTCAGATGGAATATCCAGTTCGCTCACAGAACTCTCAATTTAATTTGATCATGTCCCTTGATACTAAATTGGATCCTCTGTCGCCGCTGCTAGAGTTCTTGCGACCAGAGCATCATCGAACTCCCATGATTATTCCTGTGCCCGTCAATCTGATCGAACACATTGTGAGTCAGCTTCAAGAACCGCTGCTTCTGTTAACGGAAAGTTACACTCAATGGCAGCTTCAAGTAATAGAAGCACTTATAATGAATTGGGATAACCCAATCCCTTGTGATGAATCCGAGTTTTACTTGAAGTACTATGGCGCAAATCTCAATAAATTGTTGCCTTATTTGTTACATTGGCATGAACTGGAGGAAATTAATTTGAGTGACTTAATGGAGCCGTTCAATCGACAATTAGGTATGGGGTTCTCCACGGGGGCTATGCTTGCGAAACTTGCTACTATTGTTGATCGTGGACTGACTCTTGAGCAAGGTGAATTGGGTGTAGCATCGACAATGATTCTTCCACTCCGAAGTTTCGATTATGAGCTGTTCAAGCTGACATTGGCAGAGATCTTGAACAATAAACTCATCAATCTCTCATATCAACTGCAAAGTATTGAGAATTCAACGTTGATGCGATGGCGATCTGACCAAACCAAGAGACAGTTGGAGTATGACATCAAAGAGGACGATATTGCTGCTAAATTTCGCAAATTACGGCGCGTGCAAGAGGATGCAACTTCTGTGGAACAGAAGCTAACACGTTACGAGCTGTACTATACAAAATACCAACTATCAAAGATTGAGTGGGATAGCAAGATCAACTTTTTGCGAGCCAGCGCTAATAAACTGGGTGCGCAAATCCGTGAAGTTGTTATTCCGGGACAACAAACTAAAATCAAGGAACTTTCGAATGAATTGGAAACGCTCACTGATATCCATATCAAGCTTGATTGCGACTATGAACTGTTAAGAGAAAAATACCAAGGAACGCTGGCTGACGCAGTGCAATTGCTGCTGCAGCTCCGCCAATTAAAACAGAAACTCAAGATGATCAGTCTGAAGGCTGAAGGTTCGGGAGCAACGCAATTACCACTGCTGATGCGGAGGGATGCAATGGGTGAGGCAAGCATTCGTTTGAAACGATGTCGTGATGAGAATGATTTCCTTAAGGGTTTCATAGAGTCTCGAATTGATCGAGTTTTAGCTGAGCGCCACGAAAAGGACCAAGCTAATCTGGGAGGTCGTCGTAGTCGACAAGGAACGCCTATATAGTGAATCAAATTAAGTCAACTTTAGCAAAAAATGTCGCGCAAGTGCTCACACGCAACCGATCTTCTCCCGCATCGTTGTCAAACACACGTGAGCATCCGATTCTGAATTTACCACCGACCGTGAAGTCAATGGTAAGCTGGCGTACAAGCTATTGACAGCCTTGACGTTGCAGATCTGAAGTTTCGCTTACGAAAAGTGGATGACCACGATTGTTCATGAATACGACGTCGAATACAGCGATGACTGTGGTCATCATTGGAGTCCAGCAAGCCTTGACTTCATTGAACACAACGTGAAGTTTGAAATGCTGATAGAGTCAGCACCTAATGAAAAGCTTTTGATTGCCACATCCTACCTCCGACACAACAGATTTGTCGTTTTGCGCAATCTTCAAAAGCAGCATCAATTTTCTTTAGCGCAATATGTGGTCAAAATTCTAGGCTACAAAGGTTACCGAGTTCTTAGACTCAAGAACTATTTGCTTCATTCGACCCTGGCTTCGTCACTGTTACAAAGAACTAACGATTCTTTATTAGTTGATCAAAGTAGCTTCCAGCAGAGTCCGGCGTTTGAAGACGGTTCATTGCAAGATGCTCACATGACAGAATATGGCGCCAGCTTTACTTACTCAGTACCTTTACCAAAGCACACCCATACGTACGAAAACCTATCTCATGCGGAACATGAAGAAGTGATGAATCCTGATTTTGGGATAAGTTTAAGCCTGAGTGAAGAACTCCATCATTCATCACTTCCTTATCAAATACCACTGCCACATGAAGAGCTGTTTATTGAAGGAAGTATCCTTTCTCGGATTCCTCTCCACTCAAATACAAGATTCGGGTTAATGGAGGAAACCCAAGGTCCTGAAAATCCATAAAGAGCTTCGATGATGTTGAAAATGCTTTTAAAGGTTGATGCATTTATTGAGAGCTCTTAGATACTTGGGCCCTGTTGGCATTGCTACGTTTTTGAGCCGTCGTGATCAGATCGAATTTACGCTGATGGAGCACGACAATACTTTCATTTATCCTTTGTGACAGACCTCATCAAATTCCTTACCTCGGATCCCAAACACATTTTGAAAATAGCAAAACTCATTGACTGGCTCGGGATTTATTCGGCTCACATTAAATCGCCTGTGTCTTACGGTGGAGAAGCTGACCGCGCAACTTACATCATTGAGAAAGAGATGATCTTCACAATCTCTCAGAAGGTTTCAGCTTCTCTTTTCAACGTCTACTAAATCCACAACGCGCGAATACAGGTCAACCCAATTGGTGGTCATTCACAGTGTGCGCGAGCTATCGGTTGTTTTAGCACGACTTGATACTAGTATTTGCAACTCTGCTAAGCTCGCTGTTAAGAAATCACGGCAAGTTAATTGAATTTAAGCATGTTTGATGTGAACTTACGATTTAAACTTAGTGAATCTGATCTTTGAGAGAATGTAATTAGTTTGACAATCCTGTTGATGACTGATAACGAATGATTTTAAGCATACACTTTCAGTTGTAACTACATAATCATCTACCTTATTAATTTCGCATCTTGAATATGGTATTGCGAGATCCATATCTTGTTATGCATTTGGCTGGTGGTTATGCCTTACAAAAATTATTCTTTTGCGTGCAATCCTACCGCCAATGTCAAACCGACAACTATATCGAACATGATAGTATTGTCTGGTCTAAATACGCGATCGTCTTCGTATACCGTAATCCAACCGAGCTTATCGTCATCAGGTGTGTCATCTTGAGGATGTTGAACATAATATAAACCGTCACCCCCAGTAAAGTACTTTGTTACACTCAGGCCAACACCTAAATCCTCTTCCATGTCTCTCCCACGGAACTTACTCAGCACGTAGTTTGACGAGCCAGGAAGACGATTGCGCTTCAAATGTCTGGAAATTTTTTTGTGTAGCTTCTGGTCATTCGGTCTAAAAACAGCCAAAACGGGTGGGAATTTCGTGTGGCCATCATCAGTGTGTACAGCCGCAGGATCGGACTCCTTATAAAGTAAAGCTGCAGAATTATCATCGTCATCACCATCGACGATGTAATTTTGATGGAAATATACATTACGCTTTCCAACATAACAAGACTGTGATTCCTCATTACTCCGTCCCCCTATCAACCCCAGAACCCACAGACGAGTTCTGAGTGCAATCCCCAGGGAGCGAAAACGGGGTATCAGTCCCACATTCCATCGCAAGTTGTTAAAATCTCTATACTCGAAATTTAACCTAGGAAGTTGAGCCTCTGCGGCCCCAGGCGGACAATATTTCGATGGGATTTCTTTAGGAATCAACAAACCGTTGTATGATGTTGCCAGTGACAAGGTAGTGGACGTTCGAAAATGCAGGGTGTGCGATAGAGATGTCTGTGAAACCTGCGACATCGAAAATGGTGCCTGCTTCATCAATCGCAGCTTTGTTGGTATCAGAATGGCAAAGTAACCGCCTTGATATTGAGGCTTTTTAGTAATGACCATTACTGGATTTTGAGCGTCCCGTGACAGGGATTCAAACGAGGTCATGTCTTTGAAAATAAGGTTGAAGCCCAACGATGGGTCTGGCAGGGCCAGTTTGTCGAAATACAAGACCTCCACGTAAAAGCCAGGACCATTACGACAATAAAGATGCTCGGTGTCCGGGTTTGTAGTGAGATACAAGTCACTTCCATATCGTAGGACGTGATATTTCCAATATGGGGCGTGGCGATCATTTTGCTGAGACTCTCTCAGTACCAAAGGATTGCCGCCGACTAGTGACCTGTCTCTTGACGCGTTAGGTACACTAAAAGCTTCTTCGATCAAGCGGTTGCTCTTGATACGCTTAAGGGTTCCACCGAATGAGAAGCGCTTGTACGACCGTTCTCTAGAAACAACATCGCTGTGGTGGTCAGGCTCTTGCTTAAACATTGAGTAACGTTTCAAATTACGCCCGACACCCTGGAGCAGAGCCATCGTGCGTTGCGTCTTTGAAGTTTGGGTAGTTCCTTGAGTCTTCACGCTAGTTTTACTGTATGCGGTAGTCTGAGTATTGCGGGTGTGATGGGTTTTTGTCAGATGGCTTGTGTTTATGGAATGAGTCGAATGAATATCCCGTTCATGCATATCATCTGGTGACGGGAGGCTGTAGTCAGCATCATTTGCTTTGTCGTCATCGATCGGTCTTTCCTGAAACGTGTCTTCTCCGAGCTTCAAATCATCAAGCATCAGGCCCAAATCGATATGGAGATCGAGATTCAAGCTATCACAATTGTCAATAGTAGGAGCGTCATCGTTGATCAAAGTTGTCGTTGCCAGCAGTTCCGTGTAAAGCTGACGTTTGGACTGGGCGGAGGCCAGATTGATTTTGGGATCTAAGCGTTGTGGCACAGTTGTATGCAACGTCGTCATGAATGCTCAACGGTGATGACTTGGCGCAGTTGAAAGACAAAATAAGTAGATCAACGGTTAACCACAGGCAGTACACACTTCACACGTCCAGTTGCGTCGTAAGATAGACGAAAGTTAACAAAAAGGATCAGCTTGACGCATTCGGCAGTGTGTAGTAGGACTATACATCGGGCAAGTTTGTATGCAGGGAAATGGCACTGCCCTTCCTTCGCATAGCGTGTCGAGTTACGTAAGCTCGAGCAAGCTGAACAGTGTACTCACCATTACCTCGTCTTATAATGAAAGAAACGAGTGGTTTGTAGTCTATATCGTCTAATGAATGAAGCTTTGAGTTTCAGAAACAAGCAAGGGTTAACCTGACTGAATGTTAATGATGAATAAAAATCTTTCAAGGCATCAGTCGGGTGAACCTTTGTATTCATTGATGATATTGCCACCGTTATCAATTTTAGCTCTGTGAAGCTACTACAGTTATACCTCTTATCGCATAGTTTTGGCCAGACTTGTGTGACAATGATGATATTGATGGGATGGCTATGGGAGTTGTTACGTAATTCACACTGGCACAATTCCGTCTGTAAGTCTCGATTTGAAGACGTCACTTTGATTCGTACTACTTCAACAATTTCTAACTGAGGTGGTTTCAATACTAATGCAAAGACCAAGTAATATCTGAATAGCGACCGGCTGATGACGGAGCCGCTGCGCGTGTCAGCCGTGTGGTTTTCCAAATTTAGGCACCCGGGATATTACCGCGGACATTTGGTTTTTGCATGTGTAACCAGTGGAATCGAAAGCCTCGGGAATAGCTACTTGTTTATACCAAGAGGTTCGGGTCCTTCCAACCCGTCAACTACCAGTAATTATCTGCAAGGAGAGTGGTTATCGATGGAGAGAACTTCATGAACCGTAGTAACGTTGATTTGTACGATGGACACGCAACACCATTGGTCACTGACGCATACCAGAGGGCTGCAGAAGTGCCGACCCTTGAGGATTGCAAGATTTTCGTCCCGTACAAGTGGCAGAGCTATTGTGAACGGCGATGGCAGAATTGAAATCCAGCTATCGCCGTCCATTATTTAAATAACTCAAAAATGTAGATAGTTGTGGAGGTGTTAGTAGAATACATTTCTGAATGTTGTTTTTAAAAACAAATTATATCGTGGATGGCGCTATCGGTTGTTTCTGCGTGCGAGCAGCGAAAAACGCATGCCATAAATCGACGTTCAGCACAGTTTCACCCTGCGTTGGCCGTTTCAGAACCATAGCATCGATGCCCTCGCTATTCATGAGAACCATACTTTCGGCTTCTGTCAAACGTTGTTCGTCAGCATTAGACTCAGTACTGTTATTACGACCGCTGTTGAGATATTCAAGACGACGGTTCGCCGCCATCACTGCAATCAGTTCTTCCACTGTATTCTCGATAACGAACATCCACACTGAGGTGGGTTTCGTTTGACCGATACGATGAATTCGCAGAATGGCTTGTAGCTCTAACAGGGTGTTCACAAGAGGCTCGCAAAGAAACACATGAGTGGCATTCACCAACGTTAGCCCACTCGCTTGGGCACGTGCGTTGAGCAAGAAGCATGTTATATTACTGTCTTTAGCTTTGAATTGCTCCACCGGGTCGTAGCGCTTATGAGGACGCCCCATGCCTGTGTCTGGTACCAAGGCACCGAAAGACCCCAAAAATGTGATGTCATTTGCTCTGAAAGCTGTACCCAAGATATACAACATATCTTGCCACTGCAGGAATATGACGATTTGAACTTGAGGATCTTTGGATCTCAAGTAAAGTACCTGGCGCACAATCATGTCTACCTTTGTTGAATACTGGTTTTTCAACTGCATTTGGTCGATTGCAGCGATTTGATCTTTCGGAAGTGGTTTGTATATCAGGTATAGTTTGTCTTTTTGGGAACCGCCAACGTCTTCAACCAATTGAGCTTTTAATTCAGGTTTAGTATGGGTAAAGTTGTAAACCTGATTGACTTGAATTAGCCTGTTGCACATGGGGCATTTGCTATGGGCATGAAGCCATTCCGAAAGACAATCCTTGCAGTACTTATGACCACATGCCGTCAACAGACCAATGGTTATCACACCACGACAAATAACGCACATCATTTGCTCCTCTAATTCGGTCTTCAGAGCATCTTTAGAAACAAAAAGCGAATTGAGATATCGAAATCTCCCTATCAGTTTTCCCAAAGCATCTTCATAACCCAGATAAAGAGCCAACATCAGTGTCAATTTTGCACTCACAGCCAGATCGGTGAGGTCGGTTTGAGACATTTGCCAATCAGTGTCCTTCACAGAGTCTGAGATTTGCTGCAATTGTTTGAAATACTCGATCCGGGCATTAAAGACGGCATTGCAGTGCACGGTGAGTTCCCGGGTGACCAGAGCAAGGGCTGCTTTTTGATTCTCCAAGAAAACCCCAAGTTGTTGTGAAAGTTGATCAGAGGAGACGTTCTCTGTCACTGTGACTTTTAAAGCCTCGACCATCTCTTGAAGCAGAACTTTGACTACGGGACGAACTTCGTCCGCCGATTTCTCAAGTGATGCAAGGTATTGATCGTCATCTACCTGGGGTGTCTCCTTTCGACGTGGTCTTTTTGTTTCCGTCTCCTCAATACCGTAAATCCATTGTTTTCGAGCTGCAAGCATTCTATCAAGAACAACAAGCAAGCATTGCACTTTATCCTGATCAACTAACAGTTGTTCAAATTCCTTACCACTTGGGTCGCTAGTAGCACCCACCAATGGCTCTTTCAAAGTCTCCACAAGCTTTTGCACCCACTGATTGATTAGCAGAGCTTCTCGATTCAATTGTTCAACTAGGCGAGCCGTTTGGTCAACTATAACTTTCACCTCATAGTTCGGTATATCGCATGAGGCTGCATCAAATTTCATGATAGGTATCCTGAGAATTGCACGATTTTTCTCTTTAGGGAATAGAGTAGCACCATAATCAAAATGGTCCTCCTCAGCATTAAAGTATAACTTTCGTTGCCCCAAACGAGTGCGCACAGCTTGCTCTACATTTGCCATTGACAGACTAAGAAGTTCACGACGAAGGTCTTCAGCGCGTTCATAGAACTCGTATTCAGCATTCCGGGCGTCGTCAGCGGAAATATTGACATCAATGGCCGATGAAGCAAGATTCAAGTTGTCAAGAGGCACCTTGGCAAGTTCACAAATAATCTCGGCATGCCTTTTTTTCGAGTAATCCAATAAGTGTAATTGGGGTAAGATCACAGTCGGTCTGTGTTGAGCAGTAAGCTTGAGATAATCCGGGTCATAAAGTTGAAAATGTGCTGAACCAATCAAAAAGAGGAATTTGTGCAAGATGACTCGCCACAGGCGAATCAACAAACGTGAGCCATTAGCTCGGGAGTCTTCATTTTTTTTCACTTCCCGCTCAAGTTGTGCTTGAAGTCGGTATAAGATTTTCTCCACTTGAGTAGCCCCAACTTTCAAAAACTTGAGCGCCACGCGAGGCATAAACACAAACTCAAAGAATTCGGCAATATCGGTAAACAAATTTATTATCTGCCGCTCATCGTCATTAATTTCCGTCAAACTTTGGGCCAACATGTCTTCCAACAACTTATCCAAGCTACTCAATTGCTGCACAACATTAACCATATTCGTATGCACTCGTTTATACCTCTTCAGATTGACGTGGAGGTTCCCTATTTGAGGCAGTCCACAATGTTGCCTCAACCGTTGGAGCCACAAACGCATGTACATCAACATCAGTGGTGTCGACTCCCATGATTCGGTGATCGGATTTCCGTTGATATCCATGCATAAGGTACTCAAGCATTCCTCAAACATTTGGTTATACAGTTCCTGCTCCACGGCCAGAAACTCACGGGTCATTACCACACGTTGCTGAGGAGGTAATTGAATATCATTATGTACCATAGCCTTCGTGTGACGAATCGCTATCGTAGTCCATAGTTGTACAAACTCGTGGGGGTAGGAAACTAAACATTCCCAGGCTTTTTTGGCGTCGCCGTTGAATGGAGAATACCTCAAGAACTGCAAAATCAGATGGAGATCTTGAAGCAGTTTTTTCATTGGAGTACCAGAAACACCCCAGGCATGAAACCGAGGAATGAGAGCAGCACTTTGGAACGCTCGAGACACTTTGGAACTCACCATTTGGACTTCATCGAGAATCACCCGCCAAAATTGTGAGAGCATTAACGGCAGTTCGTGATCTTTCAGCTTATAGATCTCAGGGATTCTATTGTGGGTAATCGCAGCTTCTATCTCATCCTGTAGTGCCTTCTCATAATCTGTGGGACCTCGCGGATTTCCCAGCCTTTGATTGGCAACTGAAGGTTTAATCAGCGATATCAGAATCTGAAACATGTCTCGATATAACTCAAGAGCCTTTTCGTCCTCATCCTCTTCTGTGACCTCTGGCAGATTTACTGGCTCTTCATCCAATCGAGGTCTCTTTCCAGTAAAGTATTGACTGTATTTCTCGTCTTCCTTAATGCTATTGCGCGTAGTTCGTTTTTGAGACGAGAACTTAGCGTGATCCAACTCGCGCGATATCGTTTGATAAGTCGTAAATACAACATCAAAACGACGGAGGTATTCTGCAATGAGCGCTGGCAGATCCCCGAGTTTTGGGTATTCCCCAATGCCTTTGTACACAGTTACTGCCAACAGAGGAGCCAAACGTTCCATTTCCAGGACCCACTGCTTGAGAATCAGTTCAGGCGCAATGATTAATGTCGTGCGGGCTTTTATTACCGTTTTGGGTTTTCCGTAAGTTGTGTGTTGGTATTGAAAGACTTCCAGAACCTCATCCTCAGGTCGTTTATTCATTAGTATGGTTGCCGCAACCTCCACTGTTTTTCCAAGGCCCATCTCTTCAGCAAGTAAGCCTTGTGCAGGAAGATGTTGCCAGTTCTTAGAGCTCTTTCGTAAACTTTGTACAAACAAAGCTGCAGACTTCCGTGAAACAACTTGGGCGGTGTATTTGTTATAGTAGAATTGCAGCTGAGCGCCATACTTGACTCTTTCCCAGCCAAATGAAAGCTTGGCTAATGTGTTAAGCAAAAGCCGGTCAATCAAATCTAATTTAACGCGTTCGCCAGACAAATACTCGTCAAGAAGATGATGATCTTGATTAGACGTCAAAGGGATTGGCTTGCATCGCGATGTTTCCTTATCAAACCGCACATTTTCCTTGCGTAGCATCCACTCAACTGTAGTACGTTGAAAAGGTAATAATTCCGTTTCAAGCTCAGGGATGTTGAAATGATCTGCAGGGACGGGAGTCATTTGCGCAGTATACGCGCTAACAGCCAGATAGAATAGTTGGGCTGTAACCTCTTCACCATTGGTGGTAAAATCACGGCTGAATTTTGCATTGCCACCATCATCATCAACAGGATCATTCTCAAAATACTCGTATGCAATACTCTTTACTTTCTCTGCAGCATCCGGGAGCAAAGCCTTAAACGGGGTGAATCTCGCTTTAAGAATCATGTGAAAAGCTATGTGCACAGACTCCGTCTCGGGATCGAGCCGAATAAATAATTCTGGATCAGATATAATTAAGTCATTGCGGTCGGCTCGTGGCAGTGAATACATCAACAATGTGGCGACTTGTCGAAGCGAATGCATCAGAAGACTACCATCGCTAGACGGTTTGACTTGCATATTCGGGCATGTGAACAGAAGAAGGATCGTATTGGGTTGTTTGCGCTTTTGCAATAGTCTCACGAGAAGATTGTCAGCGTCAACTTTCACTCGTATATCTGTGGTATGAAACTCATAGATATTTTGAACACGAGGCAAATCTAGTGTGTAATCCGTCAATGCCACAGGGCTTGGTGAACTGAATTCGAACCGCTCGTCAAAGATGGTCACCAGCTCTGCATTGATGGTAGTGTTTGATTCATCATTCCCAAATTCAGGCAGGCATCGATTTCGAGGCTTCTTGTATTGTAATTCATTTCTCACAAGCTCAAGGATGTTTGGGAGATTGAATTCAACCAACTCCATTGTCGGGGGGAGTGCCTCAACCACTGAATTAAATCAACTGTCGCCTCCCGCACCACTTGATATCAGCGGTTAAAAGCCCCGATTTCGTTTGCACATCGCACGCTGCGATAATAGAAATTAAGGATTGTGACAATATCACCACTCCTATGCTACCTCTTTAGGCTCTGTAAAGACATTCCAGTGTTCCGTCAGTTGCAATCGTCCAAACTATACCTAAAACATGTGACTTCATATTTCCTTGTATTCGTTTCAAGGACGATTAAGACGTTAAAAGTATAGTCATTTCACGATTTGACTTCACCTCGTTACTCTCTGCCCTTGCCCCTAAAGTGCGGCATCGCACATTACTTTTCGCAGGCGTCCCCTCATCGCATCTCATCTCACCAAAAATCTGGTTTTTCTTTAACCATCACATCGGATGCAGTTAACGTGGAACAATATTTCGCCGGTGGCCAATGCCAACGACTTGTTGGACATTGTCCTTAATCGGACACAAAGAAAGACCCCGACTGTGATTCGTCCTGGGTTTGCTATCACTCGGATCAGATCGTTCTATATGAGAAAGGTTCGGTTCACTGCCGAAGGATTTGTGGAAAAGTTTGATGATATTTTGAATGGTTTTCCCAACATTAACGATGTGCATCCGTTTCATCGGGATTTAATGGACACTTTGTATGAAAAGAACCATTACAAGATCTCCTTGGCCGCTGTTCTGCGTGCCAAAACTTTGATCGAGCAGGTCGCTAGAGACTACGTTAGATTACTCAAGTTTGGTCAGTCGCTCTATCAATGCAAGCAGTTGAAGCGGGCTGCCTTGGGTCGGATGGCTACCATTGCCAAAAAGCTTAAGGATCCCCTCCAATATTTGGAACAAGTTAGACAGCATTTGAGCAGAATGCCGTCCATTGATCCCAATACTCGTACCCTTTTGATTTGTGGGTACCCTAACGTGGGTAAGTCAAGTTTCTTGCGGTGCATCACCAAAGCCGATGTCGAGGTTCAACCGTACGCTTTCACCACGAAGTCCTTATACGTGGGTCACTTCGACTACAAGTACTTACGGTTCCAAGCCATTGACACACCTGGTATCTTGGACCGCCCAACTGAGGAAATGAACAACATCGAAATGCAGCTGATTTATGCCATTGCTCACTTGAGACTGTGTGTCTTATATTTCATGGATTTATCGGAACAATGTGGCTTTTCTATCGAACAACAAGTGAAGTTGTTTCACTCCATCAAACCCTTGTTTGCTAACAAATCTGTCATGGTTGTTATGAATAAACTGGATATTATCCGCGTCGACGATTTGCATCCCGATCAACAAGATTTGCTTAAGCTGATTGCCCAAACCCCTGGTGTTGAAATTATGCATACCTCTTGCCAAGAAGAGGATAACGTGATGCAGGTCCGTAACCAAGCTTGTGAGAAGTTATTGACTGCGAGAATTGAACAAAAACTTAAGGGCGAAGCTCGCGTTAATAACGTTTTGAACAAGATTCATGTCGCTCGTCCTCAGGCCAGAGATGATGTTGATCGCAGTGCTCACATTCCTGAAGCTGTTGCTCATTTGAAGAAGTACGACCCTAATGATCCCGAACGTCGCGTATTAGCTAGAGACATTGAAGCTGCTAACGGTGGGGCCGGTGTCTACAACATCAACTTGAAAGACAAGTATATTTTGGACGATGATGATTGGAAGAACGACGTCATGCCAGAAATAATGGACGGTAAGAACGTGTACGACTATTTGGACCCGGACATCGCCGCTAAATTGGCTGCGCTTGAAGAAGAGGAAGAACGTTTGGAACAAGAAGGTTTCTATGACTCTGATTCTGAAATTGAAGACGACGACGCTGAGGAAATTCGTGAAAAGGCTTTGTGGATCCGTAACAAGCAAAAGATGATGATCAATGAAGGTCGTCAAAAGAAGCATCTTAAGAACCGCTCCATCATGCCCCGTGATCAAATCAAGAGACTGTTCAACGAGATGGAAGAGTCCATGTACAATGCTGGCTTCGATACACTGAATTTGAAGCGTGGCAATAAGGGCGAAAAGGAGCTCACCGGTGTTGACATTTTGCGCAAAAACCAAGGTATTCGTCTGGCCAAGTTGAAGAAGAAGCAAGCGCCTTTGAACCAACCCGATCGATTGACAGATGGTGTCAACGATGGTGCTATGAGATCGCATGCTGAGAGATTGAATAAGTTGCATCGCAGAGAACGCAACCGGATGGCTAGACAAGGTGAAGGTGATAGACATACCACTGCTGCCATGCCTAAACACTTGTTCACTGGTAAGCGAGGTATTGGATCCGCCGACAGACGTTGAGCGTGGTGCGGTGCTTATAAATTTAATTGTACATTAGGATTTGTCATTTGGATTAATAGAGGAAACATATTACAACAACGAGAATAGGAATAGAAGAAACACTCACCATTGTGCCCAATGCAACCCTAATTGGTTGAGTTTAGCGGGTGGGTGTTTCCGCTGGGCCTTCTTTTTCGCCAAAAGATGCCAATTGCTTGTTCTCATGTGCCACCCCGTGTTATCATGTAGCCACCTCGTGTTATCATGTAGCCACCTCTTGTTATCATGTAGCCACCTTGTGTTATCATATAGAAAAACCTGCATGGGATCGGTACCTCAAACTAGTACCTTTGTACATGGTGCAACGATTACAAGACCCCACACTCCAAAGTTAAGTAACGCCACCTTTTTTCCAACAGAATTAGAAACTATTTTTCAAACCGAAGAACTCCTCAAATCTATGCTGAAAAAAACAATCCGACCTCGGGGAGGATTGAACTCCCGATCTTGCGATTAACAGTCGCACGCCTTAACCACTGGGCCACGAAGTCAATTTATTTTTTAACGCATTATGTTGACTGAAACTTGGATTCATCTTCAGTGTACTTGTTCCAAAGCTTGTATCCTAATTTTGCTGTATAACAGCCATGCCAAATCTTCTCAACATACCACTTATTATCAGTCTTCTAATATAATTGCGAGAATCGTTGTTATAACTTCGATTAAGTGCTCAATCGTTTTTTACAGGTAGATATTAATGCATACTTATAGATGAAAAAACAAAACAATTACTACCATGTCATGCAACTGACATTGCGTGGGATATACAAGTATACTTGGACAGAACACTGAAATTCTGAATAGATACTATTGACTTTGTCTTTTTGCTTTTGAACAGTGGTTGTACACCTGAATGGTGCCGACGCCGCCTGAAATCATAGTGTAATTGGCTATCACGCTTCCGGATGGAAGAAATCGGGGTTCGATTCCTCGTGGTTATCAGATGTCCAAAGCCCTTCAGCTCTCTACAGCCCAACCTTTTTCTCGCCCTATGGGCTGAAGGAAGGCAAACCCTGGCAGGGGCCAGGTGTAACTTCCGCGAGTCGCGGGTATCAAATTCTTGATGTGTTTTTCTTAGTCGACCTTAGGTGAAGGTTATAAGTTATTTTTACAGACGATAGATAGATACTAATGCAAGTTTATGGAAAAAAAAAAAAACAATAATGCAAGTTTATGAAAAAAAATAAATGAATAGTGAAAGTGTTTTTCGATTTCATATTGGTGTATAGCTGAAGCTCAGTTGAATTTAGAGAGCTCAAATCTACCAGTTTTCAGACAAAATGTAATATATTGGTGAGGATTATTCGTTGCATGAAATGATGGTACCGCCGTACACTATAGTGTCAGTGTCGATTATGATCACGCAAGCACAATTGAGTCACATTTCTCGGAGGTTCGGGCTGCCGCTCGTCCGTTGCTCGGTATGAACACGAATCAACTGGAAAGAACATTTGACGCTAGTAATGCAATCTAGTCTCTCACATTAGCGATTGGTGCCCCACGAATAAGTTGTGCCCTAAATTTCGCAGTTTGTTTTGTCTTGTGCACATGATCGTGAAAGCGATGAAATTAATGCCCTTACGATCAAGATCCATGGGTCCACTTCCACAGTCTCGCTCGTGAACGTATGGCTTCTCTCCATGGTGCCATGACTAATCCGAAAGTAGCTGAAAAAGATGCGTTTTCTTGGGTACAGCAACAATAGATCTAGCAAAAGTATGTTCAAAGACTTAGCACGAGCCTTATCGGTATTGGATGATACTTGTGAAGTAGTTCTTGATGTCAATGAGTTTCTTCATATACTCAATCGGTACGATGTGTGCTATCCATAAAAAGTTAGACTCGAAGGACCCATAGACCTGGATTGCATCTTAAATACATGTTTTCACGTCCGTATGAGTCGTTGTCATAATGAAAGCTTTACTGCACCAGCTAATATCACTTATTCAACTTGACTTTTATACCATTGTGAGAACCAAGACAACACTTTTACTTCAAATTGCACTTAAACCTGGGAAATTTAGACAAAACGAAAGAATTTCAGAGCCACCAAACTTGTTGAACTAATTCGGATGACATACACACATTTCCAACACATGCCAGTCTTTTGAATAATATGGTAATACAAAAGTCTGCTCAATTGAAATCTTCCTTGCTAACTGGCAAGGAGTTAATATTTGACTCAAGTTCTGGACTAGTTTTGTCAGCAACTTCCGACGAAAATTGCACCACATGGTTATGAGCCCATGAGATTTTCATAGACAAAATGCACCTCGCAATTATCACTAGATGGTATCTAGGAGGATGAGTAAGCGGGCGATTGTTGTAATTGATCTCCAAAATGACTTTGTTTTTGGTACTTTAGCTGTACCAGATGCAGAGCGAATTATACCTAAGATCAATCAGTTGATCTCGGACAAGCTGTTTGATCTTCTTGTCGCAACCCGTGATTGGCATCCACCTAATCACACTTCGTTTGCTACGCAACATGAGGCAGAACCTTTTGAACAAGTTCCGTTTTGCAATCCCCAGGATAGTCTGAAGATAAAGCTCGAGACGGTGTGGCCAGATCATTGTGTACAAAACAGCTGGGGTGCAGAGTTGGTTTCTGATTTCAAGGAAGCCTTCGAAAACAGCAGCACCCCACATCTTTTAATTTCAAAAGGATACCTAGTTGACAGAGAATACTACCTGGCGTTCGGGGACATATGGGGATTACACCAAACTGAATTAGACTCAGTTTTAAAGGATCATAATATCGACGAGGTGGTTATATGCGGATTGGCATTGGATTATTGTGTGTTTCATTCTGCTCTTGACTGTGCTAAGTTGGGTTACTCGACGACTCTTTATTCCGATCTCTCTTGTGCCATTAGTCCAAAAAATCATGGCACACAAATTTCTGCATTGAGGAGCGCTGGCGTATCTATCAAGGCAGGACCATATTGAAAATTGGCAGTTTATATTGCATGTTCTGATTTCAACTAAATAAACACAATTTAATTTTTGTATTATTGTTGAATAGCACGGCGAATTTTGATGCCGCATCATACGGCTGAAGGCAGTGAGGGGAATGCGAGGGGATTGAAGCTGTAGTCGATTAATTGCGGAAACCCGACGACGGAGTGGCTGGCCGTGAGGGAAGCTTCTCTTCGTCATAGCTGACACGTGTCCTTGTTGGCATTTGAGGTAGAGACACAGATCGCTTATTGAACGGCGGATTATTCCTCAAGCAACAACCACCGCAATTAACACAAGAAAGATGCCGCAGTCCCTTTTCACATAGCTTCACGCCACTATTTAGGTCACATTCACACTTGAAGCATTGGTGAATGGGAACCTCCTTCGCCACGCTAGGTTCAGAGGCGAATAATAGAGGTAGTTGCAGAATTTTGCTTGTGAGGCGAGGGGGAGGAACTTACATTTTATATATGACGCATGCAGGCAATGTCAGCACGTGTGATGCAGTTACACCGATATCTTCGCGTGGCAAAACTACCGTTGAGAAGTGCTTCCCGCAATCACAACATGTGCAGTACACCGAGTAGTCCTGTTGTGATTTGATCTTACATCTCCAAGGCACATCTGACGTAGCTATCGGCCAACATGTGATTAATTATGGTCTAGGTGAATCTCCGATCTAGACTCGACGCAAAAATTCCGCGGTGGGCAAAGCCGCACCTTATAACGACAGCGTTGTGCTTCGAGAATTTGCACCTCGTGTCACCATGAAGCGTTGCTTATTGCTCGAGACTCAACCTCGTCATTAATTGCTTTCTCCTCTGCTCAACTAGAAAAACCTCTATGTCCTTCTCCGAAGGGAGTAATGCTGGATCAGGGAGTGTTTGCAGCAAGGTTTCCGATGCTACGTCGGCGTACTCACGGAAAAGCTCTTTGCTACGTTGGCACTCGTATGCATAAATTTCATCATCAACCAGACCCTCATTCAACGCAGGGTAACCGTAAGCGGTCAATAACGTATTCGCTGACAATGCCACTGGGGAAATGTAGTCTTGCCCGTAATAAATACCACCAAAACCGCTTGAATCAACAGTGGATGCCAAGTTGCTGTTGTTGTGAGTTAAAGTCTTTTTAGCTTGTTGTTCAGCTAAAAATTGCTTTACATCTGGAAGATCCCTTGCACGTCCAAAATAACGATACCCATCAACTGAAACCAGGCTCGCAATTGGTACGGCACCACCATGCGAAATGTAGTCTGGTCCCCCTAATTTGCGGATGTGATGTTCCCACGCTCTCTTCTCCTTATATAGCCGATTGAGATTGTCATTGAAAGAACGGAGACTGCTCTCAGTGGTGGCAGGATCATTGAGTCTTGTGAGCGCAGTCGAAATCTCCCCAAGAATTGTTTGGCGCCACTTCTCAGCTTGAGGTAAATGAGTTACCTTTTGAACTCGGCGAGGTCGGTATTGAGGGTTGTATTCTATTGATGGATTTGACATGTAGTATGAGCGCGAATCGACATCATTTTGGCTGATACGCAGTACAACGACACCAAGCGAGTGATATCTGGCACATGATGCTACATGAATGAGCTACGTGATAATCTAAGCTAGTAATCATCTTCGTCCTTGGAAGCGTCAATTCATCTATAAAGTATCCCAGCCTCCAGCATCAGAGACTGCGTCGAGTGATCGAACGATTATGTTGGGAACGTTATGTTGAAGCCAGATATTCTTTATGAAATCTTGGTATTTAGGAGGCATCAAGTAAAACGTTTTCAGTCGCTTGGCAGGGTCTGCAAACACCTCCCCTTGATCATCAATATACGGCGCAGTGTAAAATGTCCCCCCATTATTATGCAATAACAAAAACACCCGTTCACGAGGAAGCCAAAACATGCCATTGCTATTGGCGCATTCCCTAACAACATGAGTGGTGCACTGTCCCTCTTTGTATCCTGGAGTTTTTTGCTGCACGTCTAAAACCTCAGCACACGTCAAGCACACCGCTGGCGAGTCGTATCTTCTGAACGGGTAGTCGTACCGATCGGAATAAAAGTAACGAGTAAAAAAGGAGTCCAACCTAGACGGAAGATTAATGAGTCTGATGATACCTGGATATTCAAGCCGTATCAATTCATTTTGACTTTTTGATACTCCTCTCTGTAGTACCTTCGTCATCACAACGCCTTGCCATGAGTCGCTGTCTTCTACTGCAAGTCGCATGGTTTCAGCAATTGTGGGAAGGCCGAGATATGCTGTAATACGATCGGCTTCGCCTCTGTTCAGATATGATTTGTTGACATCTGCAAGACCACATTGCACACTTGCAAATATTGCAATACGACGTAAGAATGGGGTCACTTGCTTCACAATTAGCGAATATATGACGCGACTGAACAGCGGATCGTTGATGATGGAAAACTGATCGGTATCGATAAAAGCACAAAATATTTTTTTGCAGTAGTCCAAAACGAAGTATGGAATTTCCTCTATTTGAGGCACATCGAGCACGGAAAATTCATTTGTGGGGACATAGAATTCATAGACTCCAAGATTGTAAGCCAATGACACCACAGCCTGTAAGGTGGCACCCCACAAACATCTTTCCATTATGAAATGAGCTCCGAGTCCCAACTGCGGCAAAGGAACACAGTCAACTAAAATTCTGAAGAAGTCACCGCTAAAAATCAGTTCCACCAATCCATCATTACTAATTTTGAGATAACTCGAAAACATCGTCATAGTCACATCAAGTCGCAGTTGAGATTCCAGTGGCAGTTGAAGTTTCATGAAGAGTCCAGATATTCTGAACTGATACAACACCCTCAAATTGATCATATTAATGAATGATATTTGGTCCGCAACCGTGTCGTTTCCTGCCACACCTCGAAGTGCAATTTCAGTACTCTTTATGGTGTTAACAAGAAGTAACAGCAGATCCAGCTTAACAACTTCGGGAAAGCAAGTGAATGCAAACAAATGAAACATGTGCAATATCAAGTGCCAGAATTGCACTTGTTGTGGCAGCATTTGTTTGTTTTGGCTTTGAAGATTTATAATTTCTTTGGCATGAGTCGTCAAGAGAGCTTTCACGTCAATAGCCTCCTTCAATTGTTCGGCGAATTGATGAAACCATTCTGGTTGAGTTCGTAAGATCAGCAGGTAAAGATCACCTATATGATCAGACTGTCCACTATAATCACACAATTCTCGCATGCTAAACTTATTGCTGGTCCACAAAATTGGGTAAAACGAGTTATTCAAGGCTTTGCACAACGGGCACAAGAATTCTTTGCGATCAGGGTTCTCAGGATAATTGCGAGTGATTTGATTCTGCCGATTTCGATTGGTGACCAAGTAATTCATATAACAATTGTAGTGCATTCCGTGCCCACAACTCAGCAGCACCAAATTATTTTCGATGCAGTTAGGATCGTTAAAGCCTGGACCGAATACGTTGTTCTCCCGAATTCGGGCTTGATAATCATGCCATTTTGATGTCTTTGATTCCAGTGTTTGGGAAGGAGTAGACTTACCTGCTTCAAGATAGCTTGTGGGGACATTTAGTGGTTCAGGGTCATCCAAATTAGCACTATCGGAGTAAGCGCTCATGAACCAAAATGGATCATCAAATGGAACTTTACGGAACTCACAACTTCGAGAGATATACGTAATGATACCAAATGGACCTGCATCTTCATTAGTATTTTGGCAAAGTATGCAATGCGGTTCAGGAAATCGCCATCCTAGATCACTGTCACTCTCATCAGAGGTCAAATCTTCCACATCCATATCGGCACCATCCATATTGCGGAGAAAGTCGGACTGTTGTTGCTTAAATTTTGCCATTAACTTTTCCTGCCGAAGTTTGGCTATTTTCTTTTTATGATCGACATCAATCTCGGGCGAATCCTCCTTATGGAATTCGAACAATACAGCAGTATCGAAATTAAAACCGACCACAGTCTCAGTAAATTGGTCCAGGTGTTTCCAAATCTCGAATATCGCACGAATTTTAGGGTGATACCTGATAAAACCATCATCCTTCAAAATTTGATACAACGGAACTATTGTTGACCTTAACTTTGATACCAGCGTATTGTCCTGAAGGGCAGCCGCGTGAAGCAAATGAAGCACTGTCATCATCAAACCATCACTGCTTTCAGTACAGATAGAGTGTCGAAGTGCATGAACAATGAATTGAGTAAAATATGTCAGCTCAATGAAACGTTCGCGAGACTCAAATCCCTTTGGTGGTTCCATAATTGTCGGTTCGAGAACAACTTGGTGAGCAGGAATCCTCATTTCTTTAGCTCGACGTTCTTTCAATATTTTAACTGCATCGTCTCGAGTATTGGCAGAGTAGCTGAAATAAAACGGATTGACCTCAGCATAAAATTCGGGCTTGAGTGTAAAAATGCCCACATCCAGGGCACCCAGAGGAGGCAGATAATGAGCAAGGGTCTCGAGCTTATTATTGAATTGCTTTTCTGCAACGATATTGTCTGGTATCAGCGAAATGAGCTTCGAATAAGGCATTGGGCCGAAACAGAGCAGATGAATGATCTCTTGTCGAATACGATGATCGATACCTCTATCATTTTCTGTGAGAATGTATAAGAAAAGAGCTGCACATTCTTCAAAAATATAAGGTAAGGTCTTTCTGTCATAAACTGACTCAGCATTATCAGTTATAGTGGAAAGGATTTGAAATCGATCCAAAATGAGATAAACCACCAAGTTTGGGTTGGCTAAGTTCACAAAAACCTGAATCAAAAACAAATCGCGCAAAAGACCATAATCTCGAAGGGACAGCAGCTTGTAAAGTTGTAACTGATTACGTACTGTAAATCCATTTCGAACCCAAAAACCCAGCTTTATTTGCGCCAACAACGCAAGGGTACGAATCGGATAGTCGAAAATGACGGCTAAGGGATCGCCATGTGCATAACCTACAACTTTGACAGCCTCCTCGAAGATAGCAAGCACGTCATTTAACGTAGCAAACTCGGCAGCATTCAAAAGCCCTCCCAAAAAAGAGTGCACTGGATGTAATAGCGCCGCCTTATCTTGCGATAGAGACACTTCCGTAACCATCGCACCTGTCAATGGCTCTAGCTTAAGCGGTGCATAAGGTTTGATGTCAACGATGTCAGCATTGAAATTGGGATATTCACCACCCTCGAGTCGATACAATCTTTTGAGAGTCAACAAAATTGCCTCGCTGAAACGATTATATCTTTCAGCGGGATCAGAAATCTCCTTTCCGCAGCGTATCATCAGGTCCAGCCCTTTGAACAAATGCAGCGAGGTGAAAAGTGCATTATAGTCCGAACTTTCGTACTCAACATGACTATCGTTTTCCCTTTTAAGAACAGGTTTCCCCTGTATCAATACGAGCATGTCTAGCATAGCTTCCACTGGATCCGGCTTCAAAATAACATCTCCAAGTAACCCTTTCCCTAGCATGAAGTTTACATCAAAAAATAGTTTACCAAGCTTTTGACTTTTGAACAGTTTTATGCTAACATCGTTGGTCTGAATGACAGCATTAGCTGCAGCGACACTTTCCGTTGTGAGGAACCCATACACAACAGCTAAAAGGCGCCCAAAACCGCCATTATTGAATATGGTTCGAATGTTAGTAGAACAAGAGAAAAGCTGAGTGGAAAGCATCAGCATGACGTTAAGTTCTGGCTCTCGATCTAGCTTCACAAATTGATCTGCAACGACTAAATGAATATCCAAATATTGGCAACCAAGCATCGGACGATACTTCAAGTTCGTAATAAGCAGCGCATTAATCACCCTGGCTAGATTATTTCGTGCCTGCTTCCATAGCCGTACATCAAAGTAGACGAGGTACTGGAATCGCAGTCCTCTGTGACTTGTTCGTGGATTGTAATCATCGGTAGTGACATTATAATTACATCGTGAACAATCTTCTTCTGATAAAGACCACAATTTGGCGGTATTCTCCCAATGACTATGGTTAGCTATCGGTGGTGCCGGTAATTTGGGTATACGGAGGTCATAGTCAAGTTTACCAGTTGAATAAACACTCTCATCTGCTCGAGGACCTGGAAGAGCCAGAACACCTGGTTCCCAACGCTCACAAAATACTTGGCAAAACATTTCCTGCATGGGAGTGCTTACCTTGAATACTTCCAGGAATTGAAACTCATCTAACCAAAAAATGATCTCATCAACCATATCCTCGCGAAATACATCCCTCAGCAGCCTAATACCTGTAGACAAACCAGTGGCAGAAAGTACACCCCGTCGCTGCTGAAGAACAGCAATATCAGTCAGCTCGGCCACTTTGGCTCGCCCGTAAGCTTCAACACGATCTGCAACCATAATAGCAAATTGTTTCTGCTTACGCAGTGCCAACCTAATGCGCAGAATAGCATCGCGGTACAAATGAGTTTGGTCATTGTACAATATGAGGCAGTATTTATCCAGATTTTGGTCAACAATTTCAGAACTACCCCGGTAGCCATAACAACCCTGATCTAGCGTCAGTTGCCTGCTATGGAGTTTGATTTCTGCTTCATTTTCTGAGTCACTGTCCAAATGTTGATCCAGGTATGCAAGTACATCAATACAAAAGTTTAAGATGACCCGTAAAACTTTCGCGAACTGATCTAACACAGGGTCCGGGAGTGGAAGTGGAAGTTGAGTTGGGACAGGACCATCATAAAGACGGCAAGGTCGGTTGAATTCCCACGCCTCGGGATCACCACAATCACACACTCCGCCTCGCTCAAGTTGAGTAGTGTAAATATGGATTTTGTGACCTTCATGATCGTCCAGATTGAAGCAGTGTTGACACAATGCCACGGTCTCATCATGTGAGCAGGTGAGACACCGGTATATGGCTTCTCCTCGACTGAAGATGCGGCCACATGGGCGCTGGTAGTGGTTCACCATATGCATCAAATGATTATATGTAGGGTCTCTGACATGTGGAATCTGAGTATGGTAAGTTTGATATCGCCATTGAAGCCGATCCAAAGTTTCTGAAGCTGGCTCTGGTGAAATTTCTGTGCCGTCAGGATGAAATAAACGGGGAAAATAGAATGGGAGAAACTCTCTTCCTTTCGCCAAAGCCGTCATAATTATACGGCGAAGTCGGATTCTTGTATCATCTCTGAATTCAAAGTTTGATTCAGAGGGGAGGCGTATGAGTTCCCTTTTGAGGAGCGTGACATGATCAATCTCGTCCATGAGATGACAATGAACTTAACCTGTTTTTTCGAGTGAGTGGCGACTGGTGAGCTGGATTTGGCGTAGGCTAGAGAGGTGACGTAGGGAAAGACATGAATGCGTCGACAGCTAATTGTAGAAAATAATTCATCTGAATTTCATCTGCTGTCTGCGTAAAGTTCTGGTGGTGGTTAACTTCACTTTGTCGCACTCGACTTTCTTCCCATGTCGTCGTCCACATATCCGACAAGCGTGGCGGTGAACGTCGCCAAATTCAACAAGGTCAACGACTTGGCTGGGTTGGTCAATGGTGCTGCGTGTGGCATATTGCAACTTGAAGGGTTGAATGGCTTTCTTTATTACGCCGTCAGCTACACGTTGGTGAACACGCTATTCGTTATAATAAGTTGTCAAGGCACCCCAAAAAGGTTTTTCCAGGGGTTTCTGGTGTTTGCTAATGGTTTTATTGGCAACATTGCCGGATTCATCATGATGTGGTGTTTAACTGGTGCATTGGTAAAGGCTTGAGGACCGTGGCAAATGATTCAAAGCACTTTTATGAAATCGCTAACGGATAAAGCGGTATACATTCCAATTGGATTACTATCTACCCATTCTATTCACTTCATTACTTTGATCAGTAGAATGAATACGACTTATATGTTTGATGCAAGCATCCTGCCAAAAAACACACGATAACTCACTGAGTCCCATCTGTATTAAATTTAAAAGGCGTCATTGTTTCTAGTTGACGGCTATCTGTAGAGGCATTTGGAATCAGTTTGACTTGATGAGGTACAATTCCGAAACGATTGCCGCAAAAGTCCTTCTGGAATAGAATTGCAGTGTCGGTAGTGCTAAATAAACATGGACGCAGCTTGTAAGTTCAATGTCGTATGATTTTGGTCTGTCTCCTATGTTTTCACTTGATTTGTCAACGAAAACACCACCCAGTGCCATTTACAAGCAATGTCATTCCAACGAGACTTTTGTTTATCCCAACTCAATTCAAAAGTAAAATTGTGTCTTCCACCCGGATCTGCAGTACCGGAGATTATGCAATCACTTCATCGGAGGGACCACACATGCACCAAATTTGAACAGATTGAACAGCATCTTGTGTTTTGATGCTATGTCGTAGATCACAAGATCATTCCTAAAACGGTTCAAGTACTTACGCTACGTTAGGTGAGTCCAAAACATCCGGAATTGCATGATCCGGGGAGTGCAAGCATATCACAAAAGAAGATAAATGTACTGACGTAAGCATTGTAAGACTCCACGAATTGAAACGTCTCAACTCTACTTAAAGATCAATTGAGACATTTTCGTCGAAGTTGCCTTTTCGAGTCTCTCCTCCTATCAACCAGCCATGCATTCCAGCAATCACCGCACCGAAAATTCAACCAATTCTTGCTCTCCGCATAACCATGGAAAAGATCGATTTATCCTCAAATTCCAGAAAGATCCAAGACGCCTACGACAACGTTGTCAATGGCAAGTGCAACTATGTTGTCTACACAGTGAGTAAGCTGGGGGCTCTTGATGTTGAAGCCACAGGTTCTCCTGGTGATCTCGACGAGTTCGTTGATCAATTCAATGACGGACACATTCAATTTGGCCTTGCACGCGTCACTGTTCCGGGTTCTGATGTCACTAAGAACTTATTACTCGGTTGGTGCCCTGATAACTCACCCGCCAAGCTCAAGTTGTCTTTCGCCACAAATTTTGCAGACGTCGCTCGCGTACTCTCTGGTTATCACATTCAAATCACTGCCCGTGATCAAGAGGATCTTGATGTGAATGATTTCATCAATCGAGTGGGTGCAGCTGCAGGTGCTCGCTATTCCTTGAATACCGGAAAAGCTCCTATAAAGAGTGCCACCTCGCAGTCGAAGCCTGTAACTCAAGCTAAGTCAGAGCTCAAGCCAGTCAAACCCGCTCCAGTTCCCAGTTTCAAGCAAAAGCCCGCTGCTTTGTCGAAGCCATCCTTCACCCCCAAAACTACGGGCAAGCCCATTGGCACCTCAAGCTCAACTTCAAACTCCAAGCTTCCAATCTCTTCTGCTAGTAAATTTTCTCTGTCATCAGCGAAGAATGATGATGATGATGATGATGGGTGGGGTGACGAAAAGGAGTTAGAAGAAAGGGACTTCGACAAGAAGCCCTTAGAAGATGTTCCCAGTGCCTACAAGCCCACCAAGGTGAACATCGAAGAATTGAGAAAGAACAAGCTGGACACTATCTCGCTGACTCCGAAACCTTTCAATGCCGATGCCAATGACAAGGTAGACGCCGAGGACTCGGAACCCAAGTCTCTCGCTGAGAGAATGAAGGCTTACAAGGATAACGAAGATGGCAGACTAACTGAACTCCCGAAACCCAAAGTTCTGCACAACGTGTCCAACAGATTCAAACCTGCCGAATCAAACTCGGGTCCGAAGTTTGGCGCGAAGCCCAACTTTGGTTCCAACAATGACCGCAAGGATCACTTAGTTGGCGGATTACTGCGTGACTTTGGTGGGTCGGATGGTTTGACACCTGCGCAACAATGGGCCTTGAAGAAGGGAAAATACAAGAAGGTCGATCCTGATGACATTGCCGACGGAGTTGCTCAGACTTCGTTGCGCGATGATGAGCAACCTGCTCAATTCACCAAGAATGAGGAAGAAGAGGAAGAAGCAGAAGAGGAACGAGAAGTTCCGATTCCTCCTCTGTTGCAATCAGCCAAAAAGAGTGAACCGGTACGTAGTATTCCTCCACCTTTCGTGAAGGAAGATAATGCCGTCGCTGCTCCCTCCCCGTCATTGCCCACTCGTGACGAATCAAACAAAGACGATCAGGAACAAGACTCGTCTTCGACTGCAAACAACGAGGGATTGAGTGCTAATGCCGAATACGATCATGTCACTGAGGAAGACGATGAACTTGCATTTGAGGAGGGCGATGTAATCATTCAAATTGACACTTCCACTGATGAAGAATGGTGGATGGGTACCAACAAGCGAACTGGTAAAACAGGCCTCTTCCCAGCGAATTACGTGTCGTTAATTGAAACGTCCCGTACTGAAACCCCAGCTTCTTCCTTGCCCTCAAAAGATCAACCTGCGCCACCTCTGTTGCCCGTGAGAAATGAACCCGCAGCTCCCCTGTTGCATCAAGAAGAAAAGCTGTCAGAAGCAATCGCTATTGCCCTTTACGACTACGAGAAAGACGAGGACAATGAAATTGGTTTCGCTGAGGATGACAAAATCATTAACATTGAATTTGTTGACGAAGACTGGTGGAAGGGAACTCATGAGAAAACAGGCGAGACTGGTTTATTCCCTTCAAACTTTGTAGAGCTCCAAAACTGAAATACGGATTCCTAATCCAATTTTTGTATCTTGCTACTATATGACTTTATATAGGAATTCTACTCTTAAATCCAATCACACCTCAGCTTTTTCTTTCAAATAGACTACAATAGCGTCTCCCCATTCATTGCGGCGCTTGTAGAATGCCAAGTCATCAGGGAGTGACTCAATGCCATATACCAACTCATCTGCATGACCTTCTGCCTTTATTTCAGCAATTGGAGTCAAATAAGTGCGTATGATCATAATCATCCCTTTCGATTGTGGAAGTCTGGTGAATATTTGCCGTTCAACACGTAACCGACAGTTGTCGATGTCCAACTCATCTCGGGTGAGTGGCCTCATAACGTCTCCCTCTCTACCATGAAGTGAATTCAAATTGAACCGAGTTGCATGCGTCTGAATGGACCAATTGGTTCTGACCCATAATTTTTTTGGAAGCATGTTTGCGAAAAACTTACTCATTGACATCTTCAACCGCTCACGATATTGGGGTACTGGTGAATGTATATGGCTAACTGGCATATTGTGACCACGTTTGGGGTCAAATCCTGCGGGTGCAGCATTCACCAGAACTCGCAAGACAAACTCTTCATCTTCTTCATTATCTTTTAAAAGAATAAGATAATCCTCATCCAAGAGCTTATTCAAATTAACCATCAATTCATAATTAGTTTGACCATCGGGCGATACGGGACAAGATAAGTTCAAAATCGTGTTGAAGACATCACCATTTTTCACTGGGAAGAGAGTCGGATAACGTTGCGTAAAAAACCGAACGACCATGACGTAAAATTCTTTCAATGCTAGATTGGTTTTGTCATCATTGTGAGCAAACATCATATCGTCTGGTCTATTTTGGCATAAGTCGTTTTTGATCTTCATGTTCTCAGCGTAGTCCTTCTCGATCCGAAGCCAGTCATGTTTGTTCATCGTCATGTCCCTCACACCCATCAGGGGATTGAAGTCTCTCTTGCCAATAAATGGGCGGAGTTTCAATGGTTCGCATGTTTCCCAATTGAAGTTTGGGTCGACAGGCTCAATATCATTTATAACACTCGCCCAATTCCTAGTGAGGGCTTTCTTCGGTTTTTCCCGCTTTCTGAAGCGTAACCAGGCAAGAATCAAGACAGTAAGAATAATTGAAGTGATTGCAAAACTCATCATTCGATTGAATTCGTGATTAGCTTACGAGTTTAAGTAAGTCGAGGAATGGGAATCGCTTCCCGCTTACCCCACGGTAAAATGACCAGGGCTACTAATCATAAGATAAGTATCTGCTCAAAATTGCGAGCATCTGTTGCTCATAATCCTTGACCCCTCTTTGGCGCGCAACACAATCGGCGTACTACATCGTAGTAGTAACGGTCTTTCTCATTACTTGGTCGGGTAGGCTTCTCTCAATGAAGAGTTTAATAAGCGAATAGAAAAATGTTCGTATGTATGCTTCGTTAATTCGTTTTAATATTAAAGTCGCTAAACCCCGATCAAGTTGTAACAAATCATACGAAACCTCTCATCACTAGCAGCTGAAACAGGGACAAGTTTATGCGTTCAAGCTTTGGGTGATTACGCATCAATGCTTGAAGCCATTGTTCGCGACTCCCCGTCGATGTGAAATCATCGAAATATACCCCGCAAACTCGATCTACCATACATGACAAATGGCGCAAGACGTCCAGCGTTACCGCGGCCAAAATTGAGAATTCGGTCGAAGCCTCCAGCCGTAAAAAGCTATAGGGATCACCGGAATTGACAGTTTGCGTGACGCTAGAGTCAAAGTATAGGTAAACTTCCTTCAACAACACTGGGGTATAACAATCCCGTTGATAGTCCAATAACTCCCCAATAAAATCCAGTACCGAATTCACCCCATCAAAAAACATGAAGATGATCTTGTTATTGATATGGCGCAATTTGTGTTGATGAGCCCAACTCATAAGATCATTGAACAGTGTTAAGTACACCGTATCCAGATTGACAAGGACTTCACTTGAGTGATGCTCATTGAGTTCAACAATACGGTTTTTGACAAGCGAATGTGAACCTCTGGACACAACCACTGTGGGAATGCTCATGAAGTTTTCAGGAATTAAGGCCAGCTTGTATACTGTGGGGAAATGTAACCCGCACAGTGCCACGTGACCAAACGCCGTGAACGGTTAGCCCGAGTCAATAAAAGTAGCGCCGTGGAAGGAGAAGGCCAAAACACAACAAAATGTTGAAGATTTCGAAAACAAATTCAGTGCTCAGGGTCCATGGTCTTCTGAATCAGCTTTTGAGTCATCATCCCTGTCGTTCTGGATTGCGTCGTTCAGAGTAGAAGTGCCTTCATGCAGTTCTCCCCGAGTCAAATCTTCGTTGACTTCCAACCGTGCATCTTCCCCATCTTCGAGGGATGGGATGTTTGTATCATCTCCTGGTGTAGTCGACTCATCTCCTGTTTCCCCTTGGTCAGCATCCTCATGTTCAATGCTGGTAGTACCCTCATATGTTGGTGGTTCATTAGGGATCAACGAGGACAATGTAATTCTGTCACCGTTGTTCTCTTCTGCGTAGGCATTGTAGCTGAATTTATCCTCATCATCACCAACAGTTTGCCAAAAGTCAGGTGGGAAGTCATCCCCGCGCTCTGATAATTCATCCTCATCAATCTCCAGACGGTCCAACAATATATCTGTGTTGAACTTATTGTAGGCGGGTGGCGCCGGGCCATTACCCTCCAACGGAGCGTAGCCCCACTTCTTCACATTAGCTTCGATAAAGACAAATCCCATTTGGCCTAGATTAACGTGTACTGAGCACATGTTATTGGCACCAATTATGGGGAAGAGCTGGGCTTGGTTGCCAGGTTTGAAATTGCGAATGTGTCCACCTAGTTTTTGCTCTTTCACCTTCTTTCCATTTCGGGTGAAAAACACAGTACCCAGACGAACTCTGTAACCGATACCCACTACGTCACCTTCAATAAGTACGGGAAACGGGGCTTCATTGGTGAAAGGGAATGGTTGGTTATGACGTCGGTGACCATCCAGATCATACACCACCAGGTCTGGGTGTCGCCCAGGAAGGCGAAACCATGGATAAGGTTTTGTTGATAAGCCAACACTTATCATGGTACTTGTTTCAGGCTTCAGGTAGATCTTTGCTTCAAAGTAATAAACTTCGTTCAGCATCGCAATCGGTAAGTTTGTGACAGCGTTACATTCAAACGCCTTGAAAAAATTGAGCTCAGTCTTATTGATGATTATTAAGTCATTGTTGGTTAGCATAGCATCCTTAATGAAAGTATACGCCAGGATTCCCTGTTCTTGGATTGATAGTTTCTGAGATAACGAAAGTTCCCCTGTTATCGCCGGGTTGTTCGAGATGTAATCTCTTGATTGAAAGTACAACTCCTGCTCATCTGAGTTGAGTTCAAGATAGGCTTGATTTTCTTCAGCAAGAATCAACTCATCATCAGATTGGCGAATTGAATGGCGAATGAACTGATAGATGCCCATGATTAACAATAAGACAACAACAAGCCCCATCAGCGCTAATAGAGTTATTAGCAACGGCATATTCACCAGGAACGTCAGAACCGGAGGGGAGACGGCACCGTCTCCTCGGTATCGAATCCACATAATGTAGTTAGTCAGTGATTGCGCTTGGGGTGATAAGTTGAGATATCGCGGCGCTACCATGCAGTCACGGAGGTGGCAAAGTATGGCGCACACGATTGCGCACCATGAAATGAAATGTGTTCACGATCGAGTTAGTACCGGTAGTGTGGTATAATTGTGTACGAAGTAGCCAGCACGTACAATGCCTCTGAGTTTTATTAAGTTCTTTCATGAGCCAGAAATTCAAACAGATCAATTTGACGAACTTGGCAACCAGCCGCCCCAAACTTAAAGCTGAGGAGAATGTTCAGCGGTGCGAGCTGTGCTCTAGATTGGATAGTATCTCCTCAATTTTTCGTTATTGGGAGCTTACTACTGAACGTGCCCGCGGATAGTACGATCATATCATGCACTGGGGCTATTGTGGAAACAATGACCATACCCGCATCACCTTGAGTGAAGCGAGACGTCGCGCGCATGCCACTACGATACTCTCGATTTAGAGACACCCTAGTATCGATATACCAGCACGTCACAACAGATCGGCAATACGAGAAACGTTTGTGCAGAGAAGTCTAGGTTTAATGTTTTCACCTAAATGAGAATCAGCACAGCCACCAAGGTTTACTAAGACGACCATGAAAATATGTCGGCTGTGCTCTATATTCTTTGAAGGAAAAGCAGGCTATGCTTTAAGTCTGCGGAGAAACACAAAATTCCGCTTTAATCGGCCCCTTCGGTTTCCCTAACGACAACGCGTATAGGTGTTTCCGCTCTTGTGCCCACGCAAAACACATGGAGAAACTCATTGCAACTGATAGTCGAATAGAAGAAAGAATATCAATTGGACACGATAGAACGCGGTCGTTGACCCTTCAACCGGACCCCCCCTTCCTAATCGGAGCACAGAAACCAGCTCTCCATGCATCTGTAGGCACGCGTGATTTTATGCAGGCGATATTTATGTAGGTAATAATAGAATTGGCGGAAGTCTTGAGAGTAGTATATATGCGTGGCATTCACCACGTCTTAGGGTGAGTGACACAACCATCATGAAGTTTGCGTTGGCTGTGGCTGTTTTCATTGGAACAGCTTCGGCTGTCAGTACCTGCAACCCCTTGACTCTGCTGAATTGTCCTGCTGACCCTGGCTTGGGTATTCTGTTCCGTCAAAATTTTGACCACGACGTCGGTGATCATTTTGAGGTTTTGAAGAAGCCTGGCAAAGTCACATATGATCTGGAGAATGGAGTCTCGTTGACTATGGAAAAGCGTGGTGATAATCCTACCTTTCAACTGAATTTCTACATTTTGTTTGGGAAGGTAGAAGTTGTGCTTAAAGCTGCTAAAGGTACAGGCGTGATCACGTCGTTCTACTTGCAATCAGATGATTTAGACGAGATTGACATTGAGCTCTTTGGTGGAGATGCTTACGAATTCCAGTCTAACTACTTCATCAAGGGTAATACAAAGACGTATGATCGTGGCCAATACCATCCGACACTGCTGTCACCTTTAGACAACTTTCACACCTACACTATTGAGTGGAATCCCGACGTATTGACGTGGTCGCTTGATGGAAATGTTGTGCGCACATTAACTAAGGATAACCCACAAGGTTTCCCTCAAACACCAATGCAATTGATCGCGGGTGTATGGGCTGGTGGTGATCCTGACAATGCCCCCGGCACCATCGAATGGGCTGGCGGCCAAACCGACTTCTCGCAAGCGCCATTTTCCATGAACATCAAACTGATAATTGTTGCTGACTACTCGCTGGGTTCCAAATACACCTATCTGGATCAACTGGGCACTTGGCAAAGTATCAAAGCCGAAAATGGCGGAGTTAATGACCGCGAATCTCAAGCTAACGACGAATTTACTAAGTTGCAACAAGGCGAGCTGATTGAATCCAACGGGAAAGCTCAGCAGGTGACCTCTGCATCCCTGGAAAGCCTGAGCCAAACTCAATCAGATAGTCAATCTCTGTCGCTGCTGTCACTGTCCTTTTCCCTGTCGCTGCTGTTGTCGCTGTCATCTTCCCTGTCGCTGCTGCTGTCACTGTCCTCTTCGCAAACCACGTCTCTGGAACAGTCCGACTCTTCCCAAAATGATCTGTCGAGCAGTGTCTTTATTTTCACTGGTTCAAGTCTGGAAGACTCCCTGTCTCTGGAGTCTCTTTCTCACGACGGTGAGATCGTGGGCATCAGCACCCTTAGTTTAGTTGACCCCACTGCATATGTTACACCTGGGTTTGCTGGTCAACAGGGTGCCCAAACTCAAGGCCAAATTCAGACCTTGACCACTGCTAGTGTCGTCACAGGTGGATTGTCACCCGCTAGCGACAGTAAGCAAGGAACTTCGAATCTGCAACTGACAGCGTCCTCGAACGTTGAATCAAGTTCCCCCACGGCAAGTGTCGTTACATTGCACAACAAGGGATCTCTCCTTGCATCTTCATCGCTCGTCAGTATGTTGCTTTTGATTGCATCTCAATTGATGATTTAGGTAACCTTCTGTATTAATCAACCTACATGGTCTCAACTTCAGCTCCAGTAATATTGTTCATTGGGTTCTTCGGTACAACTTCACGGACGTGATCTTTTGGAAGGCGTATGTTTGATTCAAGCATGACTTGACGATGATGAAGATTTCCCAGTGTGAATGTCGAACTTACTTTATATTTTGTAAGGCGTCATACCCAAAAATGTGACATCATCTTATATCAAGCTCGGTTTCCAACTCTAGCGAATGAGACTATCTCAGTCATCAATGGTGCTTTGTCCAACTGAGTGATATTGATCATTATGATTACTCTCAGCGCTACTAGCTATCTGTACACGGGCGCTTTTTTCATCTCTTGGCATAATTTGTTATAATATAAATGTATGTTCTTTATGTACAAGGTATTCCACAACCATTTATAAAAGATTTAATGTACCAATAAGGCTGCAGCGGTCAAGTTTCTAATCCAATCGACTTTGTCCACGTCATGAGTGTCTTCAACCTCACCCCATTCCTCTGTTTGATATATAGTTTCCAAGTTCCCTAACTCAATAATTTCAGGGATAGTCTTGTGGAAGTACGTTTCGGGACCATCCTTATTGAATTGGTACAACTCTTTCATGAGCTTAGGGTCGCCGCAGTTAGATCTCACTAACAGTGCCCCACAAAGGAATGACTTCGCCGTCATGATAGTTTTTTCCATGGCAACGATATCATCAACTGGCAATGCATCGAGCCAGTTAAGGACGACCTTCTGTGTGATTGAATCCTGATCGTTACCCCTGATCCCATCCGTCTCACAATCCAAATAGTTAATTTTCACCTTGAAGCTTGGTTCAGGTAACAAGTCATGTTCCTTGCCCCATTTTGTGAAAAAGTCTTCATATTCCTTGATGAGGGGAAGGTAAAGCTCATCCTGACGCTGACGTAATCTACCATCATACTCATCTTTCGTGGTAAATATAAGACAAGTATCGGTATTGAAGAAACGTAAAAACTCCATCTTAATATCATCCAAGTTCCCAACCTTGGCCACAAGGTCAGGGTTGTCATTTTTGTTAGTTTCCTTTAGGTCAATGGTACGAGCAACCAAAGAAGTGAGTGGCAAGGAATTGGTTTTAACCTTCAAGTTGGCCAAGTTAGCCCACTCGTGAGCGACTAAATAAGCCAAGTCCTTTTTGCATTTGGGAATTGCCAATGGAAAGCCAAGGGGAGTTTTGATGGGTTTATCATCTAAACAGATGTCCCATGATTGAGTTTTTTCATTGAAACGTGTGTCGACATTGATCCAAAACTTTTTGAGCGTCTTCGATAACCGATTTGTTTCAGTTTTAGTGTTGTGTTCGATGGTTTGATCACCTTTTGATGAAAGCACAGCATAGCTGCGAAACACTGAAGCGTTAACTGTTTTGGATTTAGCAGCTGTTGCCAGTGCTTTCAAAATATTGTTGCCCACCCTCCTGATCATGACTGATGACGGATGAAAATTTCGTGCGGAGATGATATAGAACATTGTCTAGAGAGAATTCGAACAATTCGATTGAACAAGAAAGCATGAACCGTAAGAGTAATCATTATTTGAAGTCTAGATGAGGAGTCAAGATTCATATCAGTTGGGTAAGTGCTTCCGCACTCGCACCCTGTTTGAACTGATTCACACTGAACCTCACGAAGCCATCATGAGTGTCCCCCCTGAAGCTCTCCAGAAAGTCCTTCTCGAAATGGACAACCAGCTCAACAAGACCCAGTCTGATTTGTCACTGACCAACTATCAACTTGCTCAGATCGACGCTAGCCTTAATGCAATCAAGGTGTCCAAGACTAATTTGGTGAGACTCTGCAACAACGACGAGCGTGTTTGGCAGGGCGTTGGCAAAGCATTCGTGTCCGACGATGTTTCGTCCTACTTGGCCAGCGTAAGTCAAGAGGAAAAGGTTATGAGTCAGTCTAAGGAGGCGTTGGAGAAGAAAAAGCATTACTTGGACACAACCCTCAATAACACTTTAGAAAACATGGCTCGAATCGTGAACCCGTCAAAGAATTAGGGTACACTTCAATATCTGGGATATTAAGGAAAGTCCTGATAATTGGCATGAAAATCTATTGAGTTCTACGCAAGGCAGTAACGTTATAATATATACAAGATCACCTTCTTTGATTAAATTCCTCGAATTGCTGTTGCACATCTGTGTCCTCCTTTTCCTGCCACTTCTCTTCGTTTCGTTTAGCATTCTTTTGACGGGCTTTCTCCATCGTTTCGAAAGATCGCCGGCGGATCAGTCGACACTGTTCAAACCCCACAACGTTTCCTAGGAAAAAACCCCCCACCGCCCAATGAACTGAACGCATGACTTGTTTATGTATCAAGAATGTAACCACTCCGAGCACCCCCATCGCTTGAAATCCAGTAAGCATAGCCTCTCGGAAGCAAGGCATTCCTAGATATGTGTTCACATTAAAATCAGTAATAGAGATCTTGAGTTGTGGTTGTTCTTGTTGATCGGGAGGAGCAATCAGGTCGTCAAACTTGGGTGGAAGGTCTTCAAGAAATTGCTGTTGAGCTGGGGCCGCTTCATTTTCATTCACGGGTGTCACACTGGATACTTTATTGCCGCCAAACCACCCCATATTGTGCAGATCCGATGCGGTTGATTTCGCACTCTCTTCGACGCCGCTCTCGTAGCCGACACGCACCAACGGGCAAATACCACCAGACAAGCTTGTCGCCAGCCATGCATCCCGACCTTATCTTGGACCCCCAGCTTAAGTACTGGGTTCTCATACCCATTTCGGTAGTGATGGCTGCAGTGGGGTTGTTACGAGGACATGTGACCTATTTAATTCTGCCTACACCCAAACAACAAGATTCCAAGGAGGTTCGACAGGGACAATTTCTTAAACGGGCCCAAGCTTTTCGTATGAATAACCTGGTGCTTTCGCGTTCAGAATTCAGCACCCGTCAACAGTACTACGCTGATAAGCTTACATCGCCAGAGTATCTTGCAAAGGTATCAGGTGTGGATGATGATCCCATGTCTCAATTGACTGATCCTGCAAATAATGAGGCAATCACTAATATGCTTAAAGGCAATTTGATGAATTACATTCCTCAAACTCTCATCATGGCATGGGTTAACTTTTTCTTTGCTGGGTTTGTGGTAATGAAATTGCCTTTTCCCCTCACGGAAGGGTTCAAGGGTATGTTACAACAAGGAATTAATACTCCTAACCTAGATGTGCGGTACGTTCTGGCAATCTCGTGGTATTTTGTCAATTTATTCGGCTTACGCCCGATATATGCATTATTAACGGGTGACTCCACTCAGGCAAGTCAATTAGTTGGTCAAATGACTCAACAAACTCCCATGCCCAACTTGGGAGGTCCCGGATCAAACGTTCAACGAGTATTCAACGGTGAGGCCGAGTCAATTCAGATCTTGTCGCATAAATTTGTCTTGGATGATGTGGTTGAGCGTTTGGTCGATGAATTGGCTGATAGATCGAACTTATGATAGTAGATGCCTACATTGCTCTGTTTGACAATGATATATATTTTCTTTTGAAATATAACTAATCTTTCCACTTAATGGCATATCATAAGTGAACTGTTGTGTTTCATTTTTTTTTTTTTTGGCGTTTCGATATTGTTAAGAGTATGTTACACAACAAGGGCCAAAACGGCAACCCCGATCACTCCAATTGAAGTAACCTGGATTGCAGCGGCGTTCTCGTGGTCATCACGCTTTTGTTTGCATTGTTGCTGCTTGCCAAACAAGCTAAAGATCCACAGGAAAATGCCTGCGGGTTTGTTACACTTGACAAGTCCTTGACCGCCGGTACTTGATCCCAGTTTCGAGGTGGGAGCGGCGGTGGGGACTGCTTTTGTCGACGTCGTCCCAGCACTTGGCTCAGGGTTGGTCGTAGTGAGGATCTCATCAACTTCACATTCGCAGTCTTCATCATCCTCAACACAAGTTTCAGGCTCTGCAGTTGGACTGGGAGCACTGGTGGGTTGGGGAGTCAAAGTTGGTTCGTCGTCATCGCACACACAATCCTCATCATCCTCCAGACATTCCAGAGGCAGTGGTTGAGGTGCCAACGTGGGCTCAGTAGAATGGTCGACACTTGAATCGGACTGCAGAACGTTGGGGGTCATGGTGGGTTCGACATTGTCGCTGTCACATTCACAGTCCTCGTCATCTTCAATACATGTTTCTCTGGGTTCCAGGTAAGTCGACGATGATGAGTATTCTTCTGTGGGTGTGGAAGTCACGTTTTCGGTTGGTGTGGAATTAAGATCACTTGTGGGAGGCGGAAGCAACGTTGGCTCGGGGTCATCGTCGCATTCACAGTCTTCATCCTCTTCAACGCATTGAGAAGCCAGTGGTTCAGGGGGGTAAGAAATGTCTGATGTTGGAAAAACGCTCAGAGATGTCGATTCAGACGACAGCGACACGGTGAGTTCCGAAGAGCTGGATAATTTTGTGGCGGACAATGATGACTGATAGGTGACTGTGATTGTGGGCGTTACCGTGGTGATCGAGGTCGACACGATACAAGATTGGGCCAAAACAGAAGTAATAAATCCTGCGGAAAGCGCCGACTTGAAAATCATAATTGAGGAGGATTCGATCGGGAGAGTTAAACATTTTAGGTTTTTGGTGTATATATAGACTTGGGACTTTTTATCGGCTAACTTGCTTGTTATGTTCTGTACACAAACATGAAGTATGCCAATGCCTCGAATCCAATTCAAATTCACGTAATGTCTACATTTGGTGAAATAATATTATGAATGTGTTTTAAAGCCACGTATACTCTGTAACCATCGTTTTCGCTACTGTTCGCTCAAGTTACTACTGACTTTTGTTGACCGACGATGTTCCTAGATTTCAAACACCAACCAACGCGGACCTGCGTAAAATTGAAAGTATAGTCATGCAAGGAGAGAAATTGTGTAACGTTAGAGGAATTTAAAGTTGACCAATTTTGTGCATTCATCAATTCGCTAAATTATTTGAGTATAGGTCTGATCGGAATATATGAGCTCAAAGTTACATTTCGGCCATTCTGACTTCGGATGCTTTCTCTTTAACGTGAGACCGAGGATTTCGACCACATCTGAGAAGGTTTTTCAAAATTCGCAATCGGGGAAGTATCTTGCTAAAAGTAGATAGTGCGTCAGTGCCAGTTCGCGACTCCCAAATTCACCTATCCGAAATAGTACTATAAATCCCATCGAGGTCATGTACCGTTCAATGTGTCGATTGAGAGACAACAGACTCCACCGTTTTAAAGAATATTTGCGTTGACGTCTAGTGGCCTTTCGCTGCTTAGTGGTAACAAACTATCTATTCCTTTCGAATATTGTAATTCAAAATCCAATCTGTCGATGTATGCGGGGAACTCCACTGCCCAGAATGTTTCTATTTTGGCTCTGTGTACAGATCACTCACTAAAATCTCCGAAGCGTCGGTAGGTTAGTTGTATTTCATCAGAGTGTGATTGGCATATCTCGCGCAGGTACAGAGAGTTTTCCAATATTGATTCACGCGTTGCTAGGCAATACGAAGAACATTGGCTAGGCCATTATTGGTATTTCTGAGTAACGCTGTCAGCTTTTAATGTTTACCGCATTTGAATTACTTCCTCGGATGAGCTAACCCAACTTGCTGGACTATATATTACTAATTGAATGGATTATATAAGTCTTAAACACAGCACATCGATGATATCCAAAGATTTACAAGCTATTCGAGGACTAGCCGAACTTAGTAGTTGCAGTCCCCCACTCAACTGGAGCAGTGTTTGATCACGACGCGATCTCGTGACATCACCCTCGCACGAACGAAAAAACATTCTTCTCGCACACTGTTCAACATCCCAAATGTCGGCCCGGGACAAAAAAAAGTTGCTGGTCCGATTGGCCGCATGTATGGAGACAGTCCAAGAGCTCACCGATAATGATGGGTACTCACTCAACGACACATTTCACAGGCTTCCCCTGCGCTCACTCGTGGATTATTTCCGAATTGTGAAACGCCCCATTCTGTTCCATCAGATATCGAGAAACATTCTGGGCAACAAGTATGCCACGGGACAAGAGTTCGTCAATGACTTGATCCAAGTTTGCTGGAATGCTCGTCTTTATAACCACCGAGATCTGCGGATTTTCCACCAAGCCTTAGTGCTCAAGCACCACATTTTGACCGAAGTGATTCCAAAGTTGCAGAATGAAAAACTGGTGCCTGATCATCTGAGCATTACATACACACTGTTCGGTGATCTACCTGATGGCCCCGATGAACCCATGGTCGATGAAGTCTTGCTCACTCAGCCTGTGAAAAACGACGAGTTTGCCCCGGAGCCGCTGCCACTTCGCCTGGCGACATCTACCCCCGTACCTACTGTCAACATGCTGATGGTCGGTCAACGTCATCTGACTCCTAACCATCACAAGCAAAAGGCCGTTGAGCTGGGGATTCGTCGTGGTAGACCGCCAATTATTGATAAGCCGTTTGAAATCCGCATCAAGCTAATTTTGAAAGCTTTCAAAAAGTTGCGGGATCCAAATAACGAACTGAGACTGTTAGTCCAGCATTTCGAAAAGTTACCTGATGCCAAGTATAACCCTCAATACTACCAGGTAATTCAAAATCCGATCTCGTTGAACGAAATCAAAATCAAAGTTCGACTGAGAAAGTACTCTAATGTTGATCAATTTATCAATGATTTAAACCTTATGTTTGCAAACACCAAGCAATTTTATGAGCACGATCCTTATTCCGAGGAGTATATGGATTTCGAAAATTTTAATCGCGAAGCTGGAATGATTATCCAGCAGGAAATTTCCAAGAGTGAGCAGGAACTCATTTCAGCGCTGACCCTGGGGAATGACGGGGTCATTCGCATTCCTTATGATAAAATGGAAATCAATGGCTATACTTATAAAATTGGGGATTGGGTTCTCATTCAAAACCCTAATGATCCAGAGAAGCCTACCGTGGGTCAAATTTTCAGATTGTGGAGCACCGATGATGGTAATAAGTACACTAACGTTTGTTGGTATTATCGACCTGAACAAACTTGTCACAAGGAGGATCGTCTTTTCTTCATGAACGAGGTATGCAAAACCGGACAATATAGAGACCACTTGGTATCAGAAATTGTCGGCCCTTGCTATGTGGTTTTTTTGACAAGATACCAGAAGGGAGATTTGCCAGATGGCGTCATTCCAGATGGTGCCCCTTGGTTTATTTGTGAATTCCGCTATAACGAACTGTCACATGTGTTCAACCGAATCCGTACATGGAAGGCTTGTTTACCCGATGAAGTACGTGATTCTTATGAGCAACCACTTATTCCATTGCATGAGCCTCGCAAGCTTATCAAGTATGAGTCACCTATTCGAGCGCTTTTGCCACGCGATTCCTATGTGGGTATGCCAATCCCAGAACCCACCCAAGGGCCACTTCAAAACACACCTCCATTAGCAGGGTCCGTGTTTTTGGATGAAGCTGTTCCTACCGATGATTTGGGTCAGTATATTTCATCGCCCAATGTCACTGAAATGCCTGAGCGCAATGATCCTGCCCTGGGTCGCAGAGCATACTTGTTCACGCCTATTTCTCAATTGAAAGGCGGTGGTGGAGCTTCTCTGGCACACTACGTTAACAATAACTATAATGGGATGCAAGCCCTGTCGGCAGCAACTGCTGCGGCAGCATCTATTGGGATTGCTCCACCGGCTTCTGTGGCACCATTGACTATTTCTGATCAAAACCTCAATTCAGAAGCGTTTGCGCAACTGGGTTTCAAGCCGTTGCAAATTCAGATGCAAGATCAATCAAAGCGAGTCATGGATCAACAAATGATGTTCCCTCAGCAACAACAACAATTGTTCCGACGTGCGGGAGACTTTGCTACTTTACAACCTCCTCAAACGAAGACGCTGATTTACCTGACGAACTTCCATGGGGGTGTTGTTTCTTACGCCATTCCCGACGTCGATGGCAGTCTCTCAGCAGCTAGCGAGCAAGTCACCAAACGAATTCGTTTGACTGAACAGGGCGATGAAGAGACTGACATAGTATTTTTTCGCGCACCGCCGAGTGCCGTCCCTACCAATCGAATCGTAACCAATAATGGGATTGAGTTTGGACACCTGGCGAAGTACTTGGCTTGGAAGTTGAAGCGCGCTCACGTTTGAAACTTTGTTAGGAGACGACATAAATAAACACTTTAATATAAATTGATGACTTTGAAAGATTGAGTGAGCTCTATGAACCTTCGTGATTTGCACACAATGTACTTGGAGGGCTCAGGATGTGCTTCTTTTGATCTCTCTACACGAAAGCAATACACCACACTTGTTGTTAGAATTCATTGATTACATCTATTACACAATCAATATTAGACCCAATTTTACCAGAAAATATTCTAGGTCTTACGCACTTCCTCTTCTTCTACCACTGGTGAGGACTTCTCGGCTTCTTCGCTGAGTTCAACGGACTCGTGATCGTAATGGATGGTGGACATGTCATCGTCGTCCATAACCAATTGCTGGTTGAATCTTTCGTAGGAAAAGAAGATCACAATGATCATGGCACCGAAAATCGCTCCGCAAAAAATAGCCATGACCTTACCATAATCATAAAGACCGTTGCCCAACGGGAACAGTGTTCCTAAGGTGGCTTCAATCGTCAGCGACGCTGAGGAAGCAAGGTTACCAAGCTGGTAACAAGTTCCCGAGATCAAAGCTCGATGAGCGTGGCCAACCACTTCCATAATGTAAATAGGTCCCACACCCCAAGCACCCATTACCCCAAATTGAAGAAAGAATCCAGAAGGGATGATTCCTCCCAAGTTCTTCAACATGAAAGCCGGGTAAAGGAAAGCGCCCGACCAGACAAGACAAATAATGATGGTCAACCGTCTGCCCAAAAGTTCCGACAATTGACCGAAAAAGATACCACCAAAAACAGCCCCCAAATTAACAACGACAACAGTTACAGTTCTCATATCCGGTCCAATTCCTCTTTGCTTGACCAAGAAGGTTGTATACAAGTCTTGAGTGCCATGGGAGATGAAGTTGTAAAGGGACATCACGAAAATCAACATAATGATAGTCAACCATTCACTTTTGAGTGACTGAATTAAAGTGGGATCGATGTGCAACTTGTCTAACAACTGCAGCTTTCTCAGGATCTTTCCTTCCTCAATATCTTGCTTACGCTTAGCAGCAGCCTTCTGCTTCGCCTTGTGCATTTTGACAAACGCGGGCAGCTCTGGCACCATGAGTCTCCAAGCAATCAAGAGGACGGGCAAACCAGCCGAGAAGAAAAACAAGTTTCTCCACCCTTCACCGAGCCGACCGCTGTACTTAGTGAACTCAAATGCACGGTAAAAGACCGTAGCAAAAATGAACCCAACATTGTAACCTGGCAAGAATAAACCCAGTGCAATTGATTTAGCCTTTGGGGGCTGGTTTTCGAGTGCAGTTACCAGTGCAATCGGGTACATTGCACCCATAAGTACACCAAACAAAGCTCTCACCCCAAGAAATTGCGAATAGGTCTTCACAAACCCAGTCCCGAGTTCAACAACAATAAATAATGCACAAATCACAATATAAGGCTTCTTGCGTCCATAAGTGTCAGCCATTACACCAAAAATAATGGAACCCACAGTTCTCAACATCAACACTAAGGTTATCCCCCAGGTAATTTGAGTGGTGTCGACATTTAAAGTCTTTGCGATGTCAGTCGCTGAAGCCAGCACACAGAAAAAGTCCATTGAATCAACCACCCAGGCTAACCACCCCAACATGTAAAAATTCCAATGAGAAGCATTCATCAGCTTCAAACCAGGGATGGGGTTGAGTACTTGGTACCAGGGGAGTGGCTGTTTCATCACCGGGATATCGACGAGTGTTGGGAACCGAGTAGCTAGGTAGTGACAAATATTGGACCATGTAATCTTGGGGGCCTCTTTGTACAACCCTTCGTTCTCCTTTGCAACTTCAGTTTTGTCATAATTGACGGAGTCTGAGTAATGACTTTCCATGTCAATGGTATGATTAACAAGAAGGATTAAGGAAACATTTTATACTCTCGCTTCGTGTGGAGAAGGGAAGTACATTGCGCTTACCCCACAGGTATCACATTTCATTTGGTATGCGCCCCGCGACACACACATCGTGTGGCGGGGTTGGTAGGTGTTGGTATGATGCCATTGACATAATGCAGAACAAAAGTTCCCGTTTCGTAGCGAGCACTCCATTAACAGAAGCGACAACAGTAAATTCCATACACTCTAAGAGAACTTACGTCACGATATCCGAACCTCTTCCAGCTTTCAGAATAATCACGAACCCATTTAGTATTGAGCTTATTGATCGTTGACCTTCAAGCGCGAAAATAAAAAACGCCGTGCCAACAATTACTCTCGGCCCCCTGTGTGGGGTAGATAACGACACAAAGTCACTCCTGTGAGATGCAGTAGACAATGTGGCACTCCAAAAAATTTTACGGCCCACACGAAATAAGAAAAGATTTTTACCGAGCCTCAACACGATAGTCATATAACTCCGACTGAACTCGTGTCGGAGTTATACCGATTGAAAGGCTTAGCACGAAAAGCACCTCAGCGTTAAAAATCGTTGAATCACGTTGTCATTTAGAGAAAGCAGAGCTCCGCAACATATGAGAGTTGCAACATGGGCCGCCTAATCGGCGTTAGGTAGTTATTGTCCGTTCGCAACAAAACTGATAACTCAGCAAGACTAATTCGAAGGAGTCTGAACTTGCACCAGAGCTCAAAGCATAATAAGCAACTTTCATATTTTTATTCACGAACCTCATTTAGCCGTTTCTTTTGAAAAGTGTTCACTAGGCCTAATCTCAAGCTGTCGGAGTTCAAGCAGTTTTCCCGAAAAATCGCGCGGATGCCTCACGCTTGACACCACACATGTCGAAAACGAAGAGACACGGCTGGAAGAGCACTCAAGATCCGAATTGATCGTACATCTGCTGAAATACGGCTGCTTATTGTGTATCGTATACCTCTTCGTCGCAGTCAACAACAATATCGTCGGTAATAAACTAGCGTGTTTCATGATCGCATACGAGCTTCCTCTCTGTCGCCTTGTACCTCAAAGAGGGAGGGGAAAAATCGCAAGTTATTCACCATTAGCGGGGTCGCAATATAGCATTCGGCAAAATAGAAACCTACTCATCAGATTCTTACATTACCTCGAAGCAAATTGAGGGGTAATGCAAAGTCAAAAATCAAGTAAGTTTGATTAATCCACGTGGTACAAATGGTATAGCTTGCTTATCAACTTTGGTCAAACATCAGTGCAGCACAAAATTTCGCGAAACGTCTGCCTGACCGGAACTTTAAAGATGAGACCATCTCCCAGGGCTGTGTACACCTCGCCTTCTCACCCCGAACTAATCGAGTTCACTCCCGGCGATGGCCCCCACTCCACTCAAGGGAAGACGACGCAAATCTCAGATGTGGTAATTCGTGCTGGGGGGCAAGACAGGGATCGACCCACTCATGCTCTGGATACGTATTTGGGGTCTTTGCGGGCTGAGCTTACCACCCTCCAGGATAAAATCAATGAGTTTTTAACCGAACGCATGGCTGAAGCTAAACTGCATGGGACCGATAGCATTGATGAAATAGAACGCAAACTCCTTGATGAAGGTCACGATGAGGATTCTGATTAGGTTCATATAAAATTTACGGTGTCCCCACAAAGTGCGAAAATTAGCGGACAAACGGCCGCTTGCGAGAAGAAGTCGATCCGAGAAAGCATTAATTTACGTGTATTTTAGTATATTTTTCTGAAATTCTCGGCCCGGTAAAATCTTCAATCAAGCCATCACGTGATCAACCCCGCAAGCGAGAGAGAGTCTAACTTGTCGTTATATAATTCTTCTCCACTCAGCTTGTTACTAGCTTGAATAATTCTATAGCTGTTTCAATAATACGACTTTCATACGACTTGGATTGAACTTTGGATTGAGCCACACACCTACTACTATTCGCGTACTATTTGAATTCTTTAACTTTAATGCGTTCGAACGTGTTCGCGTAGGCGTTAAATTGAATCTCCACAATCTCATCCTGAGCGATCTCCAAGTTTGGAATATCATAGCACAGAACCGACAATAGGTAACCCAAGAACACTTTAATGACGGTGTCATCTGCTACGACCAACAAATCACCATTCATACGCTCCATCTCCAAAATAAGCGGTTCAATTTTAATAGCCAAATCATGATACAGCTCCAGTCTTGGGTACCTGAAGTGGTATGGATCAGACTGATAACTTGCATAGTCTTCTGGATAATTATCTTTGATTTCCTTGTCCGACATCCCCGCAACGACACCAGGGATCTTTTTAGAGAGTTGAATTCGTTGACGAATCGTAAAACCTCGGTCCGTAAATTCTTTCAAGTACTCCAATGTGCGCTGTTTTACACTGCCCCAAACAACAAGACCATCGCGAGCACCATCAGCAGACAAAGGGGCTGCTTTATCCTTGCCACAGTCATCTTTAGCATACTCACGGCCTTTGCTTCGTAAGTGCTCTAGTAAAGTCTGTGTAACATTGTGGGCATGCACTTTGCCTTCGTCATCCAAGGGGGGATCTTCAGTATTATGGAGCTCACGTTTCCAACACCTTGCGAAATAAACCAGTCCCAGTTTAATCGTGGAGTTCATGATGAAAAACAATACTTTATTTACGAGATACCCGTAGTTCGAATTGTGAACCTCAATGCGCTCTCCAAAATTATTGATTTTAATGTAGCTTAATTGTTGTTCCCCTTCGGTTTTTCCCATTTCTCGGTAGTATGGAGTTAAGTGTTGAATGCGATTGGAGTAATCTTCGTAGGCCTTCTGATAATCCCACAGTCGGTAATCAGGTGACAGCTTCGCAGCCAGGGCAATGTTCTTCATGATCAAAGAATCGTCATCAACCAACAGTTCGATGAACAATACTTGAACATTGACTTCTTGGAATCGCCGAGCCAAATCAATACGATATTCGGGTAAGGCATTCACGGCATCGTAGATTGCAATCTGACCTCGGTCATGCTTGAAAAAGTTGAGCACGTCATTCAAACACTCATCGACAATCTTTTGTCGGATATCGGAGGCGTCATGGTTGTCGGGGTGAGGAACAAAAAGATCGTAATCCAAATCATCAGCTTTAGCACGACGGTAGTTCCCCAAATGGAAGGAGTGAGTCGTGACCCCGAGCCACCTGAGATACCGGGTAAGGGCAACCAGCAAATGGGTTTTACCTCTCCCGGGCAACCCCGCCAATACGATACAGATCTTACCGGCGTGGAACAACCGACCCAGCTCGGTCAGATATAGTTGGGCTCCACCCAAAATACACAGGGGATCGATCTCATTGTGGACCCGATCGCCGTCCCCCACATCGGTGAGTCTTCGTTTGCCCTCACCCGCAACCTCGGCAACCAGATTGACGAGGTCGGGCTTCTTGTTGTTGTGGAATGACCACCGCTTGGTCGTTCGCTTTTGTGGGTTGGAAACGGCTATACTCGTATCCGGAGTCGTACCGACGAGCTCATCCTCCAGGTCGACAACAGCAGACATTATGCTCACTCAAGCACGGGACGAATGTGGGGAAGATATGAGTAGTGCGTGTTTGTCGGTAGTGCGAAAAGTGACCCAACTTGTGGCAGAGAGAAGCACAAATGGCTTAAGAAAGTGTCGACAAATACGCTATGAGACAACATCCGACTGGGGAAATATATCCGTTCCATAGTCAACAGGCATGTTTGAAGGCTTTGTTTGAAATTGTTGAAGGATTAGCGTCTTGTGACCACATCATTGATAGATGAAGCCTAAATGCCCAAAAACTACAGTTGATCGTGAGCTTTTTCTGTTATGCCTTTATTATACACATTAAAAGTTACGCCAAACACCCATTTATTCAGCCTTGCCACCCTTTCTGGCAATCAAAGCCTTTCTGTCATTGGTCAAGTGCAACTTGGTAATGACAACCTTCGAGGGGTGGATGTTGATGGGGATCGAGGCACCGTTCGACTTTTCCTTTTGCAACTTTTCGAGTTGGACGGCGAACTTAAGTCTGTAAACCGACGAGATCTTGCCTTCTTGGCCCTTCTTGGCACCTCTGACAACAGTGACGGTGTCTTCCTTTCTGATGGGAAGAGCCGAGATACCGTATTGTTCCTTCAATTCCTTGGAGAGGGGAGCCGACATCATCTTTCTTCTTTCGATCGACGACGAGGTGAAGTAAGCCTTTCTGGCCTTACGGCGAGAGGAAGAAACGTCTGATTTGTTAGTAACCTGCGGAAATCATCAGTTAGAGGATATCACAGAACGTGAGCGTCCACATTTCGGATGGTGAAACATACCTTGGCTGATCTTCATATCTATAATCTCTTGGGCTAACCAGAAATTTTTTCATCACTGATATTGAAAATTGTGCGAGTGCGTCGGCTAGGGTGTAACCCTAACGTCACGTGCGCGCTGAGATAGTATTGTTCGAGTAATCAACTCTGGCTTCAAGACAATGTCTTCGAAGTAGACAGGTTGCTTGCCGTGTCTATCAATTTACTCATGACGAAGGTGCGGGTGATGTCTACGGTTAATGGTGTCGGTTGGTTTGTGCATCGATGGCCACTCGAAATCTATTTTTGAGGGTAGTCGCCAGAAGTATTCAAAAACTCTGTCGCTCGACACAATCACTACACAATTTTTCATTGTATCCACTAGTTCCTAACATTTCATGTGATTTTGTTTTCTCTTTATAACACTGTAAATCGTTACACTTAATGTTATCTGCAGACTCCTAGTATTACGACTCTCCGAGAAAAAATTAGAATGCTGTGTGTGGGTTACATTTACAGGTTTTACAGGAACTCTCGTAATTCGCAACTACCACGTCAACTATGAATATCGCTAAACACAATTTTTTAAACAGCAGCGTCTAGGGCGAGCATGCTTATTTGTGTTTCACAAAAGTTGAGGACTGCTGGAATAGCCACCCTTCTTCAGCTTTGTAGTCTACGTTTTTCGTGCATCTCGCTATGTCCTATATTCTCCGTTGCATCCGTCGCACCTGCTCTACTATAACCTCTGAGTTACCTCATACAAGCAGAATGAATGTCGTCGGAATAAAGAGAGCCTTGGCACCTGGACTGAGGTTACCAATCACTCGTATTCCCATCTACCGTACTTCGATTGTTCTGCGTATCACACCCATTACGGCGTATTCAACGAAGACGGCTCCCCCTCCTCCCCCTCCCCCGGCCCACGACAAAGATGCGAAGGGCAAAAAGATTCTCAATTACATGCTGAGGGCATTCACTTGGTCGGCGTCATCAGTCATTGTACTTGGTGGCGTAGCGATTTCAGCGATTGTTTTGTCGCTCATTTTCTCAGAGTTGTTCCTCCCCTCAGGAGATACCAAGACCTTCAACAAGGCATTGAACATAATCGAGGCTGATGAAAAAATCCAAAAGCTATTCGAATTGAAGCCTGGCGAACGCCTTAAAGCCCATGGCGATGTCCATGCCGGCCGCTGGGTGCGCAATCGTCCTCCTCAAGCGGTCAAAATTGTAGGCAAGGATGGCGTGGAACGTATGTTCATGAAGTTCATGGTCGAACTGCCCGAAAACAAAAAGCAAGGAATCGTCACCTTGGAGCAATTTGACAAAACCTGGTGGAGCTCTGAGTTCGCCTATATTGCCGTTGACATCCCGGGGTACCGTAAATACTACGTGATCGAGCCTGCTTTTATGAAAGCTGACACGCCTAAGGGCGCAGGATTCTTGGGACTTAATTGGGGGCCCAAGAAGGACTAGATACGAGTAAGTAACGATAAACTAGCATTTGACACTATTATACTGTATAAGAGAAACTCTTAAATCGCTTGTAAATAGTCTTCGTGCCGCCCTGCCTAAAACATAGTCAGCCAATCAACCGCGTTATATTCAGTCGTTCGGAATATACTAAAGACAACACTGGCTTCGCCTCGTTTGTGACCACTTTTTCTTGGTGATAGCTCGCGATAACCCCGGGCTCAGTTGACGCGTGTACACCAAGTGACTGAAATATTGCAACAGGTACCATGTCGCATACGCTGTCAATGGAGGATTTTGTTACAAATCGAGTGAACCGCCTTACGTTTGGTATCCTCCCTACTACGTCGTTTTCCTACTCTCTGCTTTCACCGCTTTTGAAATGGAGAATCTCAGACCTAGTGACATTCATCTGCCTTGCATTGTCGTTCATTGGGGTTTGGAAGATTAAACCCTTTGAACGGGAGTTCATGTTGTCGGATCAAAGACTCCAACACCATTACACCGAGGTGCAACAGGTGTCAAATACGATGCTATTTGTTTACTCCTGTGTCATTCCCTTCATCATAATAGCTCTCTGTGGAGTATCGTTAAACCGCAGACTGCGAATTTACAAAACTTTCGTCCCTCTATTAGGGCTTATATTGTCTGTGGTTACTACTGCGGTGTTGACGGATGCGCTTAAGAATTATATTGGTCGACATCGGCCGGACTTCATTGCTCGGTGTCAGCCGCTCGCAGATGCACCACTTGATGTGTACGTCTTAGCAAAAGATGTTTGCACTACCGAAGATTTGGATAAGTTGCACGATGGGTTTCGTACGACACCATCCGGCCACTCCCTGATATCGTTTGCCGGTCTCCATTATTTGACTTTGTGGCTTATGGGCCAATTCATTGTGGGGAATCCCCTAGTTGGTACCTGGCGAGTTTTATTGAGCTTTGTACCAACATTGGGTGCTACACTTATCGCCCTCACGCGTACTCAAGATTACCGTCACCATTTTGTTGACATAGTCATTGGTGCACTCATTGGCATCGTGATCAGCTGGTGGAACTACTTTCGGTTGTACCCATGGTACTCGTCTCCCAAGTCGTATAACCCTAAAGTGTACTCCAAGATCCCACGTGAAGAACTGCTTCCGATATTTAATGCCACCTACAATCCACCGCAAGACACCCTGATACCCATGACTGAGCGATTAGTGTCAGAGACGCATTCAGTATATCACCCTGACCAAGTTTACTCTGCAGGGTAGTCAAAGACATTAAGCTTACGTAAGATAGTATATTATTAATTGTATTTAAATGCTCGGTCGTACGATATTTTCATTGGCATTGGAAGGTTTGTCACATCAACAGCGTACGTCCACCAATTTCGTTGCTCGCACTGCCATCAGGCATGTTGCCGTCACGACCCAGTACAAACTTATGGTAAATACCCTGAAGCTTTCGTCTCTCTGACACCGAAATAGATGGCTTGGTTTCCAGTAACAGTTCCACGAAATTTTCATGAGTTATGACCACTTGATCATCGGCAATTTCTTTGGTGTTTTTGAGATTTTCACCCTGATTTTCCTTGTCGAGTAACTGCTGGATTTGTCCGGCAATCTTGACCCTATCTGCTGGACGTAGTTTAGCTTGGCTCTGCTTCTCAGAGTTCACCTGGAAGAATTCGTAATTGTTGCTGTCCTTATTGGGTTTCTGTTCAGACGCCTTGGCTTCGTTCGCAGCTAACTTGACATGTACAGCCTTAAGATAAGCGTTGTATCCTAACCCCTGCATGTCGGCTCCCGAGAAACCCTCGGTGCCATGTGCAATCTCCTCGAGTTTTACGTCGTCGGCCAAATCCATGGAAGCGGTGATAGTGCGCAATATATCAAGTCTGTCATCATAATTTGGCATGTCGCAAATCACCAGTTTATCCAAACGACCTGGACGCAATAAAGCCGAATCAATCAAGTCGGGTCGAGACGTGGCGGCCAAAACGTAGACACCATCCAAACCCTCTGCCCCATCCATTTGGGTCAACATTTGATTCACCACCCGATCCGTTACCCCAGTAGAATCATGTCCACGCTTCGGAGCAATCGAGTCAAACTCGTCAAAGAACAAAATGCAAGGTTTTGCAGCCTGCGCTCGTTCAAACAATTCACGCACCAGCGCTTCAGAGGCACCAATATATTTATTCAAAATCTCTGGACCTTTGATGGAGATGAAATTGAGGCCACACTGGCCGGCAACTGCCAGCGCTAAAAGAGTCTTCCCGCACCCTGGATAACCATAGAGTAAGATACCCAGTCTCAATCGAAGTGGGCACAGCGAGAAAATCGGTGCGTACTTTGTCGGCCACTCTAAGGTTTCTAAAAGCACATTTTTAGCTTCTTGAAGTCCTCCGATGTCCGACCAATTAGTACCCAGTTTCTGGAGCTTCACGCCACGCAAGTTGGAGGGGGTATAACCCTTAAGGCAACTTTCAAGATCAGCTTTTGTAACCTCGACTTGGTGAGGATCTTGAGACTTGTATAATCCCTCTTGGTATAATCTATCTGACAAGATCTTCAAATCATTGGCCAAGTAACCTTCAGTTTCCGTAACCATGTCCATTATGTCAAACTTTATCTTGCAACCAAGAGTCTTATTGAGATAGACATTTAAAATGTCTGCTCTCATGTGCTTGTCCGGTGGGCTGAGGTGGTGAAAGTTTTCCAACACATGAGCTTGAGAAAGAAGCTTATTGAGCAGCTCCTTTGATGATGCCAGTGCCAACACCAGGATATTCAGATGGCGTTGTGATTGGATTTTCTCAAGCTGACTGATGAAATATTCGGTTAATTGGATCAGCTTGGAATTATCACCTTGTTCCTGTTCAGCAGAGAGAATTTTGTCAAGGTTGTCCAAAATGAGCACAGCAGGCTTGTGCCACGCACAAGATTGAAGCCATTTGAATACAGCAGTTTTCGCCGTGGGGAAGTTGTCATTCATCACAGTTTCACATGATACATATTTAATGTAATAGCCGTGTTTCTCCGCCAACTCATGCGCAACCATGTTCAAAACAAGAGTCTTACCAGCCCCCAGCTTGCCGTAGACCAATGTTCCCACATTTGCCAGACCGATGAACGTATCAACCATCAAATCAATACATTTGTCAAGGCCAATGCCCGTTTCCATGACTTTGTTCTGCAACCACCGCTGAGAAGGCTCAGTTTCAGTGATAAAACTGCTAGGACGTAAGACTTCCTCAGCAACTTCAATTTTAAACTGCTTGAGTTTCTCAGGTGCAAGTGGGCGTAACCACATCAGAGGATCATCAACTTTCTTGAATTGGAGTAGCCCGCCACGAGGCAAACCAGGGCATGGTGCCAATTTGGTGCAATTCGTAATTGGCATGCTAGACACTTGGATATCCTCAAAATATTTAGCAAGCTCTTGACCAATCTTTTGTCGGGCTTCACGGTCCTTAGAAGCATTCACGGTCAGCACCTTTTTTGTTTGTGTTTGATAAGGATAAACTACCACTGTTGTAGGCCTCTTGGGTGACGGACGTGGTGCAGGCTTGAGAACCACTTGGTATCCTACCTCAAACTCCACTCCAAGGGCAGCGGCTAGTCTTTGAGAGAGACCTACCTGTTGTTGACCTGGAACGTCAACAATTTGTGCCACGATGAACTTGTTTTCTCGCACTGTAACGGAATCGTCCTTGGGTGCTTTCGTAGTGTGCTTTTCCTCGGGTCCAGGAACAATTTGGACAACAACAAATGATCCAAACTGAGGTGGCAAAGTAGCCTTATCAGTGAACACCTGAAAGTTATTATCCAGAGCTCCTGGAAAAAGAGCGTGCGGGAGTGAAATACCTCGCTTGAGGACTATAGGAGTATCCTCAGCCTTCTGCTTTTTGTCTTTGGTCTCTTTTGCTGGCGGTGCTGCCTTCTCTCGTACCTTCGGAGCAATGGATATTTCAGCATAAGGATTGATCTTAGCGTATGACTCAGATAAACCAATGTCAGTGACTACGAGCTTTGCTGATGATGTCAGCGATGGGAAGACGACAAGGTGTTGACCAACGCTTACGCAACGGGCCTGACTCAATAAGTTATCTTCAATGGTTTGTGCGTGTAACTCAATCAATTCCCAGTCCAGAGCGGTAAGTGGTTCGAGGGCAATATTGGTGGCCTCAGGTGAACCCAACTTGATGTTGATGATGAGGTCGTCGCCATTCTTGAAACCAAGCTGCTGAGACACCTGGGGATCAATGTCAATGCTTGAGATGTCACTTGAAGGCATACCTGTCCAACCAAGGTATCTTTTGGTCGGGGTGGCTCCACGGCCAGCTAAATATACTTCCACAATGACATTTTGCAGGGCGATCTTGGCGGAGAACAAAAGGTTGCAAACCAGCAGGGGAAGATTGATCAAATTGCTTCGAAGGGAGCTAGTCCTCACCTTAGCTTGATGCCCGTCCATCAGTGAGAGTGAGATTTGTGGGGAGCGTCGGCTGAAAAATACATGTGAGTGGGGTGCGGAGGGGGTGCCCGAGGAAGTGAATGCAGCATACGCTTGACTCACATCGTACCGAACTGCACCGAGTATTGAAGTGACTTGGAAGCGAGTCGTAAAGTTGAAACGTTTTAGTATTCAAGTAGCCTGTTTTCATTGTTGGTTCCGACGATCTAAGCGTACGGATTTAAATTACTTGTCTCATGAGCCATCACGAGGATTGTTCAGGTGCTTGAAAGAAGCGCAAACCATTACGGCACGTTGCATTTTTTTTGCACAAAAAGTCACAATCGACGATAACCTCATGTGCTGGTGTGCTCGTGTAAATCTCATTCAGAGAAAAACGACCGAGCGGGCATGTTTTGATGACGTCACTGAATATCGTAAGGCATGTTCGAAGGTGGTATCAAATTTGATGAAAATCTTAAAGATACAATTTCACTTGACAGGACAAGTACGATGAAGGTTTCAATTGAGACAGCCAAACATTCTTTGAATTTGCAAAGTAATCCCGTATCCTTCCCTTCCGTTTTCAACTATGCGGGGCGCGCAAGATCGCATCACTCTCGAGATGACAGAGCTCTATGAGATTCTCGAGGTAGAAGCAACCGCTTCAACCGCAGAAATCAGAAAGAGCTACCGGCGTCTTGCTCTCAGATACCATCCTGATAAAGTGACCGACGATAGCCAACGAGAGCATTGTGAGATAAAATTCAAAGAAATTACTCATGCCTATGAGATCCTCAGCGATGACCTGAAGCGACGTGAATATGACATGTATGGGACTACAGACGGAAACGGCCATGCTTACCCTGAGTATGAGTTCAATGGGAATCCATTTGAACAGTTCTACGGCGGTGGCGACTATGGGGCTGAAGACTTCTACTCTTTCTTTGGACCGCCGCCCTCTAATGGCGGTTATCATGAAACCCAAACTGCCCGTACAGATGATGCTGTTATTGATATAGATGTGACACTTGAACAATTATTTGTTGGAAAATCGATCAAATTCACACGATCTAGAAACATTATCTGTCCGCTGTGTCAGGGGCTGGGGACAAGAAAAAATGCTGTCGTCAAGGAATGTGTACATTGTGATGGGAAAGGGTCACAAATCAAAATGAAACGGGTAGGACCAGGCATGGTGGCCCAACAAGTCGTTAAATGCAAAAAGTGCGATGGTGAAGGGAAGTTGGTACGTCCGAAGGACAAGTGCAAGCGTTGTGAAGGCGCCAAGGTGGTCGAAGAGACCAAAATTATGGAGTTTGAGATTGCTGCTGGATCGAAGGATGGTGAAAAGATCATTTTTGATCAACAGCTGGATGAATACCCAGGAAAGAAGACCGGCGACATTGTGGTGGTTCTTCATTGTCAACAGCATCACTCTTTCCGTCGTATGGGTGATGACTTATATTGTCAATATAAGGTGCCGCTCGTCGATGCGTTGTGCGGATTTAGTCGCAACATCGTCAAACAGTTGGATGGCCGCATCATTAAAATCACGACTCCGAAGGGTAAGGTTGTACGTCCAGGTGAGTTTATCAAGATTAAAGGCGAGGGTATGCCTCACAAAAAGAAACACTGGTTGTTCAATCTGAGTGCAAGAGGCGATCTTTATATTGAGATTGAGGTTGAGTTCCCCGCTGACAACTGGTATCTCGAACGGGGGGACGTTGATAGAATGCGCAATTTGTTACCCCAACAATTGGCTTCAAAATCTGACCAGCTTCGCCAGAGTGCTACTGAAGATCTGGCCATCGATGGCAATATTGACGACTACACGGACTTCGCAATTTGCAGCCGCGATGCGTTGCCAACTTACCTGGAAGAAGAACAAGATGAATCCAAGACCAAGCTGACACCGCAAGGACGGCCAGAATGCGCTACTCAATGATAATGTGTATATAGTTAGAGGAGCATGCATTATTCCAATAAATCGTTAAGTTCATTATGAGTAAGACCCACTTGTGGGCAAGGCAGTTCAGGTTCATCAAAGGTCAAATCGGACTGGATAGCTCCCAATCTGTTAATATCATGAGGCGTGAGCGGCTCGAGTCCTTCAGGGATGTACTGTGGAGGCGTCTCGGTGGGAATGAATTCAACTGGCTGGTCCATATCACGAGACTCCATCATTACATTCCTTTTGATAGGGTCACCATGGTTCTCTTTTGATGTTTGAATGTTCAGCAGATGCAACTGTTTAGTACGTTCGGTATGTTCAAGAGGCCCAACTGGCGACTTTGGTGGGAATAATCTTTTCACTAGGTCGTCAGATACTGAGTTTTCAGGAACTAGCTCGCGTCCGCGGTAAGCTTTGACTGCACCGATGTAATCGTGCTTAAGTTTGCGAAGCTTGAGCAGCCTCTTCGTTACCAGTTTGCGAACACTGATATCTGGTTTGTGGATAAATCCCAACGTGGAGTTTGCCTTGGTAAGGATAGGTGGTGCTCTCACGGTAGTGCCTTCCAAGTTATTCAAAGGCAAACGTGACAGTAATGATTTGGATTCTGGAGCCCCTTCCGTGAGCGTCAGTTTAGCCCTCAACAACAGCAGACGTATCTGATTGGGATCTTTGGCGTTCAAAGCCAAACGTTTGCTCTTAGTACTCCCATTCGTTGGTCTGGCTGGCGCTCCAGCATTCTCTTGGTTCATCGTCACTTAGGTTTTAAGTGTGTGTTTTGAAACTACCTATAGAGGCGACTGCAGATGTGGTTTGTGCGAATAACTTGTGTACTGCATAAATTCTTAACGTTTTGAGCCCTGTTGATTTACCAGACGTGTAGCATGGCGTTTGCAGGGTACACACTTTTCAAGACGTGTTCGGGCTGGTTGGCGTCCCTTTTCGGCCAACAGTTGAAGACTGAGAGTACAATTGAGAGCGAATTTAGGCGGGTACTTACATGATGGCTAAACGTTTCCCTCCCTACAGATTGTCAAGCCTTGCAAGCAATTTGAAAACCCAACGCTGACATGGTAGATTACTTTGGCGTCATAACGCTGAACTTGCGTAGCATTATTCTATTGTGAATGCTCAAAGTTCTAAGTAGAGCTCAAAATTTTGCATATTCGAAATCGAAATCTGTCAAATTCAATTAAAGTTCCACAATTTCTAGTAGTTTGACAATATTTTCGAAGATTAGCAATGACATTAAAAATCATCAATCACACCAATGCACTAAAATGTAAAAAACCAAGCCAAAAATTATAACAATGTGTGCTTTCATATTCTCTGGAAGGTCTAGTTATATTTTGACAAAAAGATTGCGCAAACCCGGAATCGAACCGGGGGCCCAACGATGGCAACGTTGGATTTTACCACTAAACCATTTGCGCTTGACTTGATAAAGCTGTTTGAAAATCATAGATTCGGGGATTGAATTTCTAGTCCAAAAGGATTTAAGGATTACCTCACTCGAACTGACGCACTTGCCCACGACTATGCTTTTTAATGTTTGGAGTGCCCCAACAGAGAAATTTGGAGTTTGATTCCTTGTGGAAGTGGTTGAAAGTACACTGTTTTTGTCGAGATACTTTCTACCAAATTTCTCCTACACCTCTGGGTGCAGAGAACGACATCTGTTTGTATCTAATACCGCGGTTATTAACTGATGTTTTAGGAAATGGAACATTCGACTTGACTTGAAGGCGTCTATACGATTATTACAGTTGAATGTCTCAATGCACCAATTACGTGTGGCACTTGAAACTATGACTTTAAAACGAATCTCATTCGCTTGAGAGTTTCGGTTTCAACGTCAAAATTTCGTGATTATCGAACCACGAGTATCTTCAAAGAATACATCAACATCAACAAAACTGCGTACAAGAACTCTTGACGTGGATTTTCAAAATGTGGCCCGTATCTAATACAATACAATTTTGTTGAGAAAGGTTAGCGATGATCTATCATGCAAATATATTATCTGTTTCAACGTCTGTTTCCATCTCAATTTTTAGTGATAAATCCCTGTTGCGTTACTAACGCGCTGCTTCTCACTCAGCCGCAAACCTCGCCTACCTCATGGCGCAATCCCTAGAACTGGCAATTACGGTACACGAAGACCGAGAGCTGATATGGATTTATCTCAGTGATTGGATTCTTGCGTGTATCCTTGGGTGGTTCCTATTATTTTACTTCGATCGATATGTGGGGTTGTTCATCCTGTGGCTTTGTAAGTTGGTGCTCTGGAGGTACTACAAAACCCGGGTCAACGTTGAACTGTTCAAGATATCCTTCTTAGCTGGGCGTATGTTTGCTAAGAACGTAACCATCATTAATGGAGACAGACTGATATCCCTATTGAATATCAACATCACGTGGCGGTATTGGCTTTTCCGACGAACACGAGTCCTGTCATACATAATGGGATCAACGATCGATGGCGAATCTCCTGATGCTAAAGCAGCTCAGGAGAATGAATCGTTACCTACTAGATTCATGATCATGGTCGACGGCCTTGAAGTTTTCTGGTATAATTGCAAATATGCCTATGATGATATTGCTGAAAAGCTTCAAAGAGGAGTGAACGGTGATGCAAATACGAATCTGGCCCAGTCATCTCTGGTCGATAGCGAGAAGCGAAGCTCCAGCGATACCGAGGTTCGGCTGCGACGGCAACTCTCGAAGGAGAAAATTGAGTTTGATCTGTCTGCAATCAAGTACAATCAAACTACTCTCAGAGTTCTCTTAAAGATATTTCCTGTTGGTCTAATCATCAAACGAGGTGCCATCGTTATTGGTAACCCCACTGTTCCTACTTTGATGTGCGTTACGTATAAGCAAGCTGCGGGCATATTAGACATTGCTCAAGCACGAAGTCGACTCGATCCCTATCGAATGCTAAACAATTTTAACTTTGACAAATTGCAATTAACATTCAAAGCCAATATTGGCTTCGACAAGGACAGGTTCGGCGGAAGTGATGGCGATCGCCCCACAAAACCGCCAGCAAACATTTACCTAAGCCAATTTCAGCGAGCGCTTAACAAATTTGACTTGTTGTTACTGAAGTTGGATAAGAGTCGAAAGAAAAAAGCTGCACCTCTGATTGAGTTTCCACAAACACACCAATGGCGAGGTCTTCATCGATACTTGGATGGCCTGGATGACGTCTTCGTGATTGATGATGAAGAGTACGCTAAAGTTCTGACAGTGTTAGACACGACTAGTGCTCGGCTTAGTTACTATTACGATTTTTGTGGACATCAGACGGGGAATAGGGACTGGGATGATCCATTGCCTGAGCATGCTGTTGAAATAGAGGTTCTGGGAGCCATTATACAATACGGGGCTTGGGCAGATAAGCAAAGGATTCCGCTCCAAAGAATGTTTTTTCCAGTTTTGGCGCGGGATCTGCCTCCTGTACCAGTCAAGTGGAGCGCTGGCGCTCGCAGACAATTCCCTGGATTTACTGCTTCCCTACAAGTTAAAGATGAGTTAGTGTTGCGCATACCAACTAGAGAGCCGAATAAGGACAAAGAACGTCTTCATAAGGGACATGCGCTGCAGGCTGACCCCGATCAGAATATGCGTCCTTTTGGTTGGCTAGAATTAAAGATGGGTCCAACACTGAACTTCGGTTCTTACACGCTGTTTGTACTGCAAAATGGCAGCTTTCCGCATCGCCTAGATGGTTATTTTTGTGAGTTAGAGGTGAGGCTGAGTGTGAATCACGATATTTTGTTCATGGCAGACTCACACGAATTGAACGCACTGGTGGGGTTTCCTTTGGCTTGGAATGGAGCATGTGATTGGACATATTCAAATGTACTGATGGGCGCCGAGTTGTATTTGTTGCGTGAGCATGTGTTTTTGATGGCTGATATATTTCTGGATTTTGCTCTGGGTGATCCTACTCCATATGAGTTCTTACGTGAGTTCACCTACCGGTTTGATTGGAAAATGTTGAACTATCAGCTTTTCTTCAATGTTAATGATCACAATATCATCTCGAACCCGCTAGATCGTGAGAACAATACATACTTGGCGTTTCTGGGATCAGAGTTACTTGCAGAGATTACCACCCCTTTGGTGGGTCCATTGACAAAACTGACCACAATCCATTATAAGCTTTCAACCCCTTCTTTCAATCTTGAACTTCACACACCTCCATGGCATACGACTGCGGCATTCATGCGAGAGCTGATGACAGTAGGGCAGCTGGGCCAGTTTGACGTTGGTGGGCTGTACACGTTTTTTGATGTTATTGAGGTAAACGCTCTGAACTACATCGAGATCAGATGTCACAGTGACGACATTATGTTGAAGTTTTATGGTTTTGTCATCAAGTACCTCTTCCTTATTCGCGAAAATTATTTCGGCGACTTTGTGCATTTCAAAACCTTTGAGGAATATCTTCTGGAATCACCTGATGAACCCAAACCAACTGACGATGACGACGACATAGCAAATATTGATTATTGGAAGATTCTCAAAACTGACAATGACGTGGATGTGTTTTTCACTTTCCAGGTTCGGCGAGGGATCATCATCTTACCTGCCCACGTTTATAACCTGAGTCACCATGTTAGTCTCATGTTTGATACCCTCGATGTTGACATACGCTTTACGAATTATTACATGGACCTTGAAGCTGATTTTTCTCCGGTTTTCTGTCGTCTAGCTAATATGCCTTTCGAACTGTTTGAGAGGTACTTCAAAACAATGCTGAATCGTGCATCACAAGGTGTAATAGATGGTCTTGGCATCCACGCGCACCGTATGTTTGGAATACCTCCTGCTGAAATAACCTACAACGCTAAATGGGACTTTGAGGCAGGTCAGATCACGATAGACTCCGACCCGAATTTCATGAAACAATTGATCCATGCCATTAAGTGTACTGCCTTCGGCTTTTCTGATATGGAGAATTCACTCAATATTCCAGAGCCTCCCGTTTATGACGCCTTCAGTATCACATTTCAGTGCCCCGTGTTGAAGGTAGGCTTGAAAGTGTCTCAAGGTGGAAGACTTGTAACTACCGTGAAGCGTCTTTTAGTACTGTACAACGACTACCCCAATAATCGTTATCTGGGTAGAGTCACTGTGCTCGCACCAGTTATAGACCTTGAGGTCTACAACCCGGCAAATTTCGTGGTTGGTGCTATTACGACCCTGTTAACGCTCAACAACTTTGTTATCAAACATAATGGTGCTAAGAGATGGCAGTTGCAGCAGCGTCATATTCAGAAGAACGACGCCCCTTTCCATCGCGATCCCTTTTTACTTGCACCTCAATATCGTGATAAACAGTATCAGATTGCCCAAGGTTGTTTTGCGACTCTGTTGACATTACCTGATGCCCATGCACCACTTCGTTGTGGCCAAAATGATCTGAATCTGCTGCATGGATCTCTAGTGAATCTGGAAACCACCCTGTTACTGTCTTCAGAAGATCCGACGATTTGGCCGACTGCCAACTATGATGAAGAAGAATTCACACCAGAGGAACCAACGGAGGCGGAGTTTGAATATGACAACATCGTGGTAGAGGTTGGTAATGTTGACGGCTTTTTTGGATTGGTAGCTGCTAACATTGTCGTCGATGTTGCTGACAGTTGGTCGGCTATGCGGTTAGAGTCAATCATGGACGAACTTCAGATTAAAGTGGTCCTGCTGCTCAAACGTCTTATGAATGAACTCAAAGCCATAATCAATGCTCGAGTTGTAGCATCAAAGGTCAACTTACTCTATGGAGATTTTGCAGTCAAGGATACGACAAAGGTTAATCGTGACCTAGCGATTGCCCAAATTTCAATCGATGAATTACTGGTGGCAGTTCTGCTGCGGCAAGAAAAAGAGGCTGGCCAGCATTTGGTTGAGCGGGTTGAGCATATGTCAGCAGCAGGACACGTCAAGCGTGTGAGTATCAATGTGTTTGAGAAGAGCCAGAAATTTTTCGATTGTCTTGTTGAGGATATCGAAATGTGGATGACCCAACTGACAGGGTCGGAACCAGTCATTCTGGCTCATGTTGAGAACGTTGCAATGATGCTCGAAGATAGCCACTGGCTATACCTTATCAATTTGCTTGAAGATACTAAAGCCAGAGTAAAGCCGCTTCAATCAAGATTAAATGTTTTGAGTGAAAAGAATCACGATATGCTTGCGAAGTTCGTGTACTTGCTCACAAAGGTACTGACAGACTATGAGATTGATCACGATCCCGGTGTGCTTACTAAACCCGCTTATGTACTTCGGCTGCGGCCGGAGCATGTTCGTTTCTTCGATGGGTGGAAGTTGACTGCGCGCATCCGACACCTCCTAGACCTGTTACCTGTTGAATGGCGATACCAACCTGACATGTTTAGTGAACCATTGCCTGCCAATGCCTACGAATTTGTTACGAATGTTTTCTCGCGGTGGCGCAGTTGGGAAGCTGATGATGATCAACGAAAATTTTTCTTTGATTTCGTTTTCAATAGAGAGATTAAACAACCAGAGCTGGGATTATTCTTTGAAGTGAAGTTGTCCGGTATGTCAGCACAACTTCAGCGTGCTCTTGAATTTGATTTTGTTGCGATTGAAAACCTCACCACAGTAATGAAGCAACAAGAAGTTTATCAGGCACCGTTGAATAAGTTTGGAGTTGACCTTTTGGACGAAGCTACGACCTTTGATGTCGTTCTTAACATTGGTAGTGTTAAAGGTAAAATGTCTCTGATTGTATTGAATTTGTTACAGCTGCAGTTGAAATCTAATCGGAGTACAGAAAGAGACCAGAAACAAGAACCCGAAGTTGACCATGCTAAAATTTTGTCGCCTCTGTCATCTAAAAGTCAGAACATTTTTGTCCTGGCAGTAGTGGGGATTGATTACAGCTTGAACATTAACCTACCATTAACGTCTATCGATATATCTGGTGATGTCAATTCAGACATAGAGGTTCTCCGACTTGAGACTATACCATTGCTTGCTCTGGTGGCAATGCAGGGAAATCTAGATGTTGGGATATTTGCCGACGATCACCAATTTGCTCATTTACGATTTGCCGAAAGCGAAGTTGTTGGAGGCCTTTGCGGTGATGATGTAAAGGTTGTCGAAATCTTAGTTGAAAAAATCAAGCTTCAAGGGGGTCTTGAGGTGCAACAAGTGAAGATGGTTCTTGATGACGTCTCATATTTGAGAAGTATTTTCGAAAGTGGGCAAGATCCCGATGATGTTGGTAAGCAATCGGAGGTTTCATCGGAGCAATCTCAAAGAGAAACTCAAAGCATTCTGGAGATTCACATTTTGAAAAGCTTGGGAGATATCTCATTGTCTATTTCCGTAAGTCAATTCGTTGCTGAGCCCCAGCTTGACCCACTATTTGGTACAATCATTGTACGCGGCATTGAAGCTGATGTGCTGATTCTTCCAGAATTGTTGTCGGTGAAGGCTCTGATGATTGACATGCGCACTCAGATCAAGTTGCGAAATGTGCAAGTCCTTTTCGTTGAGGTTCTGGGAAGCAATTTTGTGTCTGAAATTATTCCTCTTGGAAATGTTTTGACAGATATAATGGCCAATGCAAGGTTGCAAACCCGCGAATGCAGGGTTGAGATTCCCCAGTTGGTGAATGCCTTGAAGGCTTTTATCGTTAACCTGCCGATTTTGGAGAGTAAGGCGAGTGAGTTGAAAGAATTATTCCCGACTGCTGAAAAGTCTACTGGAAAGGAGATTTCGGAGCCAAAGCAATCGAAGAAAATCCAGCTTCCATTGTTCAAGATATCCGTTATCTGTACTTTAGTTTCCATCCTGACTATGGTAAATGATCTGAAAGTTCTGTTTGAGCTTCACGATAACAAGATTGCTGCTCTCAATGTTGAGCATATGGAACATGGCATAGGCGAGGTACCCATATTTGGAGAAGCCGTTGTAAACAGTACTCGCCTTGTGCTTGATAATCGCGCAGTGAATGTAAATCAACTGAATGTGCTTGATGTGAACCTTAACATGCGTGTATTCAACCATCTTGACGACAACTCCCAGGCTATTCAGCTTAAGCTGCAGTGGTGTCGAGTTTGCCTTACTCTGACTCTGCTCACCAAATTGTTGACTTGTGCTGATGTGGCTATGGCAGTTTGGAGTACGAAACCTCCCAGGCAAGCACCCACGATTTCTGCAAACACTGAACATGCTTCAAGTGGACACCTGATATTTGCACACTTTTCGCTGATACAGATTCTTGCTTACAATTTCTGCCTTGGGTGGCTTTTCACCAATTCGCGGAAGGACTATCCAGGGGTAAATATGGGTGCCGAGCGGTTTTTTGCTATTTTGGATCGGGAAATGGGCAAATTCACACTTTTGCATGCCTACATCCTGGTAGCCAACGGTAATCGTGCTTCAAACTTTTTCCTGACTGGCCTGGAAGTGCTGAGTCTCAATAGAGCATTTTTACCGCGCATGCAAGTGATCTATCTGATAGAAGAAGACGCAGATGGCAAAGACATGCGAGTCATGGTGATGGGTGACGCTGTTGATATAAAGTACTTGCTGAATCTGATCGTGATTTTGGAACAAGCACTTGAACTGCTGAGTGAAGTTGAAAACTATTTATCGCTGCGTAAAAAGAGAACAGCACATGCAGCACATCCAGAACCAATACCAGGACCGGCGCATAGTCATAAGCCCATGTTCAAGCAAGTTGAGGTCACCGCCAATTTTGAGGGCTCCAAAATCTTGCTTTATAGAATTGAAGATTGCGAGCCTGAACTGCCAGGACTGCTCTATCTCAGTTCTCCTTCGGTACGGGTGGCGATGTTGTACAAACATCTCGAGAATGCTTCTAAATCTCATGAGCTCAAACTTGATGTGTTTACGAGTTCTAGCAGCAACATTCTTCATTCTCAATGTGTTCCAATTCTTTCGGACATTGTCCTGGGTATTCGTCGCATGATGCGTAAACAGAATCCATCACTCATGCCACAACTGCCACGGCCCGATCTGCCGCCCATTACACCGCATGTGACTCCTAGGCAACCAGCGCTGGAAACTTTTGACCTGTTCTCGCCCCCACCATCGGGTGCCACGCATTTACGTCGCGTGGTGCTGCAAAAATCTGAGGCTCCTTCTCCAGCCCCTCCTCAAAAACAAGACGGAATTATGAATTTCCTCTCACAGCTTGATCTTCATGTTGGATTGCGTATTCAACTGCAACGACTTACACTTTCTTGTGAACCTACAGTTAAAGTTGCAGCTGAAGTGGGAATGGAGGGTATTCATTTCCAAGTGAATCTGGGTATCAAAGATGGAATTTCAATGTTAGTGCTGCTGTTACTCGTCGAGGACGTCAGTGCACTGCTTCAACACGTGTATCTGCGAGAGATTCTGGCTAGGGTTGGTGTGAGAGCTTTTACTTGGCTGCTGGTGCTCGAGCTTGGTGAGACGGCTCTGATTCTTCTGCTGGGAAATTTAACTGATGTGGATGGCTACGTCAATGTCAAACAAATTCTGGACGTAGAGTTGTTCAAAGATATCTGGTTCCCTCGTGATTGGGATACGTCTGATGATGATAATGTTCTGGTAGCAGTTACCCCCAAGATGAGTCATCGCTTTGAAGAAGTTCTGACAACTAACGCTTTTCCATGGGTTCTCACGCTCGTGCTTACCAATTTGAAAGTCCTGGTTGATTTCGGTTCCAAATTAGGAGATTTCTCCCTTGTTGTCAATCAGGGTTGGGTTGTTCTGCGTAAGCTGGTTGATTGGACGCAAGATTTGAAGGCTGGAGTTGATGAGATTAGCCTAACGCTGGTTGGTCGACTTGGATGTGTTTTTCGAGTGGAAGAGCTTAGCATTCATACATCGATATCTTGGAAGTTAGAGGACGAAATTGTTGAAGTACCTTTGGTTCTGGCCTCTGCTGGTGTTAGGCATGTTGGAGCTAAATTATCATTCGATGATCATATTTTTGCAATGGCAGTCTTCGAGGATTTGCTCATTGATGTGTTTAATCAAAAGCTGGAAGTCACCATTTCAAAAGATCATTTGCTGGTGCAAATAGTGTGCCATTCCGCTGAAATTTTTGTGACTACCTTAACTGCAGCAAGCTTTATGGACATCCACAACACAGTGGACAGAATGATGCAAGAAAAGCGTACCAACTACAAGGAGACACTTAGAGATGGCGTCAAACTGGGTAATGGGACTAAGAAAAGTAGTGTACCTCAACTGGCTATATTGCAAACCGTCAAAAAGCTAGAGCTGTTTATACAAATTGTTGTGGGCCATCTTGTGATATATGTGTTCCCGTCGTCCTTCGAAGATTCTAAAGTGTTGATGGTCAAACTTGACAAGCTGAGGGCTCAATTTAGCCAGAATGAATACCAAGCCGGTACTACTGATGAGTTGGAGCTCAAATTCAATGATTTGAGAATTTCACTTTCGAAGATTCCACCCAGTTCGAATGAATTCGTTCAAGTTTGTACAGTGTTGGAATTCAGCGAGGTAGCTCATAAGGCTTCGGGTGGGGGAATTTTTGCTTTCCCGAGTTTCAGGGTGTCTATGCGCCTGTTCCAAAAATATGACGATAATGTTGTGGAATATCTTTATCAATCTCTGTTTGGCGGTACTGTCGACATCAAGTGGAATTTGGGTCTGGTGAACTTCATTCGTGAGATGTATATGATCCACAAGCGGGCGCTTGATCTGCGGCGTGGCCTTGTTGATGGAGCTGGTTTATCTACCAGGCCATTCCCTGAATCGCCCCTGCTGGTCAATAAAGAGATTGAAAATGCGATTGATTCGAGCATAACGAAGGTTGAACGCTCGCTGCAATTCATATACAAACCTTTGGCTCCTCCTATCATAGAGGCTCCTCAGTTGAAGGAGCTTGGGAACGCTACTCCCCCACTTGAATGGTTTGGCTTGCATCGAAACAATTTTCCCGATGTTACGCATCAAGTTGTAATTGTTGGTCTTCAGCGTGTTACGCACGAGGTGGAGTCGCAATACACAAAGTTATTAGGCAAGGCCTAATGCCTGTTCACTTCATTATAATAATGTATCTAGAGTACTGCAAGTATTTAAATTGTACAACCATGACACCGAGCAATGCAGAATTGTAACTTAAACTTTGTGACAATCTCAACCGAATGATGTGTAAGCACGTAAAATCTTCAACTCGATCGATTAGCTAACAAGTTGTATGCATTTCGATGAGTGAACTATAGGCAAACTTCTGCGGGGACTAATTTTGTTGATGTCGTTATAGGCTAACGATTAATTGCTTTTTGTTCAGCCGCACCTTCAGCCGCATGTACTCCTCGGGCAAGCAAACCAACCGGTTTATTGTAGGGGAATTGTAATTACACTTGAGAACCATAAGCACAGTCTATATATGTGTCCCAAACATGGATAGATTTGATGGGATTGTCATGATTGACAAACTCTATTCAGGGCAACTACAACCTGGTCGGTTTGTATAATGTGCACGTTTGCATGTAATTTGTGACGCATTAGGCTATTATAATCATTCACACATTGAACCATCCACAACGCACAAACATTCGAGATTTGTCATGCTTGTTGACACCCTCGGAAAGCTTTTGCCCCCCAAAAAGAGAGAAGAGTTTCTCAAGAAGCATCGGGATCGGAAAGACAAGCAGCGGAGAAAGGAAGAGGTTGCTAACGAATACGAGCGGTTGAAAACCGAAAGAAGTTCCACGGTAGTTCCCATGAAGAAAAACACAGTTTTACGATCAATTCCGGGCGCGGGCGCCATGCGAAGAACATCAACATCTGGGTCCGGATGGTCATTATGGAGCAATTCCACAAAAGAGCTGAAGTCGAACATTTCGAAATCAGGTGAATTGAATTAGGCAGTGAAAGTATACTTTTGATATAACCAGAACTGTTTATAGCTCAACAGGGAAGGTTGATTGAGTTAGGTCAAATTTAATTACGTGAGTGAAGTTAAATTGATGTCTTAAGAAGTCATGCTAATCTGGATGCCGAAAGCACTGGCATTTCAGAAATGTGTTGATTTGGTGAAAATCTTCAAGCAATATTTGTATTTCCGTATACTTGTGGTGGCTAGCCATCCCAACCAACCTTTACCCCACAGATTTATGATATATGTACAAGCTTCTTAATGCGAAAGATACCATCTTCCTTTGGCACGTCTTCTGGCGAGAATCTTTCTTCCATTTCTGTCTCGAAGACGAGCAAGGAAACCGAAAGTCCGTTTCCGCTTGAGAGTTGATGGTTGGTAGGTATTACCCCTCAGCTTGAATCGGAGGAACGACAATATTTGGGGTTGCGGGGCAACAAAAGGAGCGGCAGGACTGAACATAGGGGAGGCCACTCGAACGCCAAACTTGGCGACAGTGCCGGTCAAGCCATTCGTCAAACCAAACATCCTCGCACGCAAAAGCTTGAACAATGTGGGTTCAAATTTTCAACGGAAGAATACTGCACATAAAACGATACCATCGGATACTATGAAATAAGACGCATCTCATCAGTTGCAACCATTAATCATGCTGAATCTACCTAGACGTGTGATTCCAAATGCCACGAACACCCCCACATGCGTGCACGTGGGAAAGCTGCGTTCTTTGAGCAAAGAAGAGGCCGAGCAGTCTATCACCCGCTTTATCTCGGTATCCGAGGCGATCATCGCTGGGGATAACAGTGACGAAAGCCTGGGGTTTTCTACTCTGAGTGGTAATTCAGCTGCTTTATCACAATTGAGACGCATACAGCGTGATCTCAGAGGTCTCCCACCCTTAACCGATGAACCCCCCTTCGGTTCAAGGCCCAAGAGATCAGCTCCCGAAGGCGATGTTGAGGTTACCCAAAACAAGAAGATCAAATTCGATGATGATGACGAACCCCAAATTCAGAACAATGACAATGGCACCGAAGTCGATCTGGTAGACACACAAACTGCCGCAAGCGAAGCGGGCGAAGATAACGAAAATGTTGATCAAGCAGACGAGGAGGAGGTTAAAGAAGAACAGATCGAAGATGAAGATCCTGAGGAAGAGAAAGCCAGCAATGAAGTCGAAGGGACCACAAATGAAAAGAAGGAGAAGAAGGAAAAGAAAAAGGACAAGGAAAAGAAGGAAAAGAAGGAGAAGAAGGAAAAGAAGGAAAAAAAGGAAAAGAAAGACAAGAAAGATAAAAAGGACAAGAAGGAAAACTAAAGCAAGTATTTGTACAATAGCATTAATAGACAACGATTATTTCACACCTCAAAATTTACTGAAAGATATTGGATTGAATGTTGATCTCACCACCAAGAAACGCCTTTTGTGCCCCCTGCCACTTCTTTCTGGGTGATAACTTTACCATTTCACTCACATGGCCCGGCTCAATGCATAACATATTCTTGTAACCCTCCTTGGGTTCGAAATCACCCATGCCCTGCAGCTTCTTGATCCAAGGATTCCACACGACAGCGTCGGGCAAGTTTTTGCGCTCCACGTTGTGGAGAACTTTACCGAATTGAACCATCTGGATCAACAAGTCGGTGGGTACATTCTTGTAAATGCGATCAAACTCCTCGTGGAAGGAAATCACAGGGGATTTCTCTTTGTATTCTTCCGCAATGAGTTGATCATAACACGACTGATCAACTAAGTTGGTGACTAAAGTGTCCGTGATGTCGGGAGTCCGGTAGTATGTGTGGAACAACCAGTTGAATTCAAAGTCATCCTTGCCGGTATTTTCTACTTCGATTTGGGACTCAAGGAAGTCTTCACCAAGCGTAATGGTGAGGATAAGCGAAAAGTCGTATTTACCTTCACCCCAGAGACTGAGAGTCGCGGGTTCGACGTTTTCCGGACCTAAACCAAATTGTACGGCGACGGGATTTTCGGTAGTTTGCCCAAGGAATTCCCAGGTGGATGTGCGAGCGAATCCGTGCTGAGGCAATTTGAAAGTGGGGTGGTCCGGGTTCTTCTGTTTGCCAAAAACGGGAAATACGAGGGGAATCCCACCACGGACGGCTTTCGATCCGTCCAACTTGGCAGCGGACGAGAGCCACAATTGCTCAGCGCCATTGGCCTCCCACAGAATCACAGTAGCTCCGTACTTGAGAATGGTCACTTTCACATCCTTTTTCGTAGGATGAGAAACGACGACTCGGTCATTTTGGTCCTCAACAGGCATGGTTTGCGGTTAATGCGCGAAATCAACAGCAAATATATATGGATAGGGGCCACGTTCTATTAGTAATGAATGAAGAGAATCATTTGTAATTGACTACTGGTAGGGTTTAATCTGTATCCTAGGCAACACCTATGTATAGCTGCAATATTATTATTTGACAACTGCCGGGTTCGGCATTGTTACTTTAAAGAAAATGATCATACACCATTGCGGTAGTCGTACTTTTCGCTCCACAATTTCGCAAACTTGAAATGGCTTCCTGATATGCCACGGCGAGTTTATATCCGGGTGCAACCGCTGTTGCCTTCGCGCATCTTGATAGGACCAAACAAGACATTGTGCGTTATACCTAGAGAAGCTCTTCCGTACGCGATATTCCAACAGATTAAAAGAGATCGGGGATTTACGAGGATTTGTAGCGATCTCTGCCAATTATAGTATAGCGATGACTGTCAGAGGTGTACGCTACCGCTCACTTGGCGGTATTCGCCCGTAAAAGCCGTCTAGTACGGTATAATTTTTCTCATGCCTGGCTTATCGTACTCAGCGTCTAACAAAGCGTGTCTCATCGTTTCGCGGTTTCGTGTTGTTTTTGCGCGCGCCTGTACACCACCCTTGTTGTCCAAGACTCCAGACCCCCATCCAGGGCGATGTCCAATAATACTCAAATATACCTGGCGACATATTCCAATGTCCCGGTGTTCGAGTTTGTCACGCTGGAGGGCCCAATAATGCGCCGAAAGCTGGACCTGTGGATCAATGCCACCCACATCCTCAAGATTGCTAAGTTTCCTAAGGCAAAGAGAACTCGGATTTTGGAGAAAGACGTTCAAACGGGCATCCATGAGAAGGTACAAGGTGGTTATGGTAAATACCAGGGCACTTATGTCCCATTAGATCTTGGCAGGGAAATTGCCGAGCAGTTTGGTGTCCTCGAAGTGCTTAAACCTATATTTGATTTCGAATACGTTGAAGGTAAACTGGAAACACCCCCGCCGGCACCAAAACACAATCATGCTAGTGCCCTCAACATTAACAAGAAGCGACCGGCAAAGAAAGTCGTTGAGGAACCAAAGAAACGTGGAAGGCCCATGAAAACAAATGGCCCACTGCTAATGGGAGCTCCCAATATCAATAATCCCATACCAGCGCTTCATCGTCATGATACTCAACCAATATCTCAGCCAATGCTACGCGGCCGACTGGGACCACTGCTAGGATCATTCGATCTGCAACGGTTCGACATGCAACGCTTGTCTCTGTTCCCCGCTCTTTTATCGCGACATGATACCGACGCCGACTCAATAAGTTTGGCTTCACGTCAATTGACACAGGAAGATCTTGAGGAAGTGCGAGACGATGAGGACGATGATTTGAATGGAAACAATATACCTAATAGCCAGACCATCCAGCCAATAAGTGCGTCACCGCGTGATTCTTTCGTGAAAGCAGTTCATGCACTGCTGATGGGTGGAATTCCATTTACCCCGCCTGTAACAAGTGGTGGACTGGTACACCTGCTGACGACATCTCCATTGCCAGATGCTAAATGTGAACCAGCTGTTCCAGTGAGTACCTTCACCGCGTTCCATGAGAATCTTGTCAACTTTTTTGCCAATGATAGTAAAATGGAAGTGGACGGTCAAGGTGAGCTAATTGTTCCTGCTTCAATTGCTAATCCGCCTGAACCTCGCGAACAAATTCCGATTAATGCCCCCGTTGATACCGATGGTAACACTATATTTCACTGGGTTTGCCTGATGGGTCTGATTGCAGAGCTTAATTTCTTGATGCGGACATTTCCTCATTTGAACATCAATGTCAAAAATAAGGATGGCGAGACTGCCTTGATGTTTTTGGTCAAATATAACAATGCTTACCAATTGAAGACGTTCCCTGAATTACTTACGATTTTGGATTCTACATCGCTGGCTACCGATAACCAAAATCGTAACATACTTCATCATATCATCAGTTTTGGGTGTCAAGAACTGAGACTGACCCAACGAGAACGAGTTGCACGTTACTATTTGGAGGAGGTGTTGGACAAATTCAGCGAAAGAGCTGATTTCTCACAGCTATTAAATCACCAGGATAGTGATGGTAACACACCACTTCACATCGCAGCGTGTTCTCTCAAGAAAAAACTCATCAAAAGCTTTTTGCTGTATCATCAACGTATTGACTTTCGGCTCAAGAATGCTATGGACTATAGTGTTGAAAACTACTTGGCAGCCCACAATCATGTCCTTCGTCTCGATAGTGCCATCTTGGAAAATGATGAAATTGCGCTGGCAATGGACGCGAAGCTGTTTGAATCGCAACTTTACTATAGTAAGATGGCCATGGACCTTCAAAATCTGACAGCCAATGCTATCACGGAGAATCTTACAGAGTTGGCCTATGCCATTGACAAAGAGTTGCTGCAGAAAGATGAAGTCATCTACCAGGTTATAAGAGACTTGCAACAGCGACGACAAGTGATGCTTGATTCACAAATTGACGTTTTTCGCCTAGTACAAGTTGATGAGCTTATTGAAGCGGCGGATAGAATCAAGTCCAATGGCTCCACATCGGATGGGATCGTCGAGTTCAAAAGCGAGCAGGTGTTGCAGGAGGAGGTCATTAGACTACAAAACGATTTGTGCTTCCAATACCTTCATGCGCAAGAAGAGTTGGATGAACGACTCAAGGACTATCGCCACAATCTTGAACGATTCCACCGTAGTCTTTTGAATGAAACGAATGATTCAGAAGACGGCGGGTCCGACAGTGATAAACTCGAGCTAGCCAAGACACTCACTGAAAGCATTATAAAGCGTCAGCAACTCACCAACCAATTGATTGACAAACAAATCGAGGTTTCATTTCGATGTGGTGATGCTGACAAGGAAAATGATGACGATCGTCTACAAAAATACTTCAGATTGATTCTGATTGCTTGTGACATGCTGGTGAGTGAGGTCGAGCAACTGATCCATCTCATTGAGCAAAGTCTTGCCAATGGTTCTGGCGAAACTGTGTAGTATATACAATATAATGACTCGACGACATAATCTTCGCGTAGAAACACTATCGCGCGGCAGGACCGCGACTGCAGCAATTGTTGATTAAAGATGGCCTACCCACAATTCGTCGACGGGAAACCCCCTACGATCTCGCTTAAGGACTATGATGATGCCGATTGGGCTGATACCACGTGCCTTGACCACCGTGATGGTGTATACGTCGTGTGTGTGATGGAGGACCCCGCAAAAGTTGTTGCCTTCATCGCCCGCGATGATTGGAAGGTTTTGGACACTATTTTCCAGAGTGCCCACGGGAAATTAGCTCTGGGTGACGTGACTAAGCAATAAGTCTAAGTCCGTTGCTGCGTATGTATTTTACTCTGCTGCCGTTGATGAAGTTAACGATGAGAAGTATACAACTAATATCCTAAATTTCACCATAGCGAGGCGACGTGAACAGAGATGATGGTGGTATTAAATCACTTATATAATATGTCATCGTGAATGTAATTTTATAAAAATGCTATGCGATCGTTCATCAGAAGAAATGAGTGTTGCAGCGACTCTCGATGTGAATTTCCATTTGACTCTTGAGAGCGTTGAGCTCCTCCTTGATCTGTTGAGCAAGTGCCGGAGTCAATTGATTACAGGTTGCGGTATCGGGATGGCGGTCGTACTCTTCGCCATTGTAGGTGTCATACAAGATAATTCGCGAGGAGAATCTTACCGCCGGCATTGGTTGAGGCGGTTCGGGAATAACCATACGCGCCAGCGTCATCAGCGCTTGAGACTGCTTTTTGTGAAGCTTGCGACTGAACATCAGCGTGAACAGTCTGGGTGAGTCCAGCTTCGATGCTACCAGAGGCGCCACGGGAGCCGCCGGGTGGACCACAGGTTTGTTATTGACAGGGGAAGATTTTACCCGCAGCTTGGGCGTGACAATAGCTGGCGCTCTAGGCGCAGCAATGACATCGTCATCCAGATCCAGACCAAATCCACCTCCAACAGAGTAGTCCAGCTCGTCGAGCAGCATGGTGAACAGCTGGTGGGAACCCAGACCCTGCATTGCAAAACCTGCAAATGCATTTGCCCGAGAGAACAGCAGACCCTGGCCACCCAGGCGGAACGACATCAGAATGGGCCGGTTGTTGAGGTGTCCATCGATCACTGGCAGCATTTTTACCGCAGTATGGAGAATGGGCGAGTACGCAGCGCTGGTTTCTGACAGCACCAGCGAGGATGGACTTAAAGGCGCCATTGAGGTCATCGGTGCAACAGGAGGGGAAGGGACAACACCCGAGGAAATTGGAGGCAGGACCTTGGGTTCAGGCAATGGGGTCTCGTCTTGCCTCAGCAGCGTCAGCGAAAGAACTGCAGTTCCTTTTTTATTGACAGCCCCACTCTCAGGACTGTGAGCACCGCTTTCCTCGGTGACGTCGCTGAGGTCAGTGGGTGACGAGGGGTCATCAAACAGGATGTGGGGTTGCTGGGCCTGCTGAAGCGCGGCTTGAAGGGGTGCTTGTATCAGCAACGCTGGTGGTACTGGTGGTGCCAGCGTATTTTGCGTTGCCTGTGCAAGCACGGCATCGAGATGGTCCGCCAGAATCGGTACCGGCAGTGCCCCTGCGACTTGAATGAGTGCCGGCAGCGACGTTGCCAGGGCACGAGCCGTGACAATGGGCAGTTGGTTGAACAGGACGTTGTCTATATCCATGAAGTCAGAAAACTCACTGAAATCGCCTTCATCACTGCCCCTAGCGTCCAGCATGGCCAGCGCGGGTGTCGGCATCAGGCCTTGACGCAGACGGATCAGACGCCGCAGCAGTGAGTGCTTCAAAATCAGCAGCAGTCGCTTTACGGGAAGGTTGTTCACCATTTGCAGCGGCAGCAGTACCCCAGGGATGTGGGTGATGTTTTCCAGGTCGCCTGAATAACCCACAAACAGCAGGCGTTTATTCAGACGGACCAGGCGCATCAGTCGCAGTCTTTCAAGCAGCACGATCAGCTCAACCTCCTGAGCGTTGAGCAGTTTGGGGAAGAGCGCCTCTCCCAAAAGAGCGTCCTTCTTCAGCTCCATCAGACCCCTCAGCACCCGCAGACTAGTTGAGGTCACGCGAGAGAACGGCGCCACAAATTGCGGGTTACCACCACCGCTTTGAGGAACATCAAGGAACGCAGTGTTTTCATCACTTGCGTTTGTATTTTTGCCCGAAAACCGGCCACTGGGACCTCCATTCGCAACATTAGCCGCTGGCCGATGACGACGAGTGGTGGGCGACCGAAGGGGTGGTGACGGCGAAGATCCAAATCCATGACCAGGAGAGTGGTCCAAAGATCGGTAGTCACCGCCAATGGATGATGATTCCGGTTCGGGGGTGCGACGAGCCAACGAGAGCTTCTGCGGGGGGTCGTCGCGGTATTCAAACAGGGCCAGCAGCACATCAAAGTCATCCAAAAGCAGGTCATCGGTGACGCTTCCGATTATAGGCAGGCCAGGGCTAAATATATGAGGTGGCGGCAGTGCCGGGGGAGCCAATGAGCGGAGACTATTATCGATGGGTGACTGAGGCCGCGATCTCGAGGGATCAAGTGTCATCGGCTGGTATTTCGGCTCAGGATTGTCAGTGTCCGCTTTAGCAACGGTAGGAGCAGCCACCACCGGCTCTTGCGTGTTGATCAGAGGACCTGGTGGTTGGGGTTTCAGTGCTGTAGGGGGGGTGAAAGAGTCCGAGTTAGATGAGTTTGGTATCTTGGAAGTATTGAGATTGAATGTACTGGCTTTGGGTACAGTGACCTTTTCCGGATACCCTTTCACCGGGGTTGACTTCGAGAATATCTCACTTTTGGGTCTCATCTTCAATGGGTTTAAGCGGGGCAATGAGCTTTTCGGCGATACCGTCTTTTTCTTCTGTGCCTCGTCCGCCCGAGGTTGCTGGGTCGATGGCGCCGGTCGTTTTAGCGGTCGTTTGGACTGTGAATTATCCGACATCCCCAGCACATCGGGGAGCAGGTGGGACTCGACGAGCAGCAGCTTGGACCGGCTCTTGAAAAGGGAACGGAAAAACCCTCGCTTTTTCGGCTGTTCCAGCATGATTCGTTTAGAAGAGTTTGCCGCCGTAGAATCTGGCGGCGTCGGCGCCGGCTGGGGCGACGGCAGGCTTCCAAACGACAGGAACCGCAAACGCTCTAGGGTCAGCGACCGCTTGCGGCCGCCCGGCTTTGTCGTCGACGCCGTGGTCCCGGTGGCTTGCGAAGACACCGTTTGATTAGTATGCTTTTTCAGGAGTTGGACCAGGGCAAACAGGAACGCCAGGTTCGAGCGGGTATGGCGCGGCTGCAGCGGTTTATCTGTCGACACCGAGGCGTTTGACGATTGGGATACGGGGAATTCTAGGGGGATTTCGCGAGGGGCGCTGAATTGGGTGGTTGGCACCGATGGCGCCGACCGGGTGTGGTTGGGCTTAGTCGGGGGCGGCGTCGTCTTTCTGGTGGCGGCCCGGCTTTCCGCCTCGCTTATCTTGAGGAACCGCTTATTAGAATTGGCGGAGGCTTGGTTGTGGTCGTATACCCGCTCGGGGTCGTATTGAGGAATCAGGGGCGCGTTCAGCGGTTGGCGCAACGGCCGAGGGCGGCGAGGATCCGAGGCCATACTGTTTGTAAGCGAGCGACGGGCACTGTGGACGCTGGCGCTGGACGGAGACCCCGGCGACCGCAGCCCGTCGCTGACACTGCCGCTGGCGCTGCCGGGGGCGGATTCGGTGTCGGGCTCCGCCACTGGCGGGAGCAGATGCACTGACGTCTTGCTCTTTTGCTGGAGAATGCGTTCAAGCTGTTGCATCAGCGGCAGCACCGTCATCTCCGACGTGGCGATGGCATCGTCGTGTTCGACGAGGGCCGTTTGCACCGTCTGCCGGCGCAAATTGTGCGCGTGGCGCCGGGATGTGTGGCCCTCCCCGGCCGGAGCCAGGTAGAATGCCAGATCCAAGACAACGTCGTCAGCGTCTGACATGGCCACTGACGAAGGTAGAGGATGATGGTGTCGTGGTGGTAAAGAAAGATCGGCCACAGCGCGTGTAGTGCATATAGGCACCAATCGTCCGGATAAGCGATCCTGCGCCGGGCTGGGGATCGTCAGGGTGCGAGAATGGGTCGAGCCCTAGCTGGTCGATAACAGTGACGGCGGTGGCTAGTAAGCGACCAGAGGTGTTCAGGGTTAAAGGGGCGAAGTGACTATTAATTGTGGAGGCTCGAGGAATCTACTCGGGGGTTACGTGGAGATAGGTGGAGGCCATCGTCGCCGGGTCCGTCCCGCCTCGCGTCAGTGAATATAAGGATTGACCACCCCTGTACTCCACCGTTAGAGGCATTTCTGTCTAGGGTGGCGCTATAAGGAAAATTTGCATTATTGGCGTGGGTGTGTAAGTTACTGTAAGTGGGTGTAGCCAGGCGCTACGAGTTTTCGTGGAGGCACACGGTGGGTTATAAGGGCATGCACGCTTTGTGGCGACCCTTCGGCGGTGGGTGCAAATTTTCCGGCTGCCTCGAGTTGCGTGCTTTTCCACTCGCCCCAGGCGCAAAAAAAAAAAAACCCGGGCAAAAGGTGGGGGGACGTTGTCGTAGAGACGAGTCATCGAGAGGGGGCGGAGTCTGCTTAAAGTGGTGCGGGCTAAAGGTCAGTTTTTTCAATTTTGAAGACCATAGAGGTTGGGGGAGTTCAAGCTGTAAATATGGTGGTAGTTGGGGAAATTTACCGAAGCCTTGTGAGGCTTAAAAGGCGTCGGCACCCGGCTCACATTTAGCCGATGAACACTTCCAGCGGAATGCGGGATGGCGGCCGTGGGTGATGGGTGACAACCACTAAGAACAACGCGGAAGCAAGGGCGATGATGAGAGCGGTGTGGCATTCCGGGGAAAGGCTACACGAGGATTTAACTTTAAGGTAGTTCGCAACACACTAGTCCTAGTTTGTCTGATCGTTTGTATAGTCAGCGGCGTTACATGTTTGTGCTTGCATTGAGGTTTGTTACATCTCTCCACAGTACCAGTGCTAATCAGGGCGTCGTCGTATTCCATACTCGATAAGCCGTAAAGCATAGACCGATCTCTGCTCGGGTCCAGAATCCCAGAGCCACTGCAGTAAACGGTTGCAGTCAACAATCGGCGTTCGTGTAACAGAAGGGGGGCGGTGTGGTCTGTCTAAAATATAATGGGGCAATCTTTTATTTGGGCGACATACACCACACGCGTCACAAATTTGCACCACTAGCACCCACTGGCACCCACTGGCGGTGCTCTTCTAGAACTCTTTTGGAACCTATGAGCTTTACGAAAAGGGAATGCCAGCCGCAACCCGTATATCAGAACAGTGCCCCGCGCTATCCCACTCTGGTAAGTTGTGGCGGCTAAAACCTGCTATAAATTGGTGCCGCGGGGGTCGCTGTCTTCTTGCTACACGTCATCGTACCGAGGCAGGCTCCCATGCGTCTCCGCACATCACAACGATAGCTTTTACCGTAGACGAAAGTACACAATTAAGAGGCACTAGCCACAAAAAAAATTTACTGGAGGTTTATGGTGCGATAATAACTGACGAGGGAGAGGTTAGATTGTCTGGGTACCAAGTAGGAAGGAGGTATACTTCCGTTGATAGATAAAGATTCGACGTCCACCCACTCGTCGGAACCGCCTTTCGGCACTAGTTTCCCCAATCATGCAAGATATTAGGAACTTTCTTTTTTTCTTTTGTAGTAGCATTGGCTAGCACCGTGGCGCGGCGGCAGGGGTCACTGCCCGTCATTTTATTCCCATTTTGTCATATCTTCAGGGGAATGTGGCATCAATAGTCGAGAAAGTGAGGCCATTTTCTTCGAGTAACGGACAACAGCAGTGCTTTTTTATCAGCCTGCGTTTTCAACAGAAAAACTTTGCTTAGGGTAACTGATTTACACGACGTGACAGGGTGCCCTTGACCATTTAAAGTTTTGGTCAACGGTCGCCGTGATAAGCTTTCTGCACTAGTTCTTTTCACGAACCTTGTAAATTGCGGGAGCAGCTTGAATCGAGTTAGTAAGGTACTATAGTGGGGGAAAACGAGTGGGGGGTCGAAAAGCCTAACCTGGGATCTACAAATTGGCCATAGTCATTGGATAAGTCTCTCTCATTAAAAGTCATATGTCGTCACGGTCATTACATGATGACGCAGTCGCGTCTCGTCTTGCGGATCTTGGTCTTCATCAGGCCAAGCAGCGATTCCTTCACCGGCTTCGCCGGCACGGGGGTTTCCGCCACCAGCGGCGCCGTCAGCTGGGTGAGCACCAGCCCCCGCTTCAGGTCGAGGTCCATCACCAGCTCCTCGGTGGAGAAGATCAGCTCCGCCGGCTGCTGCACTTGCGAGCTCTGTTCCACCAGCGGGGCGGCGTGCGGGGAGTCGTCAAGGCGAAGCTTGGGGTCCATGCCAAACTGGAGGATCAGGTTGGCAAGGTACATGTAGAGTTGGATCCACAACACCTCGAGCTCCTGGGTGAAGCGAATGCCAAACCGTTCGTGGAAAGTGTCAATTAAAGCCTCGCCTAACGTCTCGAACATCTCGGGCTCAATGCCCAAAATACGCAGGTGGCGCTTACCCAAATTGCACAAGTATTGGTCAATGGCATCGAGCCGTTCCAATTGAGAAAGGGCAAACAGAATCACCCCGGCGAACGACACCGCCTGGTGGTGGATCAGCGGGAACATCTTACCGTAGACGGGCTTCATCTGCAACAAGTTAGTGTACAATTGACGGCAGAACAACAGCAGCGCCACCGTCAGCAGCAGCGTCTGTCTCACCTGGGGCCGCAGCACTTCTTTCTCTTCTTCCATGGCAAACGCACCAGGCATCTGCGGGAACACCAGCTTGCGCTCGGTGATGGGCTCGTCCATCAACATCTTGTTCCACGAGTAGCGCAACAACTCGATCTCCTTCGCCAGCAATTGCAACTTGACGCGGTACTGGGTGTCGACCTGGTACCGCGCCAGGTCGACCGTCTTCGTCGTCAGCACCCGGCTCAACTGGTAGCCGGCGCCGAGCGGCGTCGGCGACTCCAGCGCTGGCAGCTCGGGCAACGGCTTTTGCAACATCAGCTTCGGCGGGCGGGCCACCTGCGACAATCTCAGCTTCGTCTTCACTTCGTGGTCGAGCGTCGGCATCGGCATCGGCATCGGGTGGCGCTAGATCAAGAATCAGCACCGCCAGGGATGAGGGGGGGAGTGGTTGCTGGGGCACCGATATACTTTTTATACGCTGGGGCCTCTGGCTAGGGGCAGGACAAATATCGATGAAAAATTATGTACTGCGACGCCCCGCCCCATCGTCTGCGACGTCCATATTGTCAATAATAAATATCGGGGCCGGGGCTCCTAGCGCAGGCATCGGGGCCGCCGCCGAGGATGCGAAATGGCTGGTGACGGCACCCCCAGGACCTTCCCGACGCTTGATTTAGCGCGCCACACACAGGTTTAGGTTTAAACGTCATCCCCGGTGCTAATTAGGCAACTGATTTCCGAACGGGGACACATACACGATTTCGTCGTCGTCGTACCATCTATAGCATCTATAGCATCTATAGCATTAGGCGGGTCGAGGGAAAGGGGCTGTCGTACCCTCGTCCCCAGGCCAAGCCGAGTATGGTGCCGCACCTTGCGCGGGCATTCATCTAATTATTTTTTGTATCTCCTAGAGCATACCACGTCACCAGCCGGAAATGGCAACACCCGCTTCCGACAGGGAGCCTGAGGGCGACCGCTTGCCAGGACACGGCGGGACCCTTGGCCCTCCCCGGCTAAGTGGCATCGTGCGGGGCCTCGTCTAGAGTGTCGTCTAGAGTGACGGGAAACGCGTCCAACACACGCGTGGGTGGCGGCACCGGTGTCGGGCGGGCCCCGATGGCCTAGGCCCTTTGATCCCTGTAACAAGTAGGACCGTTTCCCTTCAACTATAAGCAAGAAACCACATACTACTGCGCGCATTGCGGGAGCCACCGCCTACATTGGCCAAATCATCACTTTGTGAATCCCCATGTATGCTTACGATGCTGCGTATTCCTCAAGCCCTACTCGTCTCACCCACTTTACCCGAACCCCCCCCAGCCTGGCAACGGGATCCCGAGGGAGGCTGACGCCATCGCGTGCGAGGAATGTGCAGGCGTCGTAAACTCATCGGACACAGACACCCATTCGTCTGCTGACCAACCCACGTCAGCTTTTTGTTTATGACGATCTTAATAGTAAACAAGTCCACCTCCGCCCCAGGTGCCTGGTGATTTCAGATTGAATCTCCCCCCTCACAGAAGTGCTCTAACGTAATGCTCAGTGAAGCCTCATTTTTTTAGTCCATAATGCATTATTGTTCGCGATAGGTGAAATCCCATTCCGCGCTGCCCTTCTGCTGGTGCAGACACCCTTTTCCTAAAATCGTATAATTGTGTGCGGCCAACCCCGGCCGACACCCCTAGGCATCAATCTCCGACGATCAATGTCCGCCTTAGCCCCCATCATCGAAGATTCACGTCGCCAGCGCCTAATTCAGTTGTCGGCGTCTTAGAGTTCACCACAGCTTGTTCGAAACATCATCACATACTGGTCGGCAGGGTTTGGGCAATCTTCTTTAGTACACACAGGTGAGAATGATGGGCCCCTCGCCCTCAGCAGTTCCCATCTACGCTGCAGACAATTTACCCGCCAAGCGGGGAGCTACACCAGACGCGTCTTTTCCACTAGTACCACTGGCTATTATCTTGAAAGGAACACGGTGTTTGCTATCAACTGATAGGGCGCTCTCGGCCTAAGTAATATGTCACAATACCAACTGTGATTCACCCCGCTAGCTCACTGTGGATATTTTGGCCGCATTGTGCGGAATGTCTCCACTGATACTGAATGGACCATACCAGTCGAAATATCACAAGCACGAAATATCTGAGCATCTCCTTTAAACCCTACAATTAGTCATGGCCTGTGTTTGGCTGTCTACTTAGCCCATACGGATTACTCATCAACGTGATGGAGCTTGCTTCATGGTGGCGGTGGCAAAGTCATTCCGAGTGCGACTGGGTTCGACGAGGTTCGATTCCGCCGCCGCGGCCCTGCCATTAAAATGACGGCGCCGGCCCCATCCCCTGAGGCACCATCCGAAGCCATGATCCTTACCGATGCTCACATACAACCCAAAACTAATAACCCCGACCATGGGGTTATGGACATCGGCAAAAACTGTGCGTTTTGCAACCAGTTGGACTTTCTCCCGTTTGTGTGTGAATACTGCAAGGGAACTTTCTGTGAACAACACCGCCGGTTGGAAGCTCATCAGTGTAAGCATCTGAACCGCTTTCGCAACCAGGGTGGCACTGGCGGCTACCGGTACCTGGGACCGCTGGTGAAGCTGCTATTCCCCGACGCCAACGCACGCAAATTCGAACAAGAGCGACAATTTGAACGCAGCCAACTGCCAGTGCCGGTCACGATCAAGCAGAAGTTGGGGACGAAAGCAATGGCTAAGTTCCAGCGCTTCATCGACAGCAATCTGACGCTCGGCAAACTTCGAAAGCAAAGCGCTGTGTCGCTGCTTGTTAGCTTAAAGAAAGCTGCCAAAGGCGATGCAAAGATTCAACCCAGCGATCGTGTTTATGTGTGGACCTTGTACGTGGATGGTGATTTGTCGTCGATCAATGCTGACAAAGCGAGAAAGCCTATGTTTTTACTGAAGAAGTGGCCCGTAGGACGAGCTCTCGATGTAATTGCCGACGAACACAAAATCACCAACTACAATAATTCGACACTTGATTCCGATGCGCGGCTCAATATCTTTCGGCTTGACAAAGATAAGCCCGTAACGGTGTCGACTTCAGAGCGTTGTGCTAAATTGACCAATGGGGATACACTATACTTGGTTAGAGGGCCTATATAAGAGCGGTGCACATTGTGGCTGTGGAGATTCGGCAATAGATTACACAGCTATTGTTTAGCTGTGCAGCTTGGGTTCTATCTCCGTAAGCTGTATGCAATGTTTACTTTAAAAGCCTAACACATTTTGCCCAGTTTGATCGATGCTTCCGCGCCTGAAATTGTTGATCTTTAATGCTATCTCAATGACGACAACTCGTGCATCATTATGCAACCCTGCATTTACATACCAACTAATAATAATGCTAAATATACCTAAACTCTGTAGTCGCCAGCTGTGAAAATCCTGGATTAAAATTGTAAGATCTCGACCAATTGAAACACTTTCATTTTTTCCATAAACTTGCTTTAGTATCTATCGAGTCAATTAGAACATGGTTATAGCGGACGTTCACCTTTGAAGCCTTTGCGCACTGAAGGAGTCGAAATTAGGAGATTATACCAAAATTTGAGTAACTTAGACATTGGAAGGGTCTTATTGACGCCCAGGATGCACACTAGTGCGAGCACTTTTTATCAACATATTAGATGATTGGAGCCAAAAAAGTACATTCAGGTCATCTTTTCATCTTAGTATTGACATCACGCTTCCTTTGACACGCCTTGAATCGACGGAAAAAAACCACGTTTACAAGTATCAAGGATCTCATATCACTGACCAAAAAACCGAATTTTTCGGCTGTGATGGCCTTTGGCAGAAGCGCATCGCCTGTGTTTTCTGTGGGAGTTGTTCGCTGGAGTGTCCAGTTCGATCCCTGCGGTTAGATTTACTGCGTCTGAGTAATCGGCGTCTGTAATTCTGGCAATGAGTAGCACCATCGCTGAAGGAGAGCAATCTAGCACAGCAGGCTACCCGTGGCGGAGGCGAAGTGGATGGCACAAAAGCATTGGGGCAGTTTCTTCAGAGAATCTGATGTGACGACTACATTTTTGTTCCGTCATACAAATTCAGATGAAGCATTCATCGAAGTAACGGAGTACGTCTCCGAAGTACGTAACTCGTGAATTTATGAGCCCGTTCATTAGGATGAGTGCCCGGTAGATTTCTCTGTTGATGCTAACTTTAAACATACGTCGAGGGGTCATGAACAGCTATCAACTCGCTGATACCCGGGTAAGACATTCCGTCTTCGTGACTCCCCTCCCACCCCTCACCGCGTTCTCCTGAAGTTAGTGGATCTGATCGCGGTCTCTTGACGTTAGAGGAATCTATTGTTCGGGGTTCTTACGACGATCTGGCTGCAACTGGTGGGCTTCACACATCTCGTATAATCCGTTCACCATTTGCAATGTTAATTCGATATAGATGTTCAGAATGGTATCAATTGTTGTGCGTTACAAGAAGACTTCTGGTCATATTTAATGATCGAGGTCATGGAGGTCTGGCATTCATAGCATCTGGCGGCTAAATTCCCCAATTGGGAATTTGTTAGCTCGCGGTTATAAACGGCACACCTGTATATAAGCAGATCATAGGTAACGCAGCCCCAGTGATGTGCCGTAAGCGTATATATATGTAACGTGCTCGTCCCGATGACTATACCAACCATGCCAAGCTCTATCATCGACCCCAGCCAATACCAAGTCACTCACATCACCGACCACTTTGACCTGGTGAAGTATACCCGCGATCGCAACCTGGCAGCCTGGCAGGGCCAGCTCTCGACCGATGACTACGTGATTAGAGAGTTTGTTTTGGGCAAGTGCAAAGTAACGCTGTCCAAAGCTGACCGGTTATTGGTTTACCACTTGAGCAAGAAGTCCGACGAAAACGTCCCGTTGCTGCTGATTGAAATCTTGATTCGGAGGTCACTCAAATATGTTCGTCGAGGCGATGACGTTGAGGTTACCCCGGTGTTACTGGGTTGCATTGGAGCTGTATTTACGTATCCCGAAAACAGAGGTCAAGGATTGGCGAAAATAATGGTTGATAAGTTAGTTGAGGAGGTTCGGGATGTGATTGGATCGGATGGGTTCATTTTCCTTTACTCTGAGGTGGGCGAATACTACGCGAAACTGGGATTCATGCTGATGCCAGTTGATCTAATCCATATCCCGATGACCTCGGAACAATTCGATGTTGAAGGTGACGTCGAGTTGATTAACTACCACCAATTCTCTCCGGTTATGGATGAGTACGCTCGCCAACTTGACGCTAAGTGCCGCAAAGAAACCGCCGCTGACGGCAAGATGCGGGTGCAAGTGGTCCCCACCGCTGACATCGTCGACTGGTTCCACGTTCGGGCCAAATACATCTCATATAAGAAGTTTTACGAGGAGCCGGACCAGGACACAAAATTCGATTTCCTCAACCTGAGCTACGCTGCCATCAACCACGAGTTCGAGAAGATTGAACCCCAAGCGTTTGGCGTCAAACTCTCGAAGAACGGCGTGCTTGTTGGGTTTATTGTGTGGACAATGGACTGGATTAACCTGAGTGAAAACTATGTCACTGTGCTTAAGACGGTGGTGATGCCTGGCTACGACGTCGACTCCACCACCATCGACCTTTTCAAGGCGATGCGCAACCACCTTTACACTGCCAACTCGGTTGTTGGCGAGACTAAGCGGCTTGTGGCGTGGGAGCTGGAAGTGACGACTACGGTGCGCGACTGGTTCGTGCTGGAATGGGCCGCCAAGGCAGGCTTGGAAAACGGACTGAGGCTGGCAATTTTGATGTGCAACCCAACCGAAGACGCTGCATTGAAAAACGGCCAAGTGGTTTGGGAAGGCAACGACAAAATCCCCTGGTTTTAGATAAAGCTTTGTACATTACAATATAGAAGAGACCCTATCACCTTCCCCAGGAAAATTAGTGGCTGATATTCTATGCAGTACGTACATTCATAGTCGCGCGGCGCCTAGCGTTTGTGACTAATACCACTTCAGTATGACTCGAAGCGCTACGTTTTCCAGACTTACCAATGAGACCAAGGTCCAGATCGCCCTCAGCTTGGATGGCGGTCCCATCAGCTTAGAGGAGTCGATCTTCAAGGACCGGCCCAAGGTGGACCACGCCGCCCAAGCCACCTCGTCGCAAGTGATCTCGGTGGAAACCGGGATTGGTTTCCTCGACCACATGTTGCACGCCCTTGCTAAGCACCTGGGATGGCTGTTGATTGTTGAGTGCATCGGTGACTTGCACATCGACGACCATCACACCGCTGAGGACGTCGGTATCGCTCTTGGTCAAACCTTCCACAAGGCGCTTGGCCACGTTAAGGGGGTGAAGCGGTTTGGTACCGGGTTCGCTCCCCTTGACGAAGCCTTATCTAGAGCCGTGGTTGATCTTTCCAACCGCCCTTATGCCGTGGTCGAGCTTGGCCTCAAACGAGAGAAGATCGGCGACTTGCTGTGTGAAATGATCCCCCACGTGCTCGAGCTGTTCGCCCAAGGGGCGGCCATCACCATGCACGTCGACTGCTTGCGTGGGTTCAACGACCACCACCGGGCGGAGTCGGCATTCAAGGCGTTGGCGGTGGCGATTCGCGAGGCCATCTCGCTGAACGGTACTAACGATGTGCCTCTGACCAAGGGTGTGTTGTTTTAGTCGCAGGCGGACTAGTTTGATAGAGACATAGAATATATAGAATAACTCAAAATACAAATATTTCTAATATCATTTTTGTGAAATCTGCCTTTTGTGATGGGGGATATACGATGGCGATGATCTGACACCGCGCACCGATGATACCCCTCCGGTCGTTTGTGACGTCGTCAGTGAGATGCCTGGTTAAGCATGGCTCAGGCAAGGGACAGCTTTCGAAGCCCCACTATTCGAACCCCGGGGTGCGTTCGTTCGATAAGAATTTGCCGGCAAAGGAGCTCAAGCCGTGGGAAAAAGCTGGTCTCTCCAAGGATGAGTTCTTCATGAGAAAATACAACAATATCACCCCTGAACAACGACAAAAGCTTACGGAAAAGGTCGAACGCCAACGACGGTACCGCCAGATGCGTAAGGACCACGAGAAGTCTAAGTTTCTTGAGGCCCACCCCGAACGGCTATCTCAAGGACCTCGCGAGCCAAACCGCCTTTTTGAGTATATCTTCGGCACTCACAGTGTTCGAGCGGCGTTGGAGAACCCTCTGAGAACATCCTATAACGCATTATTCGTTCATAATGGTGATGAAGCCGTGGTGGATAAGGCAAAGCAGTTGGGCATTCGCATCATCAAGGCCGATAAGACCTCGATGGCGAAATTGACCCGAAATGGCGTTCATAACGGGCTTGTCCTCGAGACGAAACTGGTACCTCGGACAGCATTGAAGGAGCTTGGCCATGCCACCACTGATGAATTTGAAACTGTGGTGTACGCTGATGATATTTCCGATACAGTCACCACTCAAACTACACCGGTAGCCCGGGCGGGTAAATATCCCGTGGGCTTTTTGCTTGACGGTATTACCGATCCGATGAATGTAGGTGGTATTGTCAGAACTGCCTATTACATGGGTGTTGACTTTGTCGTGGTACCCGAAGTGAACTCGGCCAAGATGGGACCCGTAGCCAATAAGGCCAGTGTGGGAGCGTTGGAAAAGCTTCCGGTATATGTGACGCCTAGAGTGGTGGATTTCGTCAAACACTCGAAACGGAACGGGTGGAACATTATTACCGCCGCCAGCGAGTCGCCTCTGTCGTCAGCTTTGCCAGTAGAGCTTTCGCAGTTGTCAGAGATGGCGGATACGACGCCGATACTTTTCGTCCTTGGCCTGGAAGGCGATGGGGTTGGTCGCAAGACGATGGCCGAGCTGGATTTTATTGTCTCCATCCCGAAAGGCCGCGAAGGCGACGACGTGGTGGACTCGTTGAATGTTAGCGTGGCTGCCGGCATTATCATTGCGGCCACAACTCAGGGTTAGCTTGTATATAGAGATAAGTATGGATCAAGTGCTAATCAATTAATTTTGAGTCCTCGTTTGGTTAATGAGGATATTGTTACGATAGGTCACCTGGTAAACGTCGTTAGCGCTGCCGTTGAGAATGTCCGTCATGAACACTCTGATGTTATCGACCACCCCAACATTATCAGGATGGGTTATCCATGCTATCGGTTTCCAGTCTAAGATTCCTTCTACCAACAGTCGTGGGGTGACGTAGGCGTCTCGTTGAGCTTTGGTAACCTTGGCGACAAAGAGGTAGAGTCCCCCCACCTCGACGTAAGTAGGCTCGGATGATGTCTCCACCTCCATCAACTGAGGTGCGCTGAACACCGGTGTTGTGTAATTGCGCGAGTCCCATAGTAACTGGCCCCGAGCTTCGTAGGTATCAAGGGTAAGCCCCGTCTCTTCCTCAGTCTCTCGTACGATACAAGCCAACGGCGGCTCTCCTTTGTCGAGCTTGCCACCAACACCGTTCCACCGCCCCATCCAGGGAGCCTTGAGGCGGTTTAGTAAAAGCACTTCATCTGTCTCGCAACACCATACGAAGCCGAGGGTGTACTTGAGGCTGGCTTCCGTTTCCATGGCCTTGAGGAGTTCTTCGCTAAAGTTATGAGCTGCATAATCACAGTCCCATACACACACCCGCACAGACGCGTTTATTTTTAATGGATGGGGTCGAGGCTGACACAATTGAGGATATCAGCCAAACTCCGGTCAGCAGCCGGGTCCACGTGGCGTCCATGGTCGGTGACATGAGTGTCCATCTCCTCAGTGTCAACACCGCCATATTTGCGATAGTCCTTGCCCAATAGAAATAACATGAGAAGGGCGCGCTGGAGGGGCAGCACATCAAGATAGTATATTGCAAGTGTAGCTACTTGAAGGCGGGCAATTGTGGCGTGATCGATGCCACCGTAGCCACCACCAATACCGGGGACGACCACGACGTCCCACTGGTCTTGACAGTGGACAAGCACATTCCACATCGAGTCAACAATCACCGACTTTGCGCGAGAGACATCAATCGGCTCGGGAACTACCATCAGCGGTGCCAAGATTAAGCTATCAACATTCCACTGGGTGTAAGCACGCCGGTCATTACGCACAGCAGCGGTCTCCACAGTCTCCACCGTGTGCACAGGTATATATCCCCGGAACCGATAGTTGCCCTGGCCCTGGACGTAACGCTCTAACTCCTTATACAGTTGGCCAGCGGGTTTAAGCGCCTCGAGTACTCCTCGATCGAACCCCCCGCCCATATACAGTAAACTGTTGGCGGGACATACAACCGCTGTTCGCCGGGGTTGCTGTAGGTGTGGAGGCGGGGTCGTTTCAAATAGCGCCTCCACCGATCCGTGGTGGGTAGTGATTGACACGGAAAACGTGGGGAGAAGCCGTTGAAGCTGCTTTAGCTGCACGTTCCATTGGCAGTAGAGGTCATGGGCAATGGTGACCAAGATAATATGAGGCATTGGGGGTGATTTCCCAATAAATTCTACGTGATCGACACGCACGTTGTGGCGCGTCAATCCTTAATATGTTGGTGGCACTACATCCCCCAGTGGCGGGTGATTCCGAAATGTTCCGGACCATGTGGGCGCGGGGGCAAAGCAGCCGATGGGTCAAAGCTATAATCAACACGAACTAACCGTTAGCGATACATCGTAATATCTGCAAAGGAATCGCCGGAACGACCATAACCATTAGCAGTGTGACCATCTTCATTTTAGCCCTAGCCCCGGGCACTTAGCACTAAAGTCATGCCTCACTGTCAAGGTGGCGTGTCTCCGCAAATTACCACAGGGCGCGAGGGATTTTGTTGGATCGCGTAGGGTTCAGAGGTCAATTGAGCCGCCCCCGTCGATTCTAGCGAGTCAATGCCGATCGATGACGGTTCAATCGACGTCAATTATGTCGATCCATAGGCGCAAACTTCCATAGATCCCCGGTGTACCGAACGAACCCCTCCCCGGGGATACGCTGGCCCACGTGACAATGGTGTCGGGAGCCAACAAAAGCGCGCGATTGCCCTTTTTTTTCTTCTTCATTGCTCTCAACAACATGGCTCCCGTTGCTTACTCTGACCTCCAAAAGTCGGCTCACGACTTGTTGAACAAGGACTTCTACCACCAATCGACCGCTGCCGTCGACGTCAAGACCATTGCCCCCAATGGTGTTTCGTTCACCGTCAAGGGTAAGACCGCCAAGGACGACTCGATTGCCGCCTCGGTTGAAGCCAAGTACGTCGACAAGCCCACTGGCTTGACCCTCACTCAATCGTGGAACAACGCCAACGTCTTGGGTACCAAGATTGAATTGTCGGAATTGTTGACCCCCGGCCTCAAGGGTGAATTGGACACCTCGGTTGTCCCCAACGGTGCTAGATCCGCCAAGCTTAACTTCTTCTACCAACAATCGGCCGTTAACTCGAGATTGTTCTTTGACTTGCTCAAGGGCCCCATTGCCACCGCTGACTTGGTTGTGGCTCACGACGGTTTCACCGCCGGTGCCGAATTGGGTTACGACATTGCCTCGGCTAAGGTCAACAAGTACTCGCTCGGTGTTGGTTACGGTACCTTCAACTACGCTCTTGCCGCTACCGCTTCGTCGAACTTGACTGTCTTCAACGCCGCCTACTACCACAAGGTGTCGCCCCTTGTTGAAGTTGGTGCCAAGACCACCTGGGACTCGGTTAAGTCGAACAAGGTCAACGTTGAATTCGCCACCAAGTACGCTTTGGACACTTCTGCCTTTGTCAAGGCTAAGATCGCCGACTCTGGTTTGACCGCCTTGTCGTACTCGCAAGAATTGAGACCCGGTGTCAAGTTGGGTCTTGGTGCTTCGTTCGACGCCTTGAAGTTGGCTGAACCCGTCCACAAGTTGGGTTTCTCGCTCTCGTTCACTGCTTAGGCATATATTATGAAGTAAATGTGTAAAACAGTGTTCCAGTAATGTTTACTATCTAAGCTCGTTGTCTAGTGGAGGTTGTTATCACATCAACCTTCTCCACATATTCGGGATCTCGGTGTTAATCTACCGTTTCCCCACAACTTCGGCGATAGATTCTCTCGAGTGGGGTCTCGTCTCGCCACATGTAAGTATGCGATCTACTCGAGAACATACCCAAGGCCGAAGTTACACCAAAAACTTTGTATTGCCACCATTTTGGCATTGGTTTCAATCATTTGAGCAACGCGATAATTCTACGCGTATGTGAACTCGCTATCGTACAATTGTCCACGCATCAGTCACCGATCATGCAAGGTAAAGACTTTGCTAACTCTGATTACTTTCTTGTAACAGGAGCACTGTAAACATGGTTCTGTAAATTACTTGATGTCGTCGACCACCACTAAGTATGAAATCAAGAGTATCATATCGTGTATCACCAGTCTGTCGTTCACTTGAGGTTCAACGCTCTTACAATGAGTTAGCTACAACTGCAAGTCGAATATTTTATAGTATTCACCATTGTCGTACACAATGGCGTGATGTTATGTAAGTCCGTGATGCGATTTCGTCGACTCATCGCTTAAATCGCTTAGCGTTGGGCCCGTCATCGTTGGGCTTTTGTGTCTTAGCCAAGCGCTCCAACTTGCGTTCAATATTAGTCTTCTTCCGCTGGTTGGCTTCCTTGAATTCAAGTTCCTGCTGTTTCACCAAATGGCGCCAATCCAGCTTCTTTCTGACAAACTTTTCTAAGTCCCAGTTCTTCCAAACGATGCGTCCGTATTGCGAGTCCTTGACCTTATTCTGCTGTTCAAACATCTCTTGGGCGAAGCGGTCCTTGAACATAGGCAACAACACCGTAAACGCCCACAACTTGTCCACCAAATGCGAGCCGTATGAGTTACAGGCTAAGTCAACGATGTGGCCTTGGAAAAGCTGGAGGTAACGCTTGCGCAAGATTTCAACTTTCTTGTTCTCATGAGGATCAACCTTCATCAGGGCTTCGACGACGTGCGAGAACACCCCGTGGAAGCACATCTGCAGAAGTCTTTCTCTCGGCAAGGCCATGAAGTTGAGCCACACCGCCCTAACGAATTTATCGTCGTACTCCATCAACTTCTCGAGGAAAAGTGAGCGGCGCCGTTCTTCGGCAGTAGGCCAGTCGTCGCGAGTATTACCAAGCGTCAGCTTTGACAACTGGAGAGTGTTCTCTAAGAGTTCGGCATCGACATCCTCGGTGAAGTCGTCACGTTCGTTAGCGGCGGAAGGGTAATTGGGGGCAAGCTTAGCGAATAACTGATCGATAAGTTCTTGTCGACGGTAGTTAGAACGAGCAATCAGAGCGTCAATAACTCGTTGCGCAAGATCTAAGTTCTCGTTATTTTCAACGTCAATCAATCCTGCAAGCTCGGGGATGATTTCATCGAGGATATGCTCGACGTCAGGGGCGCGAAGGCGGAATAAGAGGGCCTGGATAACAAACACCCCGGTGGTGGCACGCTTGGCGAGCTTCAACACGCGGTCGGCCATGTAGAGCTTGTAGAGACGCTCGACGTACTTGGGTCTCACGGTGTCCAGCTTCACGCACAGCTCAAGGAAGTGGGACCCGACGGAGTCAGAAAGAAGGTACTCAACAAAAGCCAGCTCGTCGTTGTCGGCTTCCTCTGTAGATGCAAAGATAAGGTGCCACACAGTGCGGTCGCGATCGTTTATGCCTTCGACTTGAATGAGCAACTGGAGCACCGGCAGCGCCACCTTGTTGATGGCGAGCTCTCTGAACTTTTTTGTCGACGCCTTCTTCGCTTCTTCGTCCTGACTGGTAGCGGTAGCTTCGCCTTCCCACGAGGCATCGACTAAGCTTTTGAGCAACCCTTTGAACAGGCCCGGCACCTGGTACTGCTTGCCGAAGTCGGTAGTGTCCTTGATTTCGATCATCTTTCTGGCGATCTTCAGCTTCTTCGACCGCAACGTTGAGTGGGCTTTGGTGGTGCTGGGCAATTCCTTCAGGGCAAGCACGAGGAGCATCACCCGCAACACGTGGGAGGCGTAGTTGTGGGTCATCATCTGCTTCACCTCGGGTTGCATCTGGTTCACCACCGACGTAAACATGTCCTCCATCGACGCAAGCGGCTCGCGGTCGTCCTCGGCGATGACTTCTCCCGCCAACTCCTTCTCCAACACCAGCGCTGCCCTCACGAGCAATGTTTCAAGCACGTGGGAAGCGTATTTCTGGTGACTTAACGCGGTGAAGTACGGCACAAACACCGAAAACAAGTACTTGACCTCGTAGTCGACGGCGCCCAAGATGAGCCGCTCCATCAACTTCAGGCAAATCTGGTTCGTCATCAATTTGAGCTCCTTCCCCTTAGCTTCCTCCAACACACTGCGAATGAAACCCTGGCGGTCAGCATCACCATCGAAGGCGCCGATGTTGAGCGTCAGCTCCGCCTGCTTAAAGTAATCAACTTCGGTAGGGTCAACTAAGCCAAAAAACACATTGTGGCCGTTGGAGTCTTTGGTGCTCACGGAGTAGTCATCCTTCTCTTGTTCACCTAAGTCCTCCAGACCGTCGACGGGCCGTTCCTTGGCGACTTTCTTCTCGAGCCGTCTCCCACGCGATTTCCCCATGGCGACAGTAGGTGTACCCTGAGATCTCCGATGGCCTCAGTCTCGGTGCGTGCGGCTTGCGATGCCCATGGCGCGCCTAACCAGACGGGTGTAATTCACTAGCGAGCCCCCGCTATAGGAAGTATTAAGAGACTACCAGTCTAACTGGCTTCCTTATGACACTGTACCAAATAATGACAACTCATATCGTAAAACAACGACAAAAAAGTAAAATAAAAACGGAAAAAAAGGTGTTAGCACATTGACTTGAGCAGCATCGGTATTAAACGTAGGCGATAGAAGTAGTTTATTTCCGCGGTGACATCATCTATAGGGTGCCGCTCGTGGCGGGTGAGAGGCTACCTTATGATAGTCCATCTAAAGGATAAACCTCTAACATTAGCTGGCGCTAGTCGCCGTCTACATCTTGATCTTGATTTTGTCGATTATGCTATAACCCTATTATACAGTTAGACTTTCATCAGCAGCTTACAAGCCCAACTTAGTTCTTCTCCAGTGTCTTCTCTTGGCGTTGTATCTGATGGTGTTGTCAGTTCTCAAGCGGATCCATTGGGGCAAGGGTCTGTTTTGCTTGGAGGCCTTGGCCAACTTTTGCTTCACCTTGAAGGACTTTTGGGACGGCATGGTGGTTTGCTTGTTCGAGGGCAGTTTTTTTTCACTAGATTTTTGTCGCACCGGGGCGGTGACTGCACAGGCTGGTCGCCGAGCGCGCGCACTACTAGGGTTGCAACCCTAATTTACGTTAATTGAGGGGAGGACTATAATCATGGTTAAGCGTAGACAGGAGGTCCACCAGAAGGTCACTACAAGCTGAGGGTGTGATGTGGAGATGCTTTAAAATATTTCTGATTCTGATGGGTGCCTTCTAGGGCTAGTTGGTACTGTAGATGGTCACTAGGGGCCACTTGGGGTTACTGGAGTCGCGCGGCGGTGATAATATCTTTCGGTTGTTAGGGTGGTAACCCTAGCAGACACGTGACCCTCGCCTTTCGCGGGCGATGGCCTCTGGCTACCCACTGCCCTGGTGCGGCGCGCGCGGTCGCCAGCGAGGGTGCCCTCTACTTGGGTGAAAAATTTCCCCGACGGCCCTTTCGAACCAACCATGACTAGAACCTCCGTTTTGGCTGACGCCCTCAACGCCATCAACAACGCCGAAAAGACCGGTAAGAGACAGGTGATGATCAGACCCTCGTCGAAGGTCATCATCAAGTTCTTGACCGTCATGCAAAAGCACGGCTACATCGGTGAATTCGAATACATCGACGACCACAGATCGGGCAAGATCGTCGTTCAATTGAACGGTAGATTGAACAAGTGCGGTGTCATCTCGCCCAGATTCAACGTCAAGATCGGTGACATTGAAAGATGGACCGACAACTTGTTGCCCGCCCGTCAATTCGGTTACGTCATCTTGACCACCTCCGCCGGGATCATGGACCACGAAGAGGCTAGAAGAAAGCACGTCTCGGGTAAGATCTTGGGCTTCGTCTACTAGACGTGTATAATAGACTAATGAACATACATCGATAATGACTCCCTGGGGAAGGCACCTATGGTTTATGGTGGTAATGTAGCACTTGTTCTTGAGATGAGAGATTACTTTGAGATACACTATCTTGAGAGTTGTCATTCAACGGTCATAAAAGGGGATCATCATTGGGTTAGCTCGCCAACGCGGGGAAGCTCATCTTCTGATGCATGGATATTTTGAATTCCACCGTAAAATTTGAGCTGAATCATGGCAGCTTTACTGAGTTCAAATTGGAGAATGCATAGACTTAATATCAATTTTCATTAATTCAAGATTGGAGGTAGCCGCTGAGCCATTGCAAGTGTTCGTTAGCTGTTGTTAATTGCAGGCTCCAAGGCTTATCAGACCAGAATTTAACGTGAGAGATGTCGGAGATTCTCGGATAGTTCATAGCATGATTAAACATAGAAATTGTCTTCAAAAGAAGTTGATTTTTCAAGACAGAATCTTCGGGTTAGCGATTTGAAGAGTCGTTAGTGGTGACGTTGCCTCCTCTGGTGGCTAGTGTCAGGTGCGCGCGAAGATCACCTAGCCTTGCGCCAGAGCGAGGATGAAGCAACAGCTAACCACGACGTGACAGTAAATATGAATATGGTAATCGTCATTCGTGGACTACACCTTCAATATCCCCATTATGGCTGATTTCGGCAGGTGGCGGGGTATTCGAACAGATATAAATTGGTGTGCACGTGACTTAGGGTTACAGACCCAGGGGACGCGCGACACCCAGGCAAAAAAAAAATTGGAAAAACCTCAGCGGTCGAAAATCATCACCATGTCTGGTAAGTACAGCGAACGAGTGCCACCACCCGCCGGCATTGCGAAAACGAACATGCTCCTCCTTACGGATCTTTCTCTTCTATCTGAAGAGACGATGAAGCGATGAATTGGAACCGTTTGACCCTTTCCAGGGACATCTATCCAATGACATGAATCCATGTTCAGTTTTCATATACCCCCTCCAAAAGACCTGTGACTAACATGATAGCTACCAGAGACCAAGTGTTCGGCGTTGCCCGTATTTTCGCTTCGTTCAACGACACCTTCGTCCACGTCACCGATTTGTCGGGCAAGGAAACCATCGCCAGAGTTACTGGTGGTATGAAGGTTAAGGCCGACAGAGACGAATCGTCGCCCTACGCCGCCATGTTGGCTGCCCAAGACGTTGCCGCTAAGTGCAAGGAAGTTGGTATCACCGCTGTCCACGTCAAGCTCAGAGCCACCGGTGGTACTAAGACCAAGACCCCCGGTCCCGGTGGTCAATCGGCCCTCCGTGCCTTGGCTCGTTCGGGTCTCAGAATCGGCAGAATCGAAGACGTCACCCCCGTCCCCTCGGACTCGACCAGAAGAAAGGGTGGTAGAAGAGGTAGAAGATTGTGAGCGGGTGGCTTGCATCTATGTAACATATCTAATACAAATTACGCACTGGGACAATCAGAGTAGAGTCAGTGGTCTGACGCTTAGTCATCACTACACGATGTGACATGATGAATACATGTCATATCAATCGAGATCATGTTCAAAATTTTTAGTTGGCACACTGATGCTTGTGATGCTGTCTCACTCTTACTTCTGGTGTAACGTTGCGTCAAGTCGCGTTGCCTAATCGGTATAGAGAGCGCATCAAAGATAACGCGGAGTAAGCCGTACTTGTAATCACACTCCCCGCACCAGTAAACTACCATGGTTTTCTTACTATTGGTGGTGGCAATTGTTTTGACGGCTTCGATAGTTTTGTGGATCGCTCGACGACTGAGACGGAAACTGTCTTTCACGTCTTATGATTCTCTTCCGGAGCCAACACCAATCTATATCACTCCTGAGCAATTGGCAACTTACGATGGTCGACCGTGGCGGCCGTTCCGGTGGCCCTACCACCAGACAATGTCTATATACAAGCTTGACGTCAATCACTGGCTCGACATGGACCGGTACTACCCGCATTTGATCGAGCTGAAGCAGCAGGTATTCGCCAAGTGGGGGCGGGACTACCTCGACTGGCTTCCCGAAAGCGCCGACGGGTGTCAGGAATTGATGGAGGTGGTGGTCAACCACATGCTTTTACGCTACCCTAATTTATTCCTGGCCGTCAATGCTGACCACACTGTTATCCGGAATGAGATCACCGGAGACGTTATCGATATGACACCCCCTTTGCAACACCACCCTTTAAAATATGTGGCGAGAATCGCCCAAGAAGACTTCTACGTTGTCAAGCAGAGACTGGATGGGCGACACTATCTTGTGGCAGCAGCGGTAGCATTTCCGGGGGGAGGGTTTGGCGTTCTGGATAAGCTCGGCCAGCACTTGGATGTTATTCACGGCGAGGTTCCCCTATACAAAGAGAAGTTACAGAAACTGATGGAGAAATGGTTCGGTCGGCTTGAGGTGGGGAAACCCGTTGAACGGGCTCTGTGGCTCTTAACTTGGGACCACAAGTTGCGCACCACCGGCTGCTATGCTGATGGACCTCACACGGGCCACCAAAATACAGACTTGAGCACGTTGCCGGATGAAGCATTGAACGTCCGTATTGAGCGACAAGCGTTACGACGGCTCCCCCGCTCGCGGGTGATCGTATTCCTGAATCACCCTCTATACTACTCCATTGAGGAAATGAAAGACGAACCCATGGTCCCCAGCTTGATAAAACAGGTGATAAACCATGCTGACGAAAGGATCGTACGCTATAAAAATTTCCCCGTCTCAAAGAACCGCGCCAATGACCTATTAGACCGACTTATCTCCCGGCAGCTTGAGTTAGGAATAATCGATAAAGAAGAGCCCATCAGAACTCTTCCGACTTATCCATTTGCACACTGGGTGGTCCAAGATGTTGACGAAAACGGATGGACTAATCCTGGGTCAAGCTACACCAAAGAAAAGTACAATTGGCTTCCAGATAAGTTTGATGAGAGCAGCTATCCTACCAACGGATTCTGATTTATCTCCTAGTATGTATTAATATTACGACAAGCCCAAATCCTTCTTGACGAGCGCCCGGCAGATGGGGTGGTACGTGTTCTCCCATTTCGTAAAGTATTCCACCGCCAAGTCGTGATCGACTTCGTTGAGGATAGCGTACCCGGGACGCACGAACTTCATACGCCCGACTTCACCCAACCATTCTCCCAAAAGCTTACAGTACTTCTTGGACTTCCCGGTGACCTGCAACATGTAAAAGCGCGACTTGATTTCGGCATTTTGAGTATCGCTGTAAATGGGGTATGCCTTGTCCATCGCCTCCAAAGCTTTAGCATGGTCGGCCCAATGGAAGTCGTTCTGGTTCTCAAAACTGCTGAGCGTGTCGAGAAGTACCACCAGCTGATTGGCTTCAAATGACTCCACATCCTTCGGGGAGAACTTGTCGTAGTCACCCGACTTTGTCGCAGCCTTCCACTCATTGGCAAGCTTGAAGCATTCGTCGGCCAACGTAGTGTCGAACTTGGGCTTGGGGGGCATACCCTCGCCGTAAAGCCAGGTATCCCAATCGATCTTGTCGAGCTTATCTTTCTTATCAGCGAAGAATTCGTACAACGTGTCCAAGAAATCCTTGGTGTCGACCAGCTTGTAGCGGTACTTCTTGAAGTAGTGAGGGATGAATGGGTCAAACACTTTCTTCCCACCAAGAACTTCTTCGATGTGAACCAACAACAGCGAACCCTTTTCGTAAGGAACCGACAGAAACGAGTCGTCAGGGTCAGCGGAGCCGAGCTCCAAAACCAATCTGGTATATTGAGACAATTCGGGTCCAAAAGCTTTTACGGAGTTCTCCAAGTCGTTCCAACCAATGATAGCGAGGAACGAGCGCATTTGGGCAGCAAACTGTTCAGGATTGGCTTTGCCCTTGCGTTTAGCATCAGCATAGGTAATAGCTTCAATGATACGACGTTCAAGATACACCGTCCAACCCTCATTGAGCCAGAAGTGTTCCCAGTTCTTCAGAGTAACCAAATTGCCCAGCCATGAGTGGGCAAGTTCGTGGGCCACAACAGATACATTCAGTCTATCCTTGCAAATCAAAGTAGGGGTGAGGAAGGTAATGTTGGGGTTTTCCATACCACCATAGGGAAATGATGCTGGCAACACAAGGGCATCGTAAGTACCCCACTCGTACTCAAACACCAACTTCTCGGCAATCTCTAAGAAGTGTTCCATGTCGGCCTCAAACTCCCATTGGGCAGCTTTGATTCCCACTGGTTCAGAGTAAACGGTCGAACGAGGCCCAATGGGTGCGCCAACAATATCACCCAGAGCAACGGTAAGCAAGTACAGAGGGATGGGAACTGGTTGTTCAAAGAAATACTTGTCACCCTTCTTCTCGATGAAGCGACCACTCATCAACACCTTATAAGGTGAGGTGGCACTCAAGACGTAGGTCAGTTTCACGGAAGGGGTATCGAAACAAGGCACCATCGACCGAGCGTGGATCGCTTGACATTGTGAAAACAAATAGGGTGCTTTCTTACCATCGGTGACCTCCTTATCCAAGAATTGGAGAGCAGTACACTTATCGGTAGTGGTATAATCAATCGTCACCGTGGTCCGAGCGGTTTGCTTAAAGTCGTAGAATATCTCAAGGGCCGAACCCAATGGCTCCTTGCGGTCGTGCAATTTGTAGTCCACTTCAACTTCACCGACAGCAGCCCGGCGGATCTTGAGGTGGGAGGTGTCAAGTACGATTGACTTGGTGTCTTCACGCGCCACTAACTGGTAGGTGATACGCCCATGGACGACCTTGGCGTCGAAGTCAATGTCCATATCGAGAGCCCCATCGGTCACGTCGAATTTGGTATAATTTGACAACGTCGACGGGTCCTTAGAACTGAACGAGGTATTCATGATGATTAGTTGCCTTGTCGCTGTGCGGCTCTATAGTGGAGGTATGCATAATCCCTAGATGCCATCTACAGGAGCTGGGGCATTTTGCCGCGCGAAGTCTAGACTGTAAGCATAATTCTATAAGCATAGTCTTTCGTAAATTGAACTCATATACACGAATTAAATTCGATCAAATACTAGTTGGGTGCCTACAACGTCTGCGCCTCGATAATACTATCGACGATGCCATCGGCGGAAGCCTTCGAGTACTTACAGTTCAGAAGCACCTGTAACAACCGCTTGACACCGATATTCAAGTCCGTCTGCTGCAATTGCAGGACCACAGCATGCTCAGTGTGACGGTCAAATCCTTGACTGTGCAACACTCTGCCCAATTCATCAATGTGGGTGATCAGGGGGACGGCAATGATGTTGGAAAACGACCCCAACATGTCCAAGTTCCGCAACACCGAGTAAGCTGAAGTGGTGGCGAGGATCAAAAGTCGTCTACCCTTCGGGGGCAACTTGCTGAGGTACACCTTCAACACTTGCAACACGTCGTTCAGGAAACGAGGCCCAATAGGCGCGTACCCAATCAAGGTTTCCAATTGATCAAGCACCACCACCGACAACGGCGACTTGTAAACATCACGGAAGAAGTTATCAATGAAACTGATCTTGTGGAACTCACTCATACCAACAACACTCTCAGCACTGAGCATCTTGATGAAAGGGAATTGTGAGTTGAGGGCAATAGTAGATGCAAGGGCTGTCTTACCCAGGCCCAGAGGCCCGTGTAACAATACAGACACCAAGGAGTCGGTTTCCGACTCAGAAACTTCTTCAACGAGCGAGGCTCCCTTATTTTCGATTTGCCTGATGCTGTCGGCGTAGTGAATAATACCATAGGGTGCGGCAGCGGCAAGATCTTCCTCATCGGTACCAAATGCAGGCTTCACCTCTTGGAGTGCTAATTGGAAATCCTTCATAGTAATTTGGATTTTAGAAATCGAATCCATGTCGACTTGGGCAATAGTACCGGACTTAGTGTGACGAGAGATCGCAAACGATTTCGCCGAGTTACACAACCCTTGAATTTCGGCACCAGTGAAGTTCTTGGTCTGCACCGCCAACTCGTCCAAGTTGACGTCCTTGTATAACAAGTGGTTGTCTCTCAACAGCTTGGTGTGAATCGTCAAAATGTCCTTACGCCCCTTTTCATCGGGCAAAGCGATTTCGATTTGCAATTCGAATCTACCCGGACGCAACAACGCATTATCAATCAAGTCTAACCGGTTGGTCATCCCAATAATCAAGATGTTGTTAAGTTGATCAACCCCGTCCATCTTGGCCAACAACTGGTTGACAACGTTGTCACCAACACCAGTACCATCAGACTTACCCAGCCCTCTTTGCTTGAACACGGAATCCAACTCATCAAAAATGATGACGTGTAAGTCAGAGTCGTCACCCTTTTGCTTGTACTCAGCCTCGGCGTCCTTGAAAAGGTTTCTAATGTTCTCTTCGGAAGCACCCACGTACTTCGACAACATTTCGGGACCATTGACAATCTTGGGTTCCTTACCGTTGAGCATATTCGACAACTTACGGGCAATAAGGGTCTTACCAGTACCGGGAGGACCATACAAAAGCAAACCCTTACAGTGGTTGATCCCCAACTTCTCAGCTAATTCTGGAGGCAAGATTCTCGAGTTGAACGCACGTCTGAAGATTTCCTGGAATTCCGAGTCCAAACCACCGATACCCAAATCTTCCAACTTGAAGTCAGGGTTGATGATCTGCTTCCGTTGGCGAGGACGGGGTCCAGGCTTGCCGAAAAAACCACCTTTGCCCAGAGGGTATTGCAAGTTGATTTTAGAGTGTTCGTGAGGGTAGAATTCAATAACGGTGCTTCTCATCAAAATACCCTTAGTGTCCAAATCCGCCAGCTCCTTAACTGAGGGTGCCCCGTCCGCTTGAGTAACATCCACGATCTCAACCAGCAACACAAGCAACAGGTAGTAGTGGCCCTTGTACTCCATGACCATGGCTTGCGTGGGTTGAAGGATTTGGTTTTCATAATTGGTCATAAACACTTCGGTCAAGTCCTCAACGCTGATCGGAGTGGTGTGGGCATGCGACTTGCTCAAGTGATCGACGGTGACCTTAATCACATTGAGATACTTCTTTTGTGAGCCGTTGGAATGGATATTGTAGGGCTCAGCATGAATCGATTGCCCGAGAGACCACTTACCCCACCGTCTGGTGTGACCAGCCATACCAAGCATACCGTGGGGAAGCTCGGGACATTTCTCGATGTCGTAGACGTAGTGGCTGTCAATAAGAATGGGAGCGTGGTTCGGAATCAGGGCAAAGTCATCGGGATTGACCCCAATTCTATTAGCGACGGCGATAGAGTTGTTGGGGACTTTGTCCACGGCTAACTTCATCACCTGTCGAGGTGCCACTGGCTCTAATGGCCTGGGCGGAGACGACGGAGGGTTTCTCCTTGAATGGGTAATGCTGGCGCCACTGTTAGTGGGGCTATGGTGCACCTTGTGAAATCCGAACTTCTCCATGGTGGCGGTTAAATCGGCCGGGTCCTGTCAGTTCGCGTGCGCGATAGTGTGACACGTGGAATACGGAAGAACTTTCGACACTTCCGCGCTGCGGAAGCAGCGGAAATTCAGTCGGAGAGTGGCTCATTTTAGCTTGTGGTATGAGCCCTGGGCACATTTGCCGACAGAAATTATTGACGGGGACACGGAGATACGTCGTTTGTGACCACAGTTTTCATTGGATGGCGCGATATAATAGTATCATCAATCACCTCAGCTTGTAAGCAAATGCTCAAAAGCCTTTAAGTCATCGGGTAAGTCGACGGTACAGTTCATAAGGTGCCTCGTAAACGCCTAAACGGGGATTTATGATCTAGTTGGTCGGGCCATGCAGCGCGAATTTCACCAATCAGGTATCTTCCGCCATCGGTGACGCCACACTTTTCAGCCCGACGGAGGGGCACCCCCGCTATGAGGTCTAGTCTCCATGTGAACCTCAATTAGCGTCGACTTTAGCTACTTGTAAACGATCTTACGGAGTTAATTGTGGCTGACTAATATTTTCCGAGTCGCTTTATACTAATTTGTCAGTACCACGTTTCTAGACCTCGGAAACAATTTGTCATTAGGCATAGTTGGTGCAGCCACCTTTTTTTCGGTATAAATTGCAGACGCCCGCCCCCCCTCCGAACTTTTCAACATCAATTGAATAATGGTTGCTCAAGTTCAAAAGCCCGCTCCTTCGTTCACCAAGACCGCCGTCGTCGACGGTACCTTCGAAACCGTTTCGTTGGAAGACTACAAGGGTAAGTGGGTGTTGTTGGCCTTCATCCCCTTGGCCTTCACCTTCGTGTGCCCCACCGAAATCATTGCCTACTCTGAGGCCGCCAAGAAGTTCGCCGAAAAGGACTGCCAAGTGTTGTTCGCCTCGACCGACTCGGAATACTCGTTGTTGGCCTGGACCAACGTCGCCAGAAAGGACGGTGGCTTGGGTCCCGTCGACATCCCCTTGGTTGCCGACACCAACCACTCGTTGTCGAAGGACTACGGTGTGTTGATCGAAGAAGAAGGCATTGCCCTCAGAGGTATCTTCTTGATCGACCCCAAGGGTACCTTGAGACAAATCACCATCAACGACTTGCCCGTCGGTAGATCTGTCGACGAATCGCTCAGATTGTTGGAAGCTTTCCAATTCACTGACAAGCACGGTGAAGTTTGCCCCGCTAACTGGCAACCCGGTGCCGACACCATCAAGCCTGAAGTTGACTCGTCGAAGGAATACTTCAACAAGGTTAACTAAACTTCGACTTAATGTAACGTGTATAGGCTCAATATAGAATGATAAACTGCAATTGACTCCTTGAAAACTCACATGGGCTTGCTGACAAATTGAGCCACAATCATGAACCTTGTAGTTACTTGTAACGCTGCAGGTTTCGGGCCACTAAGCCAGTGGCCTGTAGGGTGCATAACCTCTTAACCTAGCCACAACCATTGAGAGCCGTTCTGTACACAACTCTGTCATTCATTCATATGGACAATTTTTAGAAAAAGCAAAAACTCTTGGCCCTTGTTGGCACGTTACGCTTGAATTGATTCGTCTGCAATGTCGTGATATGATACGACTGTCCTTATCAGAGATAATAGTGCACAAAAATTATCGATGCTTTTGCACTCGCAAAAATAAAAAATAGTGATAACCGTGGGGTTCGAACCCACGCCTCCGAAGAGACCAGGATTGGTTGGTAAAGTTGTTAACCTTACCCTGGCGCCTTAGACCACTCGGCCAGGTTACCCTCGATGTCGCAGTAAAATTTCAGGTTTTTGATACCATTCAGAATAAGTGATATTGGCGTTCGTCGCAGTTCTGGGTTATTTTAGGTGCCAGTTAGATGAGTCGTACTCAACCTGGCTTATAAGCTTAGTTTTGTATACCCGGCGGTGCTTTTTATTCAGTATGATTAGATTTTCGATTTGGTCTCGACTTTGTGGAGAAATTTGAAAATATGAAGGATAGTCGAGTTTTTCAGTTTTTCTGAGTTGGCCATAGTTAGCAGCAATCTCCAACCGCCAAATTTTTTGAATTAAACTATGAAAATTTCAGCATGACGTATAGCAATTCGGAAGATCCCGCGGGTCATCGTTCGAGCCCTTCCAGCTTTGCAAATTGAGAAAGCCTGACCATTATTCGCATATACGAATCATTTAAATCTTGTTGTCCCATTTTTCTTCGATCATGTTAGAGTGACTCTCCGCGGATCAGTCCACTTTCTGCGTCATTGAGTATGAGTGAGCTGCAAGTTATATAAAAGTTAAATAATGAGAAGATTAAAGGGAAGTAGTAACCTCCTTTTGATCCGATTTGACTTTT